AATAATAATAATATAATATTCTGCTCCTATACCTGGTATAAGGTAATTAATTCCTAAAGAATAAACTTTTAATATTAGGTTTATATTAGTAAAAAAATATAAAAGATTTTATAAATAGTTTTAGTTATATAGCTATTAACTTTAAATAAATATTTAATTTAATTATTATATAAATACTATATTAATAATTAATTATATAAGCTATATTTAATAAATATAATAAATAATTTTATATAATAAGTTATTTTAAAAGGCTTATAATTTTAATTATAATTTTTTTAAAATAGCTTACTTTAGTATTTATAATTTATTAAAAATAGCTTATATTTTTATAAATAATTCTTTTTTAATTAATTTATTAATTTATAGTTTATTTATAAATATATATTTTATAGTTATTAAGTTATAATATAATATCTTTTTTTTATTAGTTTTATTTTTAAAGTTAAATATATATTAATTCTTTTAATTTATAAATATATTTATTTTTTTTATTTTTTTTATTTATAATTTATTTTTTTAAATAATAATATAATAATTAATTAAATATTTAAGTTTATTTTTTATAAAACTTATATATATAATTTTTTTATATTATTTATTTTTTTTTATAGTTTTAATTTTAATATATTATATATTTATTATTTTTAAAAAAAAATTTTTTATTAAATAATAAATTTTTTTTTTATTATTATAAATATATTAAATATAGTTATTTTTATAATAAAGTTTTAATAGCTTTTTTTTATAAATAAGTTTTATTTTTATATTATTTATATTATTAATATTTTAAATTTTTAATAATAAAAATATTAAATTAATAAAAAAAATTAAAAGCAGAAGAAAAAACTATAGATAAAGCTTTAAAGTTTTTTTAATTTTAACTTTTTAAGTTATAAATTAAGCTTTTTAAAGCAATAAGCTATTTAGCTTATATTTATTATATAAAAAGTAAAATAAAAAAGTAAAATAGTAAATTAATTTATTATAAAATACAGGAGTTAAATAAAAAAAATAATATAATAAATAATTTTTAATATATAGGGGTTTTTAATAATATTAATTAATTCTTTTTTAATATTAGCCTAAAGTTTATAAACTTTAGTTTATTAATTTTATAAAATAAAAAAACCTTTATATTAGCTTTTAAAAATTAAAGTATTTTTTTTAATTTTTATAAATTTTTTAATTTAATATACTTTTTTTATTTAATAAAGTATTTAATTTTATTAGTTTTAAGATTTTAATATATAATAAATATTTTTTTTAATTTTATATTTTTTTTTTATTTTTAATAATAATTTTATTTAAAATAAATTTTTTTATAAATTTATTAACTTATATTTTTTTTAATTATAATATATAAAATATTAAACTTTAAAGCTTTATTATATTTAATAATACTAGTTTATAATTAACTTTTTTAATTTATTTAAGAATTTTATAAGGTTTTATTTTTTTAATATTAAATTTATTATTTACTTTATTTATTTTAATATTTAATAGTTTATAGCTTTATAAATATTATAGTAAGTAAACTATATTTTTTTTTAAAAAATTAATTTTATAATTTTATTTTTATTTATATATTTTTTTATATATTTATAAATAAATTTAAGTTATATATTTATTTTTTTATATAAATTAATTATTAATTTAGCTTATAATTATACTTTTTTTTAAGTTAAATTTATTTTATAATAATTTAAATACTTTAAATATAAATTTATAATTTATATAAAAAAGTATTACTTTTATAAATTTTAATAATATATTATTATAATATAATTAAACTATTAATAGTTTTTTAGTTTAATTATTTTATATAAAATTAATATAAGCTTATAAATATACTTTAATAATTTAATTTATATATTTAATTTATTTATTTATTTAAAGGTAATATATAATATTAAGTTTATAATTTATTTTTAATTTAGCTATAAGTTTTTACTAAAACTTAAAAGTAAATATTTATTTTTAATTTAAAATAATTTCTTTAGGTAATTTATAATTAGCAGTAATTATTTTTATATAAATATAAGTAAAGTCTTTTAATAAATATAACTTTTTATATAGTAAAAAGTAAGCTTATTTTATAAATTAATAAACTATTATAAAAATACTATTATATTATATATTTATAAATAATTTTATTAATAAAGGTAAATTAATAATATAGTTAAAAGTAATTAATTCTTAAGGTTATTTTATAATAAATAATAGTTATAACTTTTTATAAGGTTTATATTTTTTATTTTTTACTATTTAATATATATTATAATATAATATAATATACTTTATATATATTTTAAGTTTTTTAATATTATAATATATTAAAACTTAATTATATATTTTTATTATATTTTTATATTTATATAATAAATATTTATAAATATATTTAATTACTTTTTTTTATAATTCTTTAAATATTTAAATTTTTTTATATTATTTAAAGTATTTTAAATTTATAATAATATTTTCTAAATATTATTTATTTTTTTAATTTTTAATAAATTCTTTAATTTTTTTAAATATAAAGTTATTTTCTAGAACTTTAAATATTATATAAATTTATACTTACTTAATATTATTATTATTATTAAATTAATAATAATATTTTTATTTTTTAAATACTTTAATAATAATTAATATTTTGTTATTATATATAATATATTATATTATTAATTTATAAAGTTTATATAAGAAAAATATAATAAGTTATAGCTTGCTGTTTTTTTTTAGTTAACTTAATACTTTTTTTATTATAAATATTAATATATTAGTTTTAATTATAGTAGGTTTTTTTAAGTTAAATATAGTAAATGTAATAAACTATATACTAGATAGTTAATATAAAGTAAATTCTTAAAGAATAAATCTAAAATAAGTTCTTTAGGTTTATATTAGCAAATAAATTAAAAAACCTTATAGATAATAATATTATAATAATAATTATTAATAAAAATTAAAAATGCTTTTTAATTTATAAATATAAAACTATATTAATAACTAGTTATTTAAGTTATTTAAATAAATATAAAAAGTAAATTTATATATTTAGTTAGTTTTTTAAATTCTAGTAGCTTAATTAGCTTATAAGTTAAGCTAGTTAAGCTGCTTAGTATTATAGGCTTATATAGCTTATAAGTTAAGCTTATTAAGCTAGTTTTTATTAATCCTTTAGTTTATAGTTAATTTAAAGGATTTTACTTTATAGGTTTATTATTGCAACTATAAGAATTAAGTTATAATATAATACTTCCCTTTTATTAGTTTTATCCTTAAGACCTAGTTGCTTTAGTATTTTTTTATTTTGTTTTTTATTTATTAATTTTAAAATTTTTTAAAAATAAATAATTAAAAATATTTTTTTTTTATATTTTTAAAACTTTTTTATAACAAAATTTAATATAATTTTATAATTTTAACTTTAGTTTTATATAATAACTAAATATATATTATTTTTTTTATAATTAAAAATTATTTTTTAAAAAAATTAAAATAAATATAAAATTTTTTTAAAAACTATTTTTTTTTATTATATTTAATTTAATAATATAATATAAAAAAAGTTTTAATAAGTTATTTTTTAAAAAAAAACTATTATTTTATTTTTTAAAATAACTTTAATTATTTTTAAAAATTTAAGTTTTTTTTTATTATTTTTTTAAATATTATTTTTACTTTATATAATATTTATTATTTATATTATTTAATGTAAATAAAATTTAATACTATTATTTTTAAACTTTTTTAAAAATTTTATTAATAACTTATTATAAATTATTTAAATATTATTTTTTAAATAAAAGTTAATTAATAATTTTAATTATTAAATATTTTTAATTTTTTATTATTTAATTAAAAATTAAAAAAACTAAAATAATAAATTATAAAACTTTTATTTATTTTTTATAATAATTAAAATAAATCTTTTTATATTTTTTTTTTAAATTTTTTAATTATTTTAATTAATAAATTTATTTTATAATTATAGAAACTTTAGTTTTTATTTTTTATAATTTTATATATTTTATTAAAAATATATACTTTAATTTTATTAAATTATTTTTAGCTATAATACTTTTAATTTTATTATTAAAAAAATTATTATTATTTTAAAAAAGTTAAAGCAGTTTTTTAATTATTATTTTATAAAAAGTATATTATATTAAAAATATTATAACTTTTATATTACTTAAATAACCTTAAAGTAAAAGTTAAAAAATTAAAAAAAAAATTAATAAAATAAAAATATAAAAATATATTAATTTTAATTTAAAGATTTTTTATTTAAACAGTATTTAAAAAATTATATATATTAAAAAAATAATAATAATATAGTTTTATTATTTTATATATATAAAATACTTGAGTTATTTTATTTTATTATAATTTAATTATAAAATAAATTAATATTATTAAAATAATTTATAATTAAAATATTATTAAAAAATATTATAAAAATTATAAATATAATTTATAAAAACTTTTGATTATTAATATTTTTATTAAAATATAAATAATAAAATTTATTAAAAAAATTAATAATTTTTATTTATTTTATAAATAAAAAAAATTTAAAAATTTTAAAAGTTAATAATTATAAATATATTACTATTAAATATTAAAACTTAAGTTTTATTATTTAAAATTATATTTTAAATAAAAATATTAATATTTAAAAAAAAACAATTATAAATTATTTTAATTAATATATTAGAAAAATATTTTAAATTTTTATATTATTTAGAAAATATTTTTATATTTATATTATAAATATTTAAAATATATAATTTATATATATTAATTAAAGCTAATAAAAAAGTTACTTTAAATCACTTTTAATTTATTTTATATATTTGACTTTATCCTAGGACTACTCTAAACAATATTAATATCTATTCCCTTATCTCAATATTATCTATGCTTTATCAATACTTAATTCTATCACTCTCTGGCCTAACCATGCATTACTATATATCCAATTGTCAGCCATGACACTGGAACTCGAAGGGCTAATTGCGCGTTTATTACTGGTTATCTCATGCGCTGGTGAACAGGGTATGTTCGGTAACTATAGCACAGAGGTCATAACGCCCTCGGCGTATATTCAAGATCCTCGTGTAGCATGTTTTGACCGTTCTTAGCTCTTTGTATAAAGATATATTAACTTTCGTCACCTAGGTCTTTCAATTTCGCAATTCATCGATGCTGCAAAGTTGGCACTCTCTCCGCCCGACACCACGCTGTCTCTCCAAAGAGACGTAACGCTTCAAGACTCAATATTCGTTTTATCGGACTATGGAGTCGGCACAATCTGGAGATGGCTGGTCCAACGGACAGACATCTCAATTGGTCCTCAGAGGAAATATAACCAACTAATGTTTGAAGAGGTACTGGCACTGGAAGATCTCCGCAAGGATAGATATAACAACCGACATGGGCAACCCTCTGGCCATCAAAATGCGCGCGAGAATCATTCGTCTTCCCTAGAACCCAGTGCTCAAGACGATATTCGGATATACGTCTCTCAGGAAACGATGTGGGAGGCCATTACTGGACATGCAGTAGATTATAAGCGTGTGCCTCGTTCCGAATGGCTTCTGCTTCTTGGAATCGCTTCAACAAAAGCACAGGGGATACTTCAAGGTGACCTTGGTCGTCTAGTTGATCAGGATAAACGCTCCGTGCCAAAACGAACAGATGCGCTGGTCAAGAAAGGATACATTACAAAACGAACAACGCTTGTTCGGGGAACAAAAACCAGTAAAATGTGGTTGAAGCTATTCGCTCCTCCACTCCCAAAAGACAGGAGCGCGACTGCGGAGCCAGAGGCGGAAATGAACCTATCCCGCCAAGTCCTTGCCGTCAACCTTGACGCCGTTCCTTGGCACACAAGATGGACCGGAGAATCTGTTGACTATACAGCTTTAGCAACCACCATAATGGCAATTTGTAAGGAATGGGATGTTTTACGCATGCAGGATTTGAAATCAAAATTGGGTGTTCTTGGCATGCGATGGCAAATGAAAGTTGTTTCCAAAGTCTGCAGATTCCTGAATGCGCGAGACGCAATTCGGTATGTGGCGGCAAGGCTGAACAACAAAGTCTTCAACGATTGTGTACGGTTTAATCGGGATCTCACACCCAAGGACTGGTCCATATTTTTGGCAACTGGGAAGCGAGCTGGCAAGCTTTCCAAGACCACTGAAGTATATAATCAAGATGGCCAAGATGGTGCCGGTTCTCTTTTGGGCCAGTTTGCCTCCTCGAAATGCTTAGGCGTCGCTCCACCATGGTCGGCGGATCAGCCGCTCGCAGTTATTATTGCAAAGAGCATAATGGCTTGCGGAGAGGCAGGACTGACGAATCCGGATGTATACGGGCTTACTTTAGGTGTATCCTTTACACGTTTCTTATCCTCCTTGACCACGTGCATTTCCACGCCTAACATCCAACCTATTCAGTTACAGTATCTGCAAGTAAGAAGCGAGCACTCCAGAGCCGGAAAAGTTGCATCATATAGGTACTCCATGTCATCTGCCCTACCGGCTATGCCCGACACTATGTCGGACACTATGTCGGCCAATAGTGAGCGCGAGCGACAGACCAGACAAACCAACAATCCCGTATCCTATGGTTTCCTGCAGGCGGCATACCCCATCGGAAGTTCAAAGCTGGCCAACTTAACTCAATCTAACTTATCCCAAAGAAGACAGAGAGGCAGACCTCGAAAGATGAGATCAGAGCACCCGGCTGATGCAGATACTGATCGCAACAATATCCGACTGACGCCTGATGTTACCGATGAGGTTCTTAATCCCCCAAAGGAAGACAGCCAGCCCTGTACAGGAGATTCAATGATCATCAAGCTGAGACTACCTCAAGAAACGCTTAAGGGGCTAATGAATTCATCTTCTATACTGGATGCGCCTACTGAAGAAATCTCCCTCCGGCACTCCAAACCATCATCAACAGAAGTCATGGAATGCAGGCCAGTAGATGGTGAGTTAGACATAACAGCACCGAAAATAACTACATCACAACCTTCTGATTCGACTATACCTATAGAATCCGCTCAGCTTGCGGGACGGAAACGAGGCCGAGGACGTGGCCGAACTTCTGGCCGCCCTGGTAATTTGCAAGAAGTTGAGACTTCCAACAATGACACAGCCAAAGGTAAAAGATGGAAGTGCGACAAGTGTGATAAAACCTGGAAAAATGACATTGGCCTCAAGTATCATCTCGAGCGGTCCCAAACTTCTTGTAATCCATCATATAGCCCCTCTAATCTTGATGGACTTCACCGGGAGATGAAATCTACTCTTCGATTTGCTAGAACAACCGAATCTACTGAGAAAGTTGTTAAAGTGCCTGCGAAATTAACGCGCGGCTCACGGTATGATGAACCAATCAAGACGACCAACGAAAAAGAGAGGGCGAAAAGAGGAAGAGAAGAAAATGAACACGACGCCGCAAAGATCTCACAGTTCAAGATCTCCCCAATAAGAACCAATGATGAGGAGAGTAGATATTCACAGGTTGCGGTATCAGCGACTACCCCGAGCCACACCGGTGAGATTTACGCAATAAATCGATCTTCTAGTGACCAATCAATCTCGCAGCATAGAAAAATGCTGAATATATCTTCTCTACCCCAGCAACAGGCTATTCTTATGCCAGTCGATATAAGTCAATCAAACCAAGTGCTTGATCTAAAAAATCGCAAATATGATGTCAATCAGCTAGAAAATCTCTCTAACACTCTCGCATGGCCCAGCTCAGGTTTTTTGCCGTCTGTCAGCGAACTAGATCTTCAAGACAACTCTAGTGAACGTTTGAAGCCAGCTTCTAAGGTTACTGATTTAGTTAAATCTACGGAGAAGACAGAGATGGAATTGGTAACAAATGCAAAAATTTACGAATCCGCATCGATCAACCTGGAGAGTGAGGGGTTCAAAAAGAAAACTTCTAGAAATGAGATAACTGATCATATCTCTTCTCTGCTGATGGAGATGCTTATCGAGCGGAAAGGTGTCCTCCCCGGAGGGCACTCCCTTTGGCGCGCTCTCGCTACCGTATGGAATACCAGATACCCAGAGAAGCCGATACCGAAGACAAAAGATTATCAATGGGCCCTGAGCCGTATGCTCAAAGATAAAGCAGTCTTGGAGCATTGGCATGGATTCCAAGACCACAGCGGCCTGTTCTCTAAATGTCAAATCTTAACACTACCACACCTTGATGCATTCTCCCCTGAGACCTTGGCTGTTGTCGAGAGCATTAAATTGCGACATCCACAGCCTTTCATACCTGCGCAATTTCAACTACCAAGTAGCGATACTGGACCAGGAGACAGGAAGGAGAATCGCCGAGGACGCCGTGTGCTTGCTGGCGAAGTTGCTCAACTGGATGCTCCGGTATATGCGGCTCAGGCTTCAGCCAAAAAGCGTCACGGAATGATGAGCGACACGAATAGTCCAAGTAAGCGAAGAAAACCCTTACAAACTAGTATAAAAAGCCAAGCTCCTACGTCTACACCAACACCGGTAGACGAGAAGTATCGAGTAAGATGGGCGTCGAACAACCTGTTATCCAACAGGAATAATTTCCCAAAATTGAACATCACTCGCTTAAACCATGGAGCCAAGGTTCAATTTCTAACTCCAAATCGATTTTTGGAAGATGATTGGTGTGTGGACGATTACGGGGTACCGCAAAGCATAACTCGGCCTTTTCCATTTATTGATATGGAAGCTACTCAGCAGCCCACTTTCGCAGCGAAGCCTGCTATTATCGAGCCAGTTCAGTGTATTGCGGGCAAAAATGGAACCTGGCCATATCTTGACCTGCAGTTCTTTGAAGAAAAGGCTATTAACTCGAATTTCACAGTGCGTGGATGGATGCCTGATATAGAGTGGTTTCATTGGGCCGATTGGGCCCAGAGTCTTGAGAAACGAATTTCTGCAAATGATATTGGAAGACAATACGATGCTGAAACTGCCCATGATACATTTACGAACAGTTTATGGGATTGTCTCAGTGTGGAACTAGCTCAAACAGAACAGTTCGTAAACACTTTGCCGCTGGCCGCTGGCCCCCATAACATATTCATCAATCTTTCAGCTGGATTTGAAAATGGAACATCATCAATGGCTTTAAAGTGGCAATCTCATGAGAATTTAACCCCTCAATCAATTGGCAAAGCTATGTACGACTTAAGGTCGTTATCCTCAAGCGATGACAGCGACTCTGAGCTCGACTTAGATGCATTTGATCCAAACCATCGAAAGCATCTCTTGGGCGCTACTGATATGAACCAGTCGAAGATTAAGCGAGTATCTTTGATAACTCGCCCGCTCACCTCAATATTTCGAAGAGAGACATATGCGCTAGATGAGGTCAGAGGAATGGGCGCTGCGGATAGCCCGCTGACCAGCCAGGAAGAACTCTTAGCCGCTTTTATTGTCGTCCGTGTCCTATTAGGAGGTGCAGATAAAGCAATTGACTGGGGTATATTACTTCACATCTTCCCAAACACCCGCCTTGCCAGTTTGCGCAAATTCTGGGCGATGGCATGCAAAGAGCAGAGACCGCACATTAAAAAATTTACGCGAGATGTCCAGGAGCGATTGATTGAAGCCTTTGAGAGCCATGAGCTCCCTATGATTGACTTTGAAGCCCCAGTTCATTATGACTGGCGGACACTTATTAAGTGGGCAACAAGAATATCTCGCCAGAAGAACTATCAAATCCCCCCCACACGAGAGCTTCTTTCTCATCGGTTCTCGTTAATAAATGCCACGTCAATCGAAGAAGATTGGGGGGAGAGATTTTTCCACGCTCAATCTTCGATCTTCTCACGATTCGAGGCGGTCACATCAGAACCCGGTGCACTTCGTGTTGATGGCATCTTCGATCAAGGCAATGATGCCAGCAATGTTCAGAGTTTGGGTATTGCAAGATCTTGGATCAAATCGCTCTGCTGTACTAGCGAAGCGAAATACTCAGTGCGAAAAATCAAAGAAAAATTTCTCACGTTATCTGGAGACGGGGCAGAACGAAGCTCACTGCTTCTTAAGGAAGCTATTGTTCAACTCACGATTCAAAGGGTTATTTGCAGGAGCAAAAAGACACCACTTGGAGGGAGACCATACAGGTTAAGTGAGTGGTATTTGTCAACGCTTAGCAGAGTGGCACAACGCTCAAAATACCAAGATGCTGCTGCTTTCAAAACGCAGATGGATGACAAATTTCGCACAGGAGGAGTTTTCGAGATACCGTACACCCTCAACGATGGCTCCATGATGGCACTGACAAATTTGAATGCTGCGGGGAAAATCAAACTTGTACCCCTAGATATACCAAATATTCCCTTCGGATTTGAGCCAGGCAATTATGAAAGCCGAAAGTATCCTAAATCTTACTATCATTTTCGACTCCAGGCAAAACCCACAAATTTGTACCAGTACAACGAGGATATCGCTGTGTTACACGCTGTAGCGTGGGAGGATTTGCCTAGCACCACGTTGAAAGGAGAAATTCCACAGTGGATCGATTTTTTTGGGAAGAACGATAACAGGCGGTGGTCTGATATTCTCGGGGCCTTTTGTTTTACTTACGCTACGAAGGGCCCCATGGCGGCTAAGGACGTATGCAACTCTCTAAGTCCCATATTAGATGAATTTGAAGCAAAACTTATCGTAGAATGGGGGATAAGGACCAATGTTTTGGAAGAGGTTATGGATGGATCCTCTGTAACTGTAGGAGAGTGGTGGTGGCTAGCTGTACCATGGCAGTATAATCGGTCACGAGAATAGAGCCGTCAGCAAAGGAAAAAGAAGAAAAAAAAAAGAAGAAAAAGAAGCGCTTTCACGCTGTGCCAGACCAAATCTTACGCCCTTTCTTTGTTGAGTGTTGATACCATTTCATCTAAGGCTACTTCACAATTTCGAAGACAGCCAGCATCGAACACAGCTATTGATATTGGATGCCACAAGTTCTGTAAAGTGACGTAGAGATCATACTTCACATGTCTGCCGTATCACAGATCTCCATACTGCATATTACCGACCGTTCTTGTGTACGATTGGCTGAAGGAGAGAATGAACGCCCTAGCCCAAGCAAAAGATTGGTTATATACCGAGTAAAACCTTCAAAACAATGGCAACCAGCAAGATAACTAAAGCTACGATCACCCTATCTATCCATAGCGGCACTCCTTCTGCCCCTGTCCCCGTGGGGCTAGTAGGGAAAGGGGCTTGCCGATTTCTGATAGCCAGCATCGGAGTTGGTGGGTGTGTTGAGAGATCATCTGTGATGTTGGGTGTTGTCTGAACAAATCCTTCTGCCAGCTCAGCTTCGGACGGCTCAGCTACAGGCAGCTCACCATCCCGAACAGGCTCAGAAGGGTTTTCTGATCGACGAGTTGACGATGAGTGGTCATTTTTAGTTGCCTCGAGCTCATCTCTCCAATTCATATTTAACTCGGCAGGAACTGCTATCTCTTGACACAAAGCAGCGGTTTCTTTACAACGATCTTCGCATTCAGCGATGATATCCGCATTGGACTTGGCACATACTGCGCACTTGAAAGAGACTGACTCCTGGGCAAGCCGGCGGCGAACCGCCTCGGTAGTTTCCATGCCACCTAGTTGTCCTAGCACATCTGTCTCCATGAAGCTGCGGAGCCTATGTCAATATTCATGTTAGTTAGTTACGGAAAGTAGAGGCAGGCATTTGGTAGAGCGCAGATTTCATACGCGACAAGAGCGGTTCGAATGCCCCAGGCCGGCTGCCACGTTTCTTCATGATGGCCACTTATGCTGAGACAGATCTCACGGTTGGCCTCAAATCGGCCATTTGGGGTAGAAAATCGAAAACTTGGAGGCCGGAGAGGATACGCGGGAGGCAAAATTATTCGACCATGGTAGACACCTTGGCTGTATGCGGAGTTTGGGGGCCCTCGAAGAGTAAAATGCCATTCGAAGAGGTCCGACTCTAATGGCTCCGCGGTATAATCAGGAGACGGCGTATTTGAGAGCTCTGCAGCCTCGCGGACTGGAAGATGTTTGAGTTAGTGCTTCTACGAATGATGAAGAGTTCCAATGGCCAAATTCCGTTGTCTTCACTGCATGCGATCAGAAATTGGGAGGAATAGACTAACGTATGCGCCGAATAGTGGGGGATTTAGTGTTAGTGTACGATGCAGCTCCCGTTGACGTCGCCATAGGTCCAAGGGTTAGAGGAATGGAATGAAATGAAATGGTCTTAATATGGCGCAAAGGGTTGAGCCTAGAAAATGGACGATGCTAGGTGTGTTATAAATAGTAGTATGTCACGACAGGATTAGACAAGCGGTTTATATGAAAAAGAGTGATAACTCAGGAAGAAAACAGATTGCATTTGATTGCTAAGGTTGGTATGTCTGCGTGGTTGTAAAAGGATAAGAAAATAATATACTTAGTTTAATATAAAACAACATAAAAAAAATAAATAAAATATATATATATATATATATAAATAAAATAAAATAAATAAAATAAATAAAATAAAATAAATAAAATAAATAAAATAAAATAAATAAAATAAATAAAATAAATAAAATAAATAAAATAAATAAAATAAATATAGTTATGTTTTATATTATGTGTTCTCTAGTGGGGCTATTCCGTGGCGACAAGCTACTCAACACTGTCCCGCCAGCTTAGACTGCTAGCTGTCCTTCTGCTTGTTGTGTGCTCTGTGCGTGTAAACGTGTTAAGATTTCAAGCGACGTTGCCAACCTGAACAGATCATTTAAATTCCACCCGTTCAAGTATCTCACCCTCGTGGAAAAACTACCGTGAATTGCCACAACAACAACCATCTCTGTCAACAGTATCGGCTGAGTGTCCAACGACTCAGCTCGACTACCAATGGACTACGAAGCTGTTAAAGAACAATGGAGCGAAGTGGAAGATCGTGATGGCGTTCGCCTGAGCTGGAATGTCTTTCCAAGCTCCCGAATGGTAGTTCTCTTGACATGCACAAATCTTGCACAAGCTGATAGATCAACAGGAAGCCTCAAGGCTAGTTGTACCGATAGGCGCATTATTCACTCCTTTGAAAGAGAAGCCAGAGACGCCTCTGCTACAATTCGAGCCCGTCACATGCAAGCAGCCTTGTCGTTCGGTCCTCAACCCATTCTGGTAAACTTTCCATGATCGACCAGCTTCCTCAGTTCCCATGCGCATGCTCCCTAACTAATGATTATGTTAGTCAGGTGGATGTTCGTGCTCGTGTATGGATCTGCCCATTCTGCTTGTCAAGAAACCAGCTTCCGCCACATTACAAAGATATCACCGCGAATGCGATCCCACCAGAATTGCATCCTGCGAATACTACTATCGAATATAGGCTGTCAAGGCCTGCGCCTGCGCCGCCTCTGTTCCTATACGTTGTTGATTTATGCCAGGAGGAAGATAGTCTGGTTGCCTTGAAAGAGTCCCTAGTAATGAGCCTTAGCCTCCTTCCAGAAAATGCGCTGGTTGGGCTTATTACGTATGGTACAATGGTGCGTTTATTTCTACTCTCACAAGCGAACGATTGTTCACCGTATGTAGGCTCAAGTCCATGAAATTGGTTATGAGGGCTGCGCCAAGTCCTATGTCTTCCGTGGAAGTAAAGACTACTCTGCCAAAACTGTTCAGGAGATGCTCGGCCTGACGTCGCATGGCCCAAGACCTGGAGTGCCACCACAGGCAGGCCGCCAGATGAACGTTGGATCCACGTCAAGATTTCTGTTGCCGGTTCAGCAGGCTGAATTCCAACTTACTAAAGTTCTGGAGTCTCTGCAAAAAGACCCCTGGCCAACCGCCAGCGACCGGAGAAGCCTACGCTGCACTGGTGTTGCTTTGAGCGTTGCCATTGGCCTAATGGAGTCAACGTTTCAAAACTCTGGTGGTCGTATAATGCTGTTCGCCGGCGGGCCCGCAACCGAAGGACCTGGTATGGTTGTTGGCCCAGAACTAAGGGAGCCGATCCGTTCTCATCACGACATCGATCGCGATAACGCCAAGTACTACAAGAAGGCACTAAAGGTAAGATTGAGCAAATGAGCAGGATAACAGGATACCGCGTACTAACGTTAGTGATAGTTTTACGATAACTTAGCCAAGCGTACTGCCCATAATGGCCACATCATAGATATATTTGCAGGCTGTCTTGACCAAGTTGGTTTGCTTGAAATGAAGGGGCTCTGTAACTCAACAGGCGGTCATATGATTCTCACTGACAGCTTTACATCTTCAATGTTTAAACAATCATTTGTGCGCATTTTCGAGAAAGATGGCGACGATAACCTCCTGATGGGCTTCAACGCGGTACTTGAAGTACTGACAACTAAGGAGCTCAAGGTCACTGGGCTGATTGGGCACGCAGTGTCCCTCAATAAAAAGTCAGTCTCTGTTGGCGAGACGGAGTGTGGTATCGGTAATACCTGTTCATGGAAGATGTGTGGCATCGATCCCAATTCCAGCTATGGTATCTATTTTGAAGTTGCAAATCAAGGGCCGACAACTCACCAACAAGCACCCCAAAAGGGGATGATGCAGTTCTTAACATATTATCAACATTCCTCGGGACAATTTCACCTTCGTGTGACGACTATTGCTAGGAATCTGAGCGGCCCTGCTGGAGATCCAGCCATCGCGCAATCCTTTGACCAAGAAGCAGCAGCTGTGCTGATGTCACGGATTGCTGTTTTCAAGGCTGAGGTTGATGATGGGCCCGATGTACTGCGCTGGGTGGATAGGATGTTGATCCGCCTTTGCTCAAGATTTGCAGACTATCGAAAGGATGACCCGACTTCATTCCGTTTGGAGAAGAACTTCACCCTATATCCTCAATTTATGTTCCATCTTCGCAGAAGCCAGTTTTTACAGGTTTTCAACAATTCGCCTGACGAAACTGCATTTTATCGTCACGTGTTAAACCACGAAGACGTTAGCAATTCCCTCGTCATGATTCAGCCGACTCTAGACTCATACACATTTGATCAGGACGGAGGCCAGCCTGTACTGCTTGACTCTGCGTCCATTCAGCCAACCCATATCCTTCTACTAGATACCTTCTTCCATATTCTCATTTTCCACGGTGAAACCATTGCCGAGTGGAGAAAGGCTGGCTACCAGGACCAAGAAGGCTATGAGAACTTTGCCGCTCTATTAGAACAACCAAAAGAAGACGCCAGGGTAAGTGCAAGAGAAGAAGAAAAAGCACAACTGTATTTAGAAATAACTAACGGTGCTGTGTAGGATCTAATTACGGACCGTTTCCCACTCCCTAGATTCATTATTTGCGATGCGGGTGGCTCTCAGGCGAGATTCCTGCTCTCCAAACTTAATCCATCAACAACTCATACGACAGGAGCATATGGTGGTGTCGGGGCAACCTCTGCCCAAACCATTTTCACTGATGATGTGTCTCTGCAGACATTTATGGACCATTTGATGAAGTAAGAAATACATATAAGAATTAGACGTCGAAAATTATACTGACAATGACGATAGGTTGGCTGTTAGCGGCACGAACTAAAATAGATTGGTTATCACAGATAATAAAATCACGGAGACCCGTCTTTTTTTTTTTTTTTTTTGCCCCAAGCACAATCCTGTGTAACTTAAATCTAATGGTAATAATATAAATATTTGCTATGTATGTATGTGCATACATACATACATATGTACAGTACATACACATATATTGGTGAGATACATACACACGTCCGTAGCAATGATTTTGGATGAACTGGCTACTTTTCATGGCTCAGTGTTGTACACATAGGGGGAAGTCGGAGAGTTCTGTTAGTCGGGAGTTGGAGCTAGGGCGATGGCTTGAAGTATAAGCGGAGCCGAGAACAATATGAATCTGATGATAATATTAAGGCGCTCTGACGTTTTAGCAAAGACAAACAGTTACGAATAATGGCACAGGGTATTTTTTTACCTGAAATATAATATATACAGTACAGTAGAAATATAATATATACAGTACAGTAGTACTGTAGTACCTTGGTACATATGCAAATACCTACTCAATGCGACAATGCGACAGAACAAACTTGCAAGCTCTGGGGCAAAATAGCTAGAGTACCGGTGTGATAAGTTTCCGCTTTTTGTATCCAGGACTGTAAGGTGGCCACTTGGCGAACGCCTTCGTAGAACAATGCTAAAGAACAATGGCTATGCCTGACGGTAATCTGGAGCGAGATGCAAGTCCTCGAGATGGGCCTCCGTCAGCCAGGCGAGGATAAAAAGGCTGGTGATGCCCGGCAAGAAATCCATCTCATCAGCAACAGCATCTTCGCACTTCCAAAGCCTCGAACATCCAATATCAACCTCTTGCAAAGCATTTCCGCTTCACCACACCTAAACAGCAAAAATGGCCCGCTCCGCCCAGACCGTCATGACCAAGCCCCAGGGCAAGCCTCAATACATCGGCTACCTTGGCTGCACCGTCATGGCCAAGCCTCAGGACAAGCCTCAAGGCAAGCCTCAGTACATCGGCTACCTTGGCTGCACCGTCATGTAAACAGCCTACGGATGAGAGACACAGGCGGCGCGTTACGCCGGCACAACTCACACTCGTCACTGCAGAGTTTCTTTGAGTAGTTCCCCACGGGGTCTCATGGCAAACTCTCAATTCGGATTTTCTCACCAATTTTTTGCAACAATTGTCAATTTTTAGGCCTCTTATCCAGCAGATTGCGGTACTTGGCTTTTTCTGCTCCAATCGTCTCTGACTTCCAACTGGGGGTTATGATAGCATGGCTAGATGAGACACTGTTGAGCTGATAGTATTCGGGACTTATGAGAATGAGAGATAATGGGATATATCGGTTTATGATGCATACTCTTACACCAGCTAGCTATGCAATGAATCATGCCATCTTCTGAATAAATATTTTCCTTTATATTGTTTAAAAAATCTGGTCTTGCCTTGAATCAGTGAATTGCCTGTCATCTGCCCCTTTCCTTGTATGTGTGTGTATATGTGCCTTCACCTAGAGCACTGAATGGCCTTTTTGATTATATGTGTATGTTGAGCATGTAGCTAAAACTCTTATCTTGCCTAGGTGGACAGTTTAGTTTTTGTTGTTTTAGATAAAACTCACCGTAGACGAAAGGTTGATGCATATACATATACTAGTACCTATGTATATACATGTATACATGTGTACCTATCTAATTTATATTCTTTTAACATGATTTATTATACAGTAGATACCATGCATACAAGTAGTCTATCAAAGCAGCACGAGCAGCAAGGGACCCTGGTCCAAACCTGGCCCCCTGTATCGTTGATCCCTGCCAAGCGCGTGAACACACTCAGCTGTGTTAATTAGCAGGGACGCGAGCGCAGCCTGCCTGCAGCAATCATCGTCATCACCATCATATCATCATCGTCACCATCACGCGCCAGCCTGGCCGACGTTGCCCTTGGATACCCCTCGGTGAGCCAAAGCCACCATCACCAGGCAGCGCCTTCGCCGAAGCCAATTGCGGCCGGCATCAAGCGCTCTGCTCTCCACCTCTCGGTAGGTTGCGCGACGCCTTTTACAGCGCCGTCTTCCCTTGTCTCACAGCACACAAGCACCATGGCACATATTGATTCCGATTGCGCGCGAGGCAAGGCTTCGAGGCGCAAGTGAGGGAAACTCGGGCCTTGTTGGAGGCTGGAACTGAAGATCAGATACAAACAGGCAGTCTCGCACTGTCATCATCCTCTGCAGGTTCTTACATGCCAGTAAGTGGTGCGCAGCGATGGAGCCTCTACCAGCGAGCCATGGCTTCTACTTCTATGGCACCAAGCCAGGACCACTGCAAACCGAGCAAGCTTCCGCGGAGCTGCAAGCTTGATGCTCGATATTGCACCTGAGCATGATGCCGCAACGTCCCCCAAGCTGAAGATGCCCAGGTAGCCCAGGCCAGCAGCATAGACTATTTTCTTCTCATGTTGTGATCCGACAGCTTGAATTGTAACAGCCGCCACCCCCCATAGGCTGCCACACTGGATGGTTTCTGGCGGCTTGGCTGCCTTTCTTCCATCCCTCTGCCCTTCTCTCGCGCATACTCTGTCTATGTAGAACCCCTCATGCGGAATCTTTACTGACGAAGCGTCGTGGCTCTAGGGATCTATCTGCATACACAATTTTGCAATTTGTTCTCTGGCGCCAGCAAGCTTTTTCGTCGACCGCTGATCACGATTGATTCCCCCTCTCAGCTTACAGACACGGCACATTGGTTAGCTAGGGAACCGCTGTCGCATTCTTGTTCCTCAAGCCATTGTTCTCTAATCTCTACTCATTATACCATCACCTGCAAGAGGAGTTGTAGCTTTCATTGCTGCTTCTGCTGCTGAATATTCACTAAACGACTCGCAAATACCCGATATCTTCACACTGGACTGAATAAGCAAACGATATTGTTCTTCCATGGCATCATCTGAGGTGGATCAAAAGTATCTGGGGCGATTAGCCAGGGCAGTCGAAAATGATAATACCATACTCTCATCAACACTCTTCAAGATCCTGGGCCTCTCCCTCAGGCTTTCTGAGAAGCTCGTCGAGGTGAAGAAGCAGCGCAAGCCAGATGCAACCCTCCATGAAAACATCATGCGCATCCTTTGGTTAGCGCGTGAAGGGCTCAAAATGCTGCAAGAATATGTCATTCCTTTTGTCAGTAACTGCGTCGAATTAAAGGTTTTGGCCTATAAGCTACGCGCCAGCTTCCATCACATCTTTGTCCTGTTTCGAAATCAGCCTCGCGTTTCTAATATGCCGGGCTGGGATCCCGATGCCGTATCAGCTGAACGTGAGAAAGAGATCATTAGTGCGGATGACTACCAACAAACAATGCGTCACACTCTTGAAGGGGGTCCTGTTGGCCCTCCTCCTGGCTTCGAAGCTCCGGTCTCGGCTCTCTCGCTTTCTTTCCTCCTACCTGCTAAAGACTATCTGCCCACAGCCCACCAGTATTTTGAAGAGGCTGCACAATTGGCTGATAGACTTCTCTGGGGCTCTCACTCGCTGCGGTTGTCAGTGAAGACGGAATACGCTGCGTTTCTCTACGAATGTGTCCATGACGCCGATGGCAGCCGCAGTCTGGCGAGAAGTACAATAAATGAGGTCTATGAAGCGACAGAAGGCATGGATGATGACATGTTTCGGGATGCTTGTGAATTGGTCACCGTGTTGGGGAAGATGATGAAGCGTGGCCTCGGATCTAGCAACACGCTTCACAGCAAAGCTCAGGTGCCACACTCTGTTCATTCCAATGAGACTACTCCTCCCATTGGCATGGAAAATCCAATATAGCTTGAAATGAGTGTGGTGATGAGAGCGGGCTTGAGTTCCAACCTCCTATTGAGCACGACAGGGTTATGCCATTCTGGTACCTGGATCAGGTTGGTAGAGCTCATTTACGAAACGATTTCTCATGTGTATTTTATTTTTCTCCCAGTGTACTCCCCCCTCGGCGAGTAGAGAGCATAGCCGCTAATCGACATGGACCCAGTTAGGCAAACAGCGTTTTGACAGCTAATGTTAGTATATATCCCTATATTTAGTTAACGTTCAAATTTATATCCCCCCCTTCTTTTTCTCTCTCAATACAGTATATCTTGCCAACATAGCTGGCTGTAATGCGTTTAATTCATTCTCCTGGTACATCAAGGCAACTCTTTGTGTCAACAATCTGTGATGTTATACTGTAACCCTTCTCATGGCTGGCTCTTTGCACTTGCGCCACCGCAGCGTGCTCACATAACTCATCAAAATAAGTCGACAATGGTGAAAGCTGAGCTCTGGTCATTTATATATGCTTATATAACATGGTAAAGCTGCTACGGCTTTAGGTCCCCGTTGGCCTGGCCATTGTCCCTCCCTTCCGACGTCTCGTAGGCATATTCATTAGCGATTCATGGCTTACCTCATTGATTCCCGACGGCTTGTACCCGCTCAATGTTGCTACCTTTATAACATTGCCAAATGCAAAAGCGACCGATGACTCCCCAAATTTGACACCGGGACCCGGCTCGCAGACAATCATTTGCCCCGGGTCTTCATCACTGGGGAAAAGAGGTGTGATTTCATCTATATCTTGACGGTCACCAGGTGCCGCTCTCCACAACTCCCAGCAGTTGAAAGCCCCAACTTCCTGACTCTTTGCGTTCGGTAGGCGGTTTCGCACGCTCGAAATAGCTTTCTGCTGTCGGTTCCTCGATTCGGTACGGGGCCGACGACGAAGCCCAATTGCACTACCATCATACAGAAGTCTCCAAACACCAGGGTTGTCTATGCGTTTCGTTGTTTGTACTGCTTCAGACCAACCACACCATCCGCTGATTGCACGATCAATACCATAATTCTGCAGAAAAATAGCGTCATCGTCCTCATGAGGTGTAAAGGTGTGTAAGATACCGTCACCGGAGTCCAGCGCCTGGTAGCTGAGTGTGAAAGATTTGAGCCCTATTGACATGGCGTTTGATGCCCGATGGCAGGAGAAAGCACAGTCGAGCGAACGCGGTCGCAAGTTCTCTATCGAGAAGCTCCAAGCAGTAGATCCATCATTCAGGTTTATGAGATGAACGTCCGACTTTGACGATGCAAGAAAATAGGCGAGAGGCGAAAGCGGTACAACTTGATGTATTTCATCAACCACAAGCTTTCCTGTAAAAACTTTCTGCTCTCCCCACGACATCCCGATTCTTTCTACAACATGTATATCTCCATTTCGAGATGTTGCTATAAGGAAAACAGTCGGACTTTGATGCTCGCCAGCTATATGATATGGATGATTCCCGTTGGTCAGCCATGACCTGAGCCTGCACTTTAACGCGAATGGAAGGACGCCCGACTCACCTATACTTATAAGTTGGCGTGCGCAGGTTAGCCCGGAACAAAGCATGAACTCGCGGCTTTCTCCTGAAGCCGGTTCAATATCTACGACGGTTCCATTCTTCCATACTATAACGGGTCTTGGAATGTTTGATGATACATTCGGATCTAAGAAGAAAGCTGTTGGCTTCTGATTGTAGGTTTCCGCAGCTATGATAGGGCCTTGCACGTTGGTTGCAATGTTCCAAAAAGTGACAGCATCCGATGACAGAATTGCTAGCCACTCCGAGTCCTCATCAATGGCAATTGCAAGTACGGGAAATTTAATCCCGATATCTCTTTCTGGGTCAGAGATTGTGAAGCATCGATCCTCGTTGTTAAGACTCCACAGGCAAATTTTACGGTCCAAGCCAACAGACACAGCGTATCCTCCAGAGGAATATGCGAGCATAGCTATATCAAGGCAATGCCCTCCGGACAATGTTTTAACTCCCAGGCTAGGCTCCTCGCTAGAATCACTGAGCCCTTCTCGCTTCGCTTTGTCATCTGGTAAAAGATAGGCTGTAAGTCGGCGGAGCAGAAAAACCACAAGAACGTCTATGAAAACGAGCGGAGTGAGCTGATGATTGATAAAATCGAGTACTGCTGGTGATAAAATCGACTCTTTCATCCGAGGCGCTCGATTGGATCCCTTTTTTACAAAAACCAAAGGCTCATAGACTCTGGCTATGTAGCTATAGGCTGAAGGCTTTATGATGCGAATTATTTCATGAGCTGCATCGTGGTCTTGCAGCAGTAGCCAAGAAGTAGGACTCCTTGCTTGGTGGATTTCGTTCAGTAGAGATGTCTTCAAAGGAGATGGGAGGCTGGGCTCTAAATTTTTGCCGCCATATAACTGAGATAGCCGCCGAGAAATATCTCTATCGCTGAAAAAACGAGATTGGGCGATAAATACGAAGCCCAGGACGACGAGTGTTCCAGCGACTCGTGTTGATAATGCAATCTTCCCTTGAACTATGCGTTTCACCCAGGAGGAGTTGCGACTGTAGTTCGCATTGCGGTTACGACGCATAGACTCTTTTGCGAGAGCATCCCCAAGCTCCATTCGACGCACATCAACACTGAGGACAGAGAGGAAGAAGGTAGATAGATAGAAAGTATCAAGCACAATTGCAACCGCCGCAAAGATGCAGAATTCGGAAACGCCTGGCGAGACAACGCGTGACAATGCTATTAGAATCGCACAGTTCTGGATGGAGGTTGCCAAGGCAGCGGGCGCAATCTCGCCAAAAGCATACCCTATCCTGTTGCTCGTACTATCTTCCGAAGGAGTGCGAATCAATGCGTTCATCAGCCGAAGGATATGATCCAGGCTCATTATCAGCACTATTAAGGGGTATGCGGCCCGCGGAATACGGGAAAGATCGAGGTTCAAGAAAGCGCAGACAGTGAGACTAGACACAATCGAAAGCAATATCTGGGCAATGACGGTGACTATGAGGCCAAACTTGGATTTGATAGCGCGGAGCTTCGTTAGGTTTATGAGGAAATATAGGAGGGCGACCGCATAGGCCACGGCAAAAATGATTGAATCTTGAGCAGTAATCGGCCTGAATTTAAACTCATAGAGCTGGCTGCCTGAGACTTGGCCGTTTGCAGGATATATGTCCCATTTGTCCCCTACCTTGGCGGGTAAAGATGGCGCGACGTCCTCCCAATGGCGACCAACAGGCGACGCATTTCGGTACAAGAGCGTAATGACGAGGGCGTCGGCGGCTAGTAAACGGCGATCTTCAAATCGCTTGCCACTAAAAACAATAGAGTGCCGTAAGGTGATGTTTGCCGGTGTGGATTGGTTCTTCCTGTCGTTGACGGTTGCCAGGATATCTTCGTCGGCCAGAATTCGTTCGCGGGAGCAGTTCCAGTACAGCAGCGGCGATTGAAATGCCCACGACTGGTCGGTCAGGCCATTAACGACGTGGAGAGCATCGCGTTGGGCTGGCGATAGGGGCGCATTGGGGTCACCGGGAGGAGGCAGGCCGGAATACCTGCCAGGGTTGAAGTCTTGAGTTGTGCCCAGAAGCTCGTCTTGTAGCTCGAGAGCCGACAGGAGGACGTCCGGGCTCAATGCTTGCATATAGCTCGAATGGATCCATATGGAACGCATGATGATGTCGGGAGTGATGGCGGCGTCGTAGCGGAGCGGCTGGGCGGCGGTCCATGCATGGTGAGGGAGGTTCGACGCCGCGCTGACGAAATCGGTGGTGTACAGAAATGGCACCGGGTATATTAGCAGTGAAGCAACGCCGGCCGAGGCCAGCAGCGTCCCGATGGCATTGCGAGACGCATTTCGGCCGTAGCGAGCAACAGCTCGTCGAAACGGGTGAGATGGTGCGAGGACAGGTGCCTCTGTTGTTCTATGGCGCAGATACCCATGGTCAACACAGCTTTTTGATTGGACGAGGCTACCTCCGGGCTCTGGGATGGAGGGTAGCGAGGGAATGGAATCGAGCGTGTCCTCACCCTCGCAGCGGATAGAGCAAGTACCAGATCATCTGGATCTCGGCATCGAATGGCTGCTGGTTGCGCTATGAGGTGATGCGAGAAGCCTCCGCAGCTGATACCGAACGATTGGCGCCGCAGCTGTCAGGTGGCCCCAGTATATAGACATTATCGGAGATCTCGATCCTAACGCGATTTAGCCGTGCCTACCTACTTTAGTAGGCACCATGGCCGGGTCTCAGCTTGGCGCATTGTTGCTGCAGAAATGGCTACCTCAGGAATGTTGTGTGAGGTACAAGGCCGCACGCCCGCCATGTGAAGTACCTTATAGTACTAGCAGCCGCCTGTAGTGGTCGGGTACCAAATTGTGCTGTATTGCGGCTAACTGCTAGAACCTTAGCAAGTCCTTCGCAGTAATAATAAACTGATAGACTATAACAACACCGAATATGTATTAAAACACAAGACAATTGAGCAATCTGCCCATGCGCTTGATCCGAAAATGTGCAATTGCTCATCCTTCAGGCATTTCCATCGCTGCCCTTGAGCCCAGATACTCGAGTAAGCGTAGATTGCGTAGCGACGCAGAAATAAAATGCGGAGTACATGCTCTGCATTACAGGGTACCCCTGCATTTTCCTCGCAGCGGCGATACTCCGTAGGCCTACCTAGTACCACTTCCTGACAGCTTCACCAACCACAGCCGGCGAGCATGCGACTGCGATCTGCGAGAGCCACGGCGATGGCAGAGTGAACAGACCGCCATCCGAGGGAATTAGAGCACGTACTGACCAGATCGCTTCGTCTTCCTGGAGACTCTTCAAATACCCAATACACCGGCGCTCGTTGTTTGGCGACGCCGACACCGCCAAACCCGAGGGGCATATCGAGCGACTTCCTCAGCCATCTCGACGAACGATAGTGATCTCATTTGACGCGTCCGCGCAGCAATGATATCGGAGGCAGAGTCTCCGCAGGGCGGCAGCCAGGCGCCTGCTGCTCCCAATCCCTTCAATTTCCAAACGCAGGTGATATCGACCACACCTGTTAAATCGGTTCGTCACATACACATCAAGATGCCCGCTGGTTCCCTCAAACTAACAGCTCCAACGACAGAACGTCGGCCAGCGTCGCGGGCACCGGTATAAGCATAGCAGCGTGTCGGCCCAGCATCAGATCTTCCAAGAACCGCCTCCAAGACCACCGCCCGTCCTTCCAGCATCGCTCCCCACACCCACCCTTAAAGAAGCCTGGAAAAGCTTACAGCGAGACCAGCGTATGCGCCTCTACTGGGGCCTGTGCCATGTCGCCATTGCCATGTTCATATTTTACAGATCGGGAGGCTCTCTTGCTGCAATGGCCTTGTCTCATCTCGTCTTCTTTGACGCGGGCAGCGCCGCTGTCTGCGTGGTGGTTGATGTCCTGGGCAATTTCGAAGTGTGGCGTCGTAGCAGCATTAGACATCCCTTTGGGCTTGAACGAGCGGAGATTCTTGCGGGCTTCGCCATGTCTATTTTCCTCCTGTTTGGAGGGTTTGACCTGCTCTCGCACAATCTTAAACACATCCTCGAGTCGGTTGGGGACCACGAAGCTCATCATGAACATGAACATGCTCACGACCACGTCTCCGCCAACTCCCTTGACCTCGTGTCGGCTGCTGCAATTGCGAGCACGCTTGTATCAGCTTATGGTTTGAAAAATCATGCTCGGATTGCCAAGGTCATGAGAGTTTCATATCTGGCTACCTTGCCTAGCATACTCTCCAACCCTTTCCATTTTTTCACCCTATTCTTCTCCGCTCTAATTGCACTGTTGCCCCTTCTATCTATTTCTTTGTACGACTGGCTCGACCGGCTGATCTGTGCCGTCATTTCTCTTGCAATGTTTAGTTTGGGCATGCGTGTTGCTGTTGCCCAGGGGCTTATGCTCCTCATGTCGTATGGCGGGAATAGAGGTGATGTTGGCGTCTCAGCCGTTCTCCGTGAGATTGAATCCGAATCAGGCATTGCCCGCATAGACGGTGCTCAATTCTGGCAAGTCCACTATGGCTTGTGTATGGCCAACTTGAAAGTCATCATTACAAATGGGTATGATGAACTTGCACTGGGAAAGCTGCGCAATCGGATTTCTACCTTGATACAGAATAGATTAGGAGAAGGTTATGGCAACGGGGGCAATGTGAGGTGGGAAGTCACTGTAGAAACGACTGTTGACACAACTATTTGAAAAATTATCGCCTGGCGAACATGCTAAGGTTTGCTTCGCGTTCTAACTAAACTAGTCGAGTTAGGTTGACGCATATATATATATATATTTATAAACCAATAGAGTGTAATTCCTATCTAATCCTCCTCCTCCTCCCTTTCTTTCTTTCTTTCTTTCTTTTTTTTTTTCCCGTTTCTCTTCCTTTTCCTTTTCTCATTTCGTAACTGTCATTTATGTCTTTATAGGGGATGGTCATAACGTTTCATACACGAGAACACGAACCAAGGGGCCTTTACTGATCATGAGTAAACATAACTTAGTGGAGAACTATCATCACCACACATTCAACCTCATATGACCGAACATGGTATACAATGGCTAACCTGTGCAGAATGCCTGCAATCTCGGTCTTGTGATGAATGGCTCAGAAGAGCCCCCATCGTCCACGTTCTTTGTTAGCTGCTCCTCTTCTTGAGTTCGCTCCATGGTCTCTGTCTCTTCCTTCTAGTTGCCGGAGACTTTCCATCTTCTCAAGTACCAATTCCAAAAGCTCTTTCCTCCGGATGACATCAAGATGTCGGCGGATCTTGGGATCTTCCTTGGCGAACTTCTCAACTTCCTCTGCGGATAGATGCCGTCCGAGACGAAGATCTAGCTCTCGCGGGAAGTTATAGTAAAACTCTGACAGCAATTCCACGTTGAGGAAGAGAACAGCTGTGGAAGCCAGTTTAGTAGCTGCAGCGTCCAAAAAGACTTCTGGGCAATAATATTTGTTTTTGGGATTGTTGCACTGCTTCGACTTGACAGCCAGCATTCGCATCTTGATAAGATCGGCCCTATCTCGAAGGAAGACAGCTTCTCTCCCTGTATCAGTGTTAGCATCATGAGTTATGCATATGAGCGGCCTCGGTAACTGACCTTTACTGAGGAGGGCAGCGCTAAATCCTCCCGCACCACTTCGCCCGTCGCCCTCTACAACGATGTCACCCTTTCGCGCCTTGTCCACAAAGGCCATCACTTCCTTTAGCTTCCTGCGGCCACCGACAGCTGGCTCCAAGCTTGCCAGGGCAGCCTCGCAATCTTGCAGCTCCTTCTTTAGAACAGTGCCAACGTGCTCGCGGCCTTGATTCCACTCTCTTTCATCAACCTCAATGTCGAATTTGAAGGGTTTGATGCAGTTTTCAACCTGATCACTGGTGCTATAAAATCTTTCATTGAGAATGGTTGATGCGGCGTCAGTTATGGCTTTCTTAGCAAAAGGATGGCTCACAAAACTCGAGTTTGCAAGCAATTTATCGACATGTGCTTGGAGAGATGCTGCGATGACTGTGGTTGCCAAGCGCCCGACTCCTAGCTTTGTGAGGGCTGAGGTCGAAGCATCTAGCTGACGACGCCAATAAAGAGAATCGGGATCGGACTTGGGGAGGTCAGCGAGATTGTCGAGATCCAATTTCGCCTGTGCCAAATCCGTCACTGGCTTGTTCCAGTAACGTGCGGCTAGCAGGTCCAGAACTTTCTGATCAAGAGCGCTCTTTAAAATCTCATGCATTTCTGGACGCCCAAATTCCTCGGTAAATTGCTTAAATGAATGCTTGAAAGCATCGAGGCTTTCGGCAAGGTAAGATTCCGCAGAGAGAGGGCGATCGTTATACTGAACTTTGAATTCGTAGGTTGCCTCTTCCAACTCCTGTCTAATGGCGTCGCTTGTGCTCTGTAAGCTGGATGACATTGTTTGTTCCAGAACACGCATTAATGTCTTTCGAAGATTCAATGTGCCCACGTTGACGCCTGCCTCTGGCCCAAACTCAAGAGGATGCGACGAAAAGTAGGAATTTTCATTCTTGGAGATCGCTGCAAGTAGGTCTGAAGAACCCATCTTAAACAAACCTTGTGAGAGCGGTGCTTTTGTCACAACCCCGACGTAACCCAGCCGTAGAGGATATTGTGTATCGTTAAGAATGTTAGCACCGCGGGAAGGATCTACCAAGTCCATCTTGGTAATGACTCCAATGGTTCGTTCGCCTCGGGGATCGACTCTCCGCGACGCTCTAAGAGCTGCCGAGTTCGCTAAATCGACATCTGCAGCGGAGATGGCAAGAATTACGTTTGGCGGTTGGATGTATTTGTCACATAATTCAGATATCTTCTGCTTCAGCTGTAGGGGTTGGTTTTGTCCTACAACCTGGATGTAGCCGGGGAGATCGATGAGAGAAAGATCAGGAACATTGCGCGAATATATCGTCAAGTGAATGGGGTCGTCCGAGACACACTCTGCGTCCGAAACAGCCAAATTTAGCTCTGTCAATGTTCGCTGAATCGAAGAAAAATCAGAGATTTTGCGTAAACCAAGGTCTGGAAATTCTCCATATTCCTCAGCCGACTCTGGTGTGTTGACCAGAGTCAATTCGATCGGTCTCCGAGTAACCATATTGCTTCCCTTTGGTAGAAATTCGTGGCCCACGATGGCTTCCAACACTGAGCTCTTTCCAGACGATTGCGAACCAATGACAACGATAGATGGCAGAGTGAGAGAGCTGGACTGGCCGACCTTTTGCAGTATGCTCCGAATCTCAATCATCTTCTTCGTTAATACCATCATCTGATCATCTTTAGACGCTTGTAGTGGATTTCGTGAATCGTCGTCTTCAGTTTTGTCGTAACCAACAGCGGCAGCTGAAGCGCCCACGGCAGCAGCGGCGCCAACTTTACTGTGCTTAGGATCGCCATTGGGTCCTCCTGATCCGCCAGAGCCGGTTTCCTCGTGCGTCCCTAGCATGTTCTTCAACCATTCAGGGACCTCTATTCGTTCCTTTGTGCTTTCCCAGCCTTGGCGTGTTTGATCCGCTACATCTTTGGCAGATCCGTATAGGCTGGATGCCGTGCCGCTCACCGTGTCAAAGGTTGTGCTGAAGAGTGAAATGGCATAATTGCCAGCCTCTGCAATCCGTTAGTAAACATCACTCGTAACGGATGATTGGGGACGAGAGTCACATACGTGTGGCCTGATACTGAACCCAGGCAAAGCCACCAATGGCCAAGCCACCAAATAAGGCAGGGATTCTAGCAAACTTCACCACCAATTTGGGTAGAAGTCGAACAAAGGACGCATTTCGTGCGATGACCAGGTTGTGGATGGAGTTGCCCCCAAACCACATGCGCTTTCTAGCTTCTCGAATTGAGGCATCTGCTCGTAGCAGCCCTCCAGTTGGAAATCGGTGTAAGTGGCGGACGGCCGCGGTGGAGGTATTTCGCGCCGCCACAGGCCGCAGACTAGCTGCGAGGAACCGGCCGCTCATCGTGGTCGGGCTCTTCCAGTCTGGGCAATTGCTCTATTGACGACCATGTGGCCTCGCACCACGCCTGGAAGAGTGTCAAGGGTTATAGTGATGGGGGAATAGTAATAGAGAGCATGGCGGTGCTGCATTGATCCCAATATATGGGTAGCTACCTAATGCGCTGGGTCTTGAAACCAGCCCACCTCTTATCGCCACGTGATGTCGTTTATCGGCGCAACTTTCCAATAAAATTTCTGGATTGCTCGAGAGTCTGGCAGAACGCTTGGGATTCATCCGTGATTGGCGTTTCCTCAGCATCATGGCAATTCAAAAAAAGCACGGCAAAGGCCGTCTTGACAAGTGGTACAAGCTTGCCAAAGAAAAAGGTTACCGTGCCCGTGCTGCATTCAAGCTAATTCAATTGAACAAGAAGTATGGCTTCTTGGAGAAGAGCAAAGTCCTGCTGGATCTTTGCGCCGCGCCTGGAGTAAGTGGCTTCTTCTTCTTCTTCTTCTTCTTCTTCTTCTTCTTTTTTTTTTTTACTATATGCCATTATATTCTCTTTGTTTGTCTCTCTTAAAGTATTGCTAATGATGCCTTAGTCATGGTGCCAAGTTGCTGCAGAGGTTATGCCTGTTAATAGTTTGATTGTTGGCGTCGACCTGGCGCCCATCAAGCCTATTCCTAGAGTCATCACCTTCCAAAGCGATATCACTACAGAAAAGTGTCGTGCTACTATCCGACAACACCTCAAGACATGGAAAGCGGACACAGTTTTGCACGATGGTGCCCCGAATGTCGGTACGGCTTGGGCTCAAGACTCTTTCAACCAAGCAGAGCTTGCGCTCCAGTCTATGAAACTGGCGACCGAGTTTCTCGTGGAGGGAGGCACGTTTGTAACCAAGGTTTTCAGATCGAAAGATTATAACCCATTGCTATGGGTTCTGAACCAGCTATTCACGAAGGTCGAAGCTACTAAGCCCCCGTCTTCCCGAAACGTCTCGGCCGAAATCTTCGTCGTCTGCCGCGGATACAAAGCGCCAAAATTCATTGATCCTCGCTTCTTGGATCCAAGATCCGTTTTTGCAGAGCTCTCTGGCGCCGCTCCAAACAACGAAGCCAAAGTCTATAACCCAGAAGTGAAGAAGCGAAAGCGTGACGGTTATGAGGAAGGCGATTGGACACAATTTAAAGAAGTTTCTGCAAGCACATTCATCCAGACGAACGATCCGATAGCAATTCTTGGTTCTTCCAATAAACTCTCCTTTGCTCAATCGCCCAATGGCGATATTGCGCTGGCTGCTCTGGATAAGCTTCCTGAAACAACTCCAGAGATCCGGCAGTGCTGCGACGATCTGAAGGTCCTTGGGCGAAAAGAATTCAAATTGCTTCTCAAATGGAGATTAAGAGTGCGAGAGATCTTCGGTCTCTCAACGAAGAAATCGGCAGCCCCTGTCGTCTCTGAGGAGGTGGCGGGAGTAGAATCAATGGATGAAGAGCTGCGAATACAGGAAGAATTACAAGCAATGAAGGACTCGGAGAATGCTAAGAAGAAGCGAGAGAAGCGCAAAGAGAACGAGAAGAAGCGCCGGGAAATCATCAGAATGCAGTTGAACATGATGGCGCCTATGGATATTGGAATGGAAGAATCAGGGCCACAAGGAGAAGGAGCCATGTTCTCCTTGAAGCGCATAGACAAGACAAACGGTATGAACCGATTCTCTCGGGGTAAAATGGCCGTGGTGTCAAACTCGAAAGATAGCAATCTAGACGAGACGCTGGCGGCTACCGCAGATCCAGTTGAAAGCGACAGCGAAGAAGATGATCTAGAGAGAGATCTTGATGCTATGTATGAACAATACAGAGAGCGGAAACTGGAGACGGACGCCAAGTATCGCGCGAAAAAGGTGAGAAAGGAACATGGCGATGACGAGTGGGAAGGCCTTTCAGCGGATGAGAAGGCGGAGAGTGACGCAAGCGAACTTGAAGAGGATGATGACACATCTGACGACGACGATGAATCTGGCCCTGCGGCTGGACTCTTGACGGACTTGGATGGCAGTGCAGGAGAAACCCAGGATGGCCTATCAAAAAGAGCCGCTGCTTTCTTCAACCAAGATATCTTCAAGGAGATAACCGAAGCGTCACTCTTGGGGGACAATGATACGACAGTTCGAGCACCTGGTACGAAGACACGTCAGCAGGCTCTGCCCACAGAGAAAGCAACGCAGTCTGAGACTCAAAATGGTGTCGCGAGTGACGACGATGAATCAATGGATGAAAACGGATTCGAAGTCGTGAAAGCGGAGAACGATGATTGGGAGGAAAAAGAGAAACGACGATCGGATGGAAGACTTGGTAAGTTTTTATACCGCTATCCTATCGTTAAATAAAATAGCACTGCAGCAGTGGAACAATGCAGCTAACTTGGCAAGACATCGATATTATCACGGCCGAAGCAATGACGCTTGCGCACCAGCTTGCCACGGGGCAGAAGACAACCCATGATGCAATCGACGATGGGTTCAATAAGCGCGCCTTCCGAGATAGAGATGGCCTGCCGGAGTGGTTTATCGATGATGAAGGTAAACATGACAAGCCTCAAAAGCCAATTACAAAGGCCGCCGCCACGGCGATCAAGGAGAAGCTGAGAGCCTTCAACGCCCGACCAATCAAGAAAGTGCGAGAGGCAAAGGCTCGAAAGAAGTTCAAGACAGCCCAGAGATTCGAGAAGCTGAAGAAGAAGTCGGACATGCTTGCGGCTGATGAGGGAATGACTGAGAAGGAGAAGGCGGAGAGCATATCCAAACTTATCAGCAAAGCTAGCAAACAAAAGCCTCGGCAGCCAGCCAAGCTTGTCGTCGCCAAGGGATTGAACAAGGGTATTCAAGGCAGGCCTAAGGGTGTAAAGGGACGGTATAGAATTGTTGATGCCAGAATGAAGAAGGAGCTGAGAGCGCAAAAGAGGATCCAAAAGAGGAAGAAATAAAAGGGGCAGCGTTTGACCGTATATATTAACTCGGGAGAGAATTTAGACTCGATGCGTTGACCCATCTGCGCGACACATAGACTGCTTGATGGTTCCAAGTTCCCGAAGGAACGAAGTCATTGGATACAGGGGGCCGCTAAAGTCCATATCATACCTAATATAGAAGTTAGAGAGTTAGAGAGTAATGTTTATAACTCGCAAACACACGTATACGTATATATATATGTCTTTGAGACTTACCAATAGTTGATAGCTAAAACAAATCCTTCACCACCACTGATACACGACTGCTTAACTTTATGATACCTTGAAGTAGATATTAGTAAGAATAAGAATACTGGTTATATGGTCTACATAATTTCTGCTGTATCGCCTTTTCTTCTTCATTCAGAATCAGGGGAATAAAAGATGCTCTAATGAGTCGTAACTGATTAAACTCACCACATAGCAGGAAGATATAGCATATCTCCAGGGTTTAGCGTCACATAAAGGGGCTTCGCCAAAGGAGACGTGGAGGTAGGATTCGTTTCGGGATCGTCCGGGTCCCAGGTCGCCAACGGCACCGGCTGAGAATCAGGATCGAGACGAAGAGCGAAGCCATCGCCCTGTCGGATGTACGTTGCCGGGAGAACAGGCCTCTCGTTAACGCAAGCATGGAACAGCGGAGGTAGTAAGACAAAGTGTTTCCTGCCAACGATCTGCACAAAGATGTTTTCAAAGTTATCCTTATGCATGGCCGTAGTAGACCTCGAGTTTCCAATCCATAGATTGATGGCATCTGGCTCTTTTTCAAGAGCTATACGCGCAAAGGGAATATCCTTTTGGGCATCGGAATACAGAGTTAGATACTCGTCCCTGAGATTATCATTTTCTTATTACAAGCTCTGTCAGCTAATAATTCAAGCGAAGTGGTAGCAATGGCGTGTCGGGGGAGAAGAATCTGCATCTCACGAGTTTGAGCGTATCTCACTTCGGAGTCGCTTGGAAACGCTGGGTCTGTCTCTTGCTGAGTGACATAGGTAAAAAAATCACTGAACAGCTGAATCTCTTCATGAGGCTTTGAAATTACGGTTGCCTGATGCTCGGGGGAGAATGTTGGAGCATCAGCATTGCTACGACGAGAAGTTACTTATATATCCATGATTTGGGAAAACCCCCCCTTTCTTCTGCTTTTTATATTTGTAATAAATTTATATCAGGAGCTTCGTTCTTACCCAAAAGGAGTGACAGCGACATTGACAAACTGGCCGTCAAGAGCTGATTTCAGATAGGTTGAGTTCCAATTTTGAGTCGCCTTCCAGTGGGAGGCTCCTCCTCGTATCACAAAGGGCGTGTTGCGAGCCACATAGCGCATGAACTCCAGTGGACTTGGCTCTGAAAAGAGCTCCTCCACACTGTGAGAATTGAGTTCGTTATAAGTGTTGATTAAATTCTTGAGCGAGTCGTCTAGGTCTGGTGCAGCCATCTTGCACATGTCAGAGGCTGGCAACTTGCCTTGGTCCAGAACAAGAGACAATGGATCATGGAAACGATCAAGGTGAGAGGCAGAAAGCGCGCAAGCCGATTGCTATATTCCTGCGTAATAGGTAAGACGACCAGCTTTTCTACGAAGCATTTCAAAAGAAATATTTAGACGAATAATGCGAATTTTGGAATTATGTAATAGGTATTAATGCAACTAATGAAATGTAGNTTTTTTTTTTTTTTTTTTTTTTTTTTTTTTTTTTTTTTTTTTTTTTTTTTTTTTAATTACAGTAGCTCTTTAATTCGTCCTTTGTACGAATTTATTAAGATTTCTACAATATGAGTCTATTACGCTCTTTTATTCGTTAAACTAGCCGGTTAGCTCATTTTTTCTTTGTTCAAAAGGCGGGATTTTCCCTTACTATAGAACTTCAAATTCCTTAAAGCGCTCTAGGTGGGCATCGCTGCGGCGATATGGCTCTAAAAGTCTGTTTATCTTCGCCTGTCTACGGAGAGTAGCCTTGGTCGCAAGACTCGTGACAGCCTCAGAACTCTGGAACTCGGGGTCGAATACCAGGAGCTGGACGTGGCCGTCCTTTAGCTTCTCAAAGCCAACAATCGTAACAGAGTGGCCTTGCGGTTGGCTCATTAGTCGAATGAACATGTGTGAATTTGTCAGGGTGGGTTTCTCACTGGGTCGCTGTAGATATATTGGGGGAAGCTGAGTAGATCGGACCTTGTGAGTTAAACAATCCGCCGCGCCTTGCTGGAAATAATCTTCAATTGCTTGTAATAGGCGGCCTGCAGCATTGCCGTCTTGCTCATTGGAGGTTCTGAAGGCTTGCACAGAACACCTACACCATGGTTAGGCCGATAAAAATATTAGTAGTATACTCGAACAAACTCACGGAAATCCCATGCTGCGAAAAAGAGCTTGAGCCTAGGGCGAATGATGAGCATAGGAAAATCATCCACAGGGGCAACCGTCGAGAAAGTCCATACCTCAGGTGTCCCAATGTATTTGCGTGTCCCCCTAATCCCTCCTGTCTCAATGCGCCCTCTGGCGTTATACCCGCGATCCCACGCTGTCTCAATCAGCTCTTGTATTTGAAAGATGCTCGGGATGTCATCTCCAAACTGCTCCCACCCCGTCGTCTCGGTCGCGATGATGTGTGCAGCAAGAACTTGTATGTTGCGATAGCCGCAAAAACCACCTAAAAGAACCATTATCTGATGAGAATCCGCACTCTTATTTCCTCTCTTTAGAGCTTGTTATTTGCGGAAGATCTTTAGCTACCTTCTCTTCTGAGCTTTGCTACGTGTAAGGCATCTGGATGGCATAGATATGCATATTCAGTGGGCGCGCTTAACTCAAGCAAGTGTTTAAGAGCTGGCATTACACCTACAGCGCATCGTTAGCAAGTTTGGCCTGTAATGAAACTGCTTGGGAGGGCCATACCACTTGCCCGGACGGCTCCTTTCTTTTCCAGCAGTTTAATCAGCCATGCCGGCATCTCCTCTTCGTGGGCATATTTTCCAAGTTGTAGCGTCTAACTCAGACCTTCCCGTTAGTCAAGTTTTGAAAGAATCGCTAGTGCCTATAGACCGACCCCAAGTCTCGACGATTCCGACGTCCCTTGATGGCTGTTTGGCGAGTCTGAAGAATCCAATGGCGCTTCAGTTTTGCCTCGAACAGCGGACGCCCTCTTGGTGCGCAATGAGTGTCCTGGAAGGAGCCGTTTCCATGCTGGCTTGAAGGCGCCACGCTTGGTTTGACCAGGAATCAAGGATGCTGAAAATAGCCGTCCAGATCGCGATGTCGAGCCAGTTCTCTGGCGCTCAATGGGACTGCTGACTCGAGACTCGGGCGCATCATTCGACGCTGCCGAAATCTCATGCCGTTCGATAATCTCCATCAGGTTATCGACAGCGAGTTTGGGGTCGTCTTTGAGAGGCTGCAGAGTCGTGACAGTGATGGGCGCGCAGTGACATGGTCTCCAGCACCGAATACGCAGCTCGAGAGGACCTGCGTGGAATCAACGAGAAGGCACGAATAGGAGACCAAAAAAAAAAAATGAAAGAAAGAACGAAAGCCTAAGGCGTCTTCCCCCCGTCAGAATGGCGCAGCAGGAGGGAATTGCTCTTTGAAAGCTGATTTCATCTTTGTCTCAGCCGGGGTCCCGGCCACTCACACGCTGAAATGGTGCCTGGTACAGCAAGTCTGGCTCGCGTGACGTGCGTCGTGTACCTGGATGCGAGACGTTGCCAGGTACTGGTACTTGCGGAGTACGCAAACTCACAGGCGTTATGGCCGCTTAGTACCTACCTATGTACCAGGTAGCTGGTCTATATCCCTGCCTACTATACGGAGTACCTATAGAAGCTGTTAGCAGTACGGGATGTTCAGCGCAGTGTGCAGGCATGGATTACAACGTGAAAACGCAAGATATTCTGATAGGCCGCACCGGTATTATTTGAAATGAGCATTGATGAGATTAATGTTCATGTCAATCATATCTGAGAAAGTGGTAGCAGTATGTCTCGAATTCCAAGCTTTTTTATCATGGACCCTTTCTCTTGGCGTGCGGCACATTTTCTGCGTATCCAGGTGGTGCTAAGATACCACTGCTGCTGAGCCCAGGTAACCCGCCAAAAAAAAAAAAAAAAAGAATCAATCTGCCTTACTACACACTATTTGAACTGAGACACACATCAAATTGTAGCCGGACTATTTCCCTGCAGCATATCATCCAAGCAAAATGGCTCCCCCCATCCACTTCATCACCGGCAACGCCAACAAGCTCAGAGAAGTCAAGGCGATCTTGGAGCCGAATATCGAGATCCGCAGCCAGTCGCTGGACCTTGAGGAAATCCAGGGAACCATTGAAGAGGTTGCAAACTCCAAGTGCCGCCGGGCTGCAGACTTAGTATGGCCATCTTTCTCTGCTTTAACTTGAAGTTAAAAAAAAAAAAAAAAAAAGAGTGCTAACATATCAATCTCAATTGAGGTGAACGGTCCAGTGCTTGTAGAGGACACAGCTCTTTGCTTCAATGCCTTGAACGGACTGCCTGGCCCTTACATGTAAGCTGTCTGATACATTGGCAAGAATCCGACTGGACTTGGAAACTCATATTCGCTCTGCGCTGTAGCAAATGGTTCCTCGACAGCGTTGGACACCAAGGCCTGAACAACCTCCTGGCCGCATATGAGGACAAATCCGCCGAGGCAGTGTGTACGTTTGCGTACTCCCCCGGACCTGGGCGCGATCCCATCATCTTCCAAGGACGTACACCCGTAAGTTACAATTTTGGTGTTGAAAGAAAGACACTATTCTGACGACTTCTCTTGCTAGGGTCGGATTGTACCGGCTCGAGGCCCTTCTAATTTTGGTAAGACATCTTTCCGGTCCAGCGTACTTTCTTGAGCACGGCAGCATATATTAACGGCGCGCCTATTAACGTTAGGATGGGACCCGGTATTTGAATTTGAAGGGAAGACGTAAGTCGTTCATTCACGACATTCAACTGGTGATAATGATCTAACGCTTCTTGCCTAGTTACGCCGAGATGGAATCTGCTGAGAAGAACAAAATATCGCACCGCGGGCGTGCCCTTAAGAAGCTTCAAGCATGGTTTGAGACTCAGCAAGAAACACCATCATCATAAGATACACGCAGAAATCACTGACATAGATAACTCGCAATTGACAAGGCTGGATGCCTTTATTGGCCCCCCTCTGACTAATTTCCATTCATCGTATTTCTTTGTCCAAATGGTGATGAGCCCCCACTGTATACGGAGTACTGCACGGAAACACAAACAGCAAACATCATGCCAAGCCGTTGCGACATTTTACTCATCACGTAACCGCCTGTGCCAAGAAATCATCGGCAAGTATCTCGTTCATGCTATTGTCCGTACGTACATCGTGCAAGTATGTACTGATCCGTGTTATTGGAGGCGAGTACTAGGTAGTCGTAGTACGGGTGTTTGTGACATCCCACAAACACGTACCCCTGTGTTTTGTATAAGCAAGCAGTGGCCAACTTATCATCCAAGCTCCCGACTCGTTACAGCTCGGGAATCTCATGCAAAATTGTAGTGCCTAGCGGCCGCCCTCGATGCATGCATGTAGGTACCGGGTTATACTAACTGACTTGGTAGCTGAACCCTACATGCAGGGATGGAATAGTTCAAAGGACAATGGCCGGCAATCGACTAAGGCCGGCAAATGGCTGGCGTCACTCGTCGCCTTGCTGCCACGGCTCACCCATTCCGTCGACCTTGTGGGGGTGATTTCAGCTCGGATGGCTCAGGCCCCCCGGTCTGTCCCTGCTCATCTCATTCTCCGTCGACAGGGGTTGCTGCTGCGGCCTTGAATAAAGCCGATCAAGCCACCAACATCTGATGACACCAACTGATCTGATCGTAGACTCTACTACATCAGTTCACCATCGAAATGTCTTAGATTTATCATGGCCAGCCGCGAGCGCGAGCCCAGCATCCCCGACCTCCTCTTCCTCCTCTCCTTATCGTCCGTCTCTCGTGAAATGAGACATTCGCCCGACCATTACTCACCGGACGCCGGGGCATTTGCCAATGTTGCCGAATAAGAATCGATGTCTGCTGCCCGATGGATAGCAATGTGTTATATCGAAGCTCTGAGACTTCGTCATGGGCCTGGCGGTTACACCGGCTGTGCGCTTAACCCTGCATTTGAATCTTCTTGGACTTACCTTCTGAATGGATGACGGCACTCCACTTCAAAGCCCGTTCGCGCTGTAGCTGGGAGCTCTCTCGCTGGTTCCCATGGCCACTCTCACTCGCGATCCACATCGACCCTGCCTCTAGGAACGTCGTTGTCTAGCTCCACATCTGTTTAACACCGTCATGATACACAGAGAACCTTCGCCATCACATGTGTTGGCATCACTCACATGATGCGTGCTACCAACTTTATATTCTCCGAGCTCCCCCTCTCTCGCTCACTGGTCAGCGCCTCTATACACTTGTATCACTATATATATATATATATGCACTGAGGAATTCTCCGCTACTCTCGTGTTCTTGTTATCTACTCACAGCTAAGATCAGGAAAGGAACAGAGAACAGAGTGAGTCAAGGAGACAAGAGAAGAGAAGAAACACTTCCTTTTAAGTCTCCAACTTACACCCCCTTCAAACATTGGGCTTCACTGCAGTTGAACTGCAAGCGGGAAAGTGTGTAAGTAGACCTGTGGCCAGGGCCATCTTTCTACCAGGGCCATCATGAGATTCTGGGGTGACCTCTTCGGCAATCTATGGAGACTGAGATTTCGATGCAGCCATCTCTTGTGGATCTAGATCTGCGTGTCCTGTATTGGCATTTGCCCCTGACAAACAGACTGATTGAAATTGGCTAACTTCCGGTGCCAACAAGCAGAAGTCAGGAATTACGCCAGCTACGAACGAAGATAGCGTTTACGGATTACCATGTCGTTTCATCATGTAAGTTTACTTATAGGCTATTCCTACTTGGCTTGGATATATCTTACTTTGCTACTTTCATGATGATTAAAGAAAGCTCATATCTTCTGCTTAGCCTTTCCAGGAAGCACAATTTGATCTTTTCGACTGGTATCCCGAATACCAATCCTGCGTCTCCTTTTTCCTCCAGCGCGGCCAGCATTCAAACGAAGTTCAAGCTGTTGCTGCAATTGTCAACATTCTATTACCGTTCCAACAGAGCCAAGCATCTCCCGGACCTTACAGTCCCACTACATCTACGCTTAATCTTTCTTCTCCCAACACAAACGTTTCTCTAGTGCCCTACGTCCGCCGTTTGGTTGCCACCGGATTCGACACCGCCGCCATCCTACACGGCTTCTTCGGCGATTCCTGGGACGCCGGCATCGGCTCCATACACCAGACTGAGCGAAGAAACTACCTCTTCGCAGCCAAGAGCGAGACTTGGTTGAGAGTCAAGGCCAGCTACGACTTGGAAAATGGCCAGACGGTACCCTTCCTCCGCCCCCTTCAAGGCGTTACCGAAGAAGAGATACAGGCAGCCGAGGCGAATTGGAGCGAATGGCTCGCCATGCAAGACTGGATGCTGGGACCTCGTGCTCTTTCCGACAACGGCCCTTCTCATGTGAACTGACCAGGACGACAGAGGGGATGTATTCAATATGAATAACCAGCATCAGCCCTTGGCGGCTAAAATATCTATAGAGTACAAGCCACACGGGTTTTACTTCATTGACGTTATCAATAGGGGGACGGGGGGGTTGGGATGCGCGATGAAGAAGAGTAGCGGCCATCCAGGCCATATGAGACTTCATAATTATACACTGTTCCGCCGCAATTGGGACGGGTCAATCATGATTTGGCAGAGCGTCACGCTTTGCCTATGATAGCGAAGATGAATATAACTAGCATTGTTCCCTTTATTCCATCTTGCCGCCAGAAACTGTTTTCTCTTCACCCTATCAATTTTTTTTTCTCTTTAGTCTTTTTTTGGCCTTCCCATTCACCGAGAAACTCCAAATACTATATGTACAATACCTTCTCTGGCATGTTCTTTATCACCGACTAAATGAAGAAATGCTGGCGACGAACATCGGATATAAGGTAAGCCTCCACAGCACTCCATGGTCCCTTGCCTGAATTTTTGCCCTTCCAAAGTCACAATAACTCCACGACTGCCAGGGGAAGTCACCATCCCCAATGAATCCGCATGCAAAGAGCTCACGTTCCCTTTTTTTTTTCATGTGTTATGACTGTATCCCTCAGTGTCGCATTTCAGCCGTTAATCCTAAGGCACCTTTGTTGCTTTTCTTTTCCGAAAAAATAAAATAAAAACTCTCGTCCGTTTACCAATCCTGCATTATGCCATCACAGAGTTGAAGTGTGATGGCAGACAGCACCACATATAAGATGGAGGAAAGAATAGTTGAGAAAAACTAATCGAAATAATAACGTATTAAATATTGAGCCAATTGTCCGCTTTTAGCCGGCTTTATGGATCAAGATCGACATCTTATCGCTTTATCGTCCTAGTATTAGGATCGACCAAAATAATACCTTGAAGGCAAGGTGGGTATTAGTTGAGGAACCCTTTGCACGCTGCTGTGCCACATAGGCATGGAATACGATCCAAACTGCCGATTTCCCGCTCAAATTTGTAGTCGTAGGTTAATTCCTCATCTAAAATACAATGATTAGCTTGACTGAAGACAGACAATAACAACATGGGCATCACGCTTACTCATAGCAATATCGCGTAGGGCATAGATGACGATTCGCTTGCTGCCTTCGACTTTGATAATTTTGGCAGTACAGTTTGGCATGCAGCTATGGTTGATGAACCGTGCAATGCCTCCCTTTTTCGTAGCATCGATGACTGTGTTGTCATCAATCCGAAAGAGATAACTACTGCCAATGCCGCTCTTGAGGTAGCGGTTCTCCCGAATCTCTGCAATCTGCTGTCGAACTTCCTCACCCACATACTCGATAATCATGTCGTCTTTATTGATGTTCTCCATAGCGTATAGGCCCCAGTTATGAATGGCAGAGCGGGCAAACTTGACAGGCTTTTTCCGCTTCTTAAGCTGGTTGAATTTGAACACGTCCGAGTCCTGCCCGAGCGTCTTCTTCTGGTCATTAAGATCTGCGACGTATCGTCGATTAGTGGCGCGGTTGGCTCGGGAATTGCCTTTGGAAATGAGCTTCTCAGCAGCCAGTCTGGCAGCTTCATTCGCCGCTGCTGTGGCATCTCTCCCCGTCTTCTTGGAATTGGCCTCCCGCTCCTCTCTGGCTTTTTGAACCTTGATGTGATGGGGCAGATATTTTGACTTCTCTGAATTCAAGATTTTATTGGCTCCTTCAGTTCGCGCACAGCCGCTTGCATTCGGCACGTAGTAGCCTTCAATGCGGACTGGGCCGCGCTGAACGCTATCGGCTGTGTTGAGCTCCCTGACGCGATTCCGTTTCCACAGCCATAGCTCGGGATTGCCAATCTCCTCGGTCTGAAATCTCTTGAGCAGCCTACTGAGGTCCGGAACGTCCTTGGGACCCAGGGATAAAGAAGTTAAAGATGCAATGTCAGGCCTGAATCCGTCAGGGAGTGCTGCCGCCGCCGTCATTGGCTTGGTCGCGAAAAGCTTTTCATCGTATTTCTCGATTACGATATCGGCCTCTGGCACATCCTCGATTGTGGGCTTCACTTCGTCTGCAGCTTCATCCGCATCAGAAAGTTGAGATTCCGCTTCTAGCTGTTTCTTTGACGTCTCTCGTTCCTGGAGCAGCTGTTTCATAGATTTCCGTTTGGATTTAGCTGACTTCGTCTTGGACAGCTTTTCGGATGGTGCCTCAACGAGCGCAGCCGAATCTTCCCGCTCTCCAGCTGCTTCCAGCTCCAAACCAGTGTCGTCCGAGTCCTCGACTACCTTGAACTCCGCATCGATCTGGTCAATTTTAACACCAAACAACTCTTCATCGGATTTCTTCTGTCTTTTGAAGGCAGCCTCGATTGAAACTTCCAATTTTCGCTTCTTGATATGCGCACTGTCAATAGCAAGACTAGCCTCCGTCATAGAGTCATCTTCGGCGGGGCCCCAGGAAGCAAAATCATCCTTGGAGGCCTCGTCATCGGTGCTCATGCGACTCCGTGGGCGTGATTCCAAGTGGCTTGTATCTCGCGCTGCCAATACTCTTGCATCGGTATCATCATCAGATTCAAAATCACTATCCAGGCTTTTGAGACGATGATGTAATGATCGAAAGGCTGCGCGAGCTGCCGAGGCGCGTTTCCGCGCAAAAGGATCGACGAAGGTGCTACGGTGTGCAAGACCTTTTGTTTTGCTCTTTCGAATTCTTGGGAGGGCTTTGGGCTCCAAACGGCCAGTTCGACGTTCGATAGGGTCTGCCCGAGAGTTCGGCGTCCCCAATTTAGGGCTGACACTGCCGCTATCGAAAGCATCCTCTTCTGTTTCCATAGGATCGATGTTAAGCTTCCGTCTCTTGGCAACATGCTTGGCTGGATCGAGAAAATCGGCCAACGCAGGAGCTGCGATTTGCGTGCGAATATGCCTGATGAGATGTTCCGTCATTTCACGCCGAACAACCTCCATAGCGGCGATTACAGGGTCAAAATTTTTAGCCCTCTGCCTCTTTTCTTCTTCGAGATCTGCCTCTTCTTCTCGGCGCCTCCTTTCCTGCTCGGCCTTTTCCGCTCGGTGATCTCTTCTCGGTGCTCGCTCGGGGCTAGGGCTCGACCTCGGGGCGGAATCGATATACGCTGACCGTGGCAAGCAAAGCTGCATAGCCATGTTGTAGTTGAAGAATTCGGTGTGATTAACAGCCCGAAAACATCGTTCTGCTTCGCTACGCCCAGTATATGAATTTCGAAAAACAATGTAGAACCCTGTTTTATCGAGGCGAATATCTTCGAATCCATAATTCTTTAATCGCTTCTTCATATGTGGTATTATGCTGGGTAAAGTAGGGACGCTTTCACTCCCTACAAAGATATATGGGTCATTGGCCAGCTGGGAGCTAATGATTTGTGACTCGACGATTCCGTGAGGGCGAGCCTGCGCTGCTGCTGGCGCTGTTACTTGAGCCGGCTGGGTAGATTGGGGTACAGTCACTGGAGGAGGGGCCCTCTGGGACGCAGGGCCTTTGGGTGCCGTCGGCGGTGGCCGCACAAAGCCGGGGGCGGTCGCTGATTTTGGCCCAGTTGGAGGAGGCTTTGACCGAGCCGACTCATTAGCCAGCTTCTCTCTCTCTCTTTTTAAGACTTCTTCCAGCATGCGCCGACTCTTCCGGCCTTCGGGGTCGTATTCAACCTTGACAACATCGGCGTCGACTTTGATTCCTCGAGTACGAACGGCGCGTCGCGCAGCATCAATAGCAGATACCCTTGGACGGTCTGGGCGCTTGGAATCGCGGTATCGGATGGTCGCAAAACCAAGATAACTGCCTGTATCTGGGTGCATTTTGTTGCTGCTCTCGGCAATTTCTCCAAAGGCAGCAAAGATGGCTATCACTTTGTTGAAAGACACCAAAGGGTTGTATCTGGTAACAAGGACTTGTGTGGGAGGGCCGGGGCCAATGGATGTTTTTGGGTCATAAGGGTACGGCTTGAGGTTCTCTGGAGCATGCCGTAGGCGTGCTTTGGGCAAATAATAGTCTGTGTTGATGTATGCTAACCTATCTCCTGCCTTTGTTAGGCGAGGATCCGCAGGGGGGGCGTCATCTTCCTATTCCAACAATTAGCCATCAGCGCTCGAGAACAATGACGCCCCCCCCTCTGCAACGGAGGTAATCTGCTATTATACATACCAAGCCAAACTCCTTGTAAACTGGTTTCGCGTTCTTGTTCACATTTTTCTTGCGAAGTCGATCGAGGAGCGGGTCATAGGTGCATTTGATGCCCTTAACCGAAAGCAACGGATCTCGAGCTAGGGGACGTTCAATTGAAGGGATGCCGTCCTGCTGCAGGCGTTGGCCAGCGGGCATGGTATGGTCCAAGGCCCGTTCGACGACTGAGGGCGTAGACATGTTTGATTTCGCAAGCGCGTGGATAGAGGAAGGCGAATCTGTGGAAGTGAAGGGAGTCGCATTCATAGATGGCACGGAAGACGTGGCTGTCGCAACTGGTAACGCGGAAGCGCTGAATAGTGAAGAGGACGAGCTAGCATGGGAACTTGCTGAGCCTACGGTACTAGGCATATCCCCAGGCGACGAGCCGTTATCATCGGCATGTGGCTGCGTGGTATCTGATGAGGAGGAAATATTTTGGCAAGGTCGAGCGAGATCATTCGTATCGGCATCTGTCACGACGGCTGATTCTTGCGCTGTATCAACTGCCTGAACGCCCCGCTTCGACCGCTCTCGGTCGGCACGTCCTTGGACTTCTGTCTTAAACTTCGGGGCGTTGGGGAAGAATTGCGCGAAGCTCACGCCTGGTGGCGGACGAGTCATCGTGTCGATGAGCTCCTGCTATCTCATGCACCGTGGTGTAATCATGATACCTCGCTCTGTATTTGGGAGGGTTTACCATGCATAACTTCTGCCGGAGCTGGATGGCAGGCGGTTTCTGTGGTACGCGCTAGAGCGCCGTCCACGCGACCTGGAGACGCTGCAAAATTGAGTTTCTTTATGGGCGGCGTGCGCTCCGTCGCGGAGAGAGGAGATGCAGGGAAAAGCCGGCAAAAGAGGGAAGCGTCGTTCGCGACCACAGCGCGATGGCCTACAAGCTCGAGAACTCGCAGGTGGGCGGCTGAAATACAGGAGGTGCTTTGGCAAAGAGGTGAGGTTGGACGTATTTGGCTCCGAGTTTAAAAGGGACAATGCAATGAGGATCCTCGTTTTCGCTGTAGTCAGCATGTGGGTTTGCTCAAGTCGCGGCCCGCGCTTGGAATGTCGGGCTGCGGAGCTATAATAATCCGAGCCTCAGCGGGGCATTTCTTGGAGCTCGTCACTGCACTTGATGGATAACCTCTGTATATGTATACGCTACTGCTACCACCGCACCTCCGACTCATCTGATATATCAGCACTATTCCATGCAAACTCTTCCGTCTCGCATTCGTTGCGCTCTATCGCCTTCTCCAAAGCAGTTTTCACCTCCTTGTCCAGCTGCTTCTCCATGCGCGACACGCCGTCGTCGTCCACGGGATTATAAAAATGCTCATAGTAGCCCTTTAGTAGATTTTCCTTATTTAGCCCCTTCAAGCTGAGGTTACTGTTTGGAAAGACGTCGGACTGATAGGGTAGAGGTTGAGGATTGGGAGGAGCGTATTCAGGTTCGTCTTGGTCGGGGTCGTGGCCGTCTCTAGCCGGGAAGAGCAACCTCTTTGGCGCTGGTTCGGCCTGTCTCTGTCTCTGCTTCTGTCTCCTTTTTTGAATCGTGGCGTTCTTGGTCTGTGACTTCTCAATCCCCTTTGCGGCGCCCTTACCGCCGATCTCATGGCCTTCGTCGTTTTTGGCTTTGGCGTTTGTCGTCTTGTTTCCCAACGGCGCTCGAATCCGAGGTCCTATCCCGATGAATTAGATTTCGTTTGATATATCGCCTGTCGGGCTAGAAACTCGTACCTGTTGGGGTTAGCAGCGGTTTCTTGCCAATAAATTTTGCATTTTCTCCTAGTTTGGTCGTTCCTAGGATTGTCTTCTTCGTTGTAAAGCCTGTCAGTGCATTCTCATTGCCTCGTTGCAGATATCGCATTCCAGGTGTCTTGGGCTGCTGCTGCTGCTTGGAGGTACCCTGGTGACTGAGCACCCGATTCTCTTGCTCTCGATGGGTAGAGAGCATGACAGTATGTGGCAGATCCTATGAGTATAATTCTTCCTTTCAAGTCATAAATCTCTTGGAAATAAGTACGGTTCTGTGGAGCAATTATAGTAGGAGAATGATTGGGTAGTGCTACGGGTATGACAAGGTTCGAAATCATGGCTCCAGAATGGCGCGTATTGATAGTCTCTGCGCTTGCTCAGCGAAGAGGCCGTTGACTAGGCAACTGCGGAAGGCGCTTGGTTTTGAGGTAGGTAAATTTGCAAACTAATACTGAAGTAGTACTAGCCAAAAGCCTGCAAACATATTACATAATAAACCTAGACTAGGTATATCTACCTACGCAAATCGATAAAGAAGAACAGCTCCATGCAGATTGTCTACAAGGGTCCCGAAAATAGGTAAGCAACGGTAAAATCATAGAGAAAGTGATTAATTTCGTATCGCAGATTGGAAAAGTTGGAAAAGTCTTTGATTATTCCATGTGCTCTGGGGATGCTATTCTTACATACTTAGTACGCGTCCAATCCATGGGTGCACTTTTGCTAGCAGTACTTAGGCACTTAGTGGTAATAGTAGTGGTCCATATCATTATGCTGCTTGTGCTGTCCTAGTTCGCAATATCATTTGACCTATCAATTACTGCCTGGGTGAGATGCATCACGAGAGATGACTAGCCAGACGCCTTGCATGGGCAATATCGCTCTCCTTGCTTGCACTTTCTGGGTAAGTAGATGTGATGATATTCCCATGCTATGTAAAGCATAAGCTTTGTAAGGGGTGCCCAGTGCTCTTATTCTTTGTTCGCGCACTACAAGAGTTACTGGGTACTTTGCAGGTACGGTACGCGGCCTAGCTCGCGGCCCAGCATGCGGCTCAGCAACGTGCTAAGACAGCCGGTGTTATTACAGTACCAGGTCTCTAAGGCCTGCGGGGCATGGCCGCCCACTGAAGAAGGCATCAGAACAGGCGGCATCGAGGGGCATCAAGGACACTCTCCTTTACCCCACCCCCTTTCCAGGACCATTCGACACTCTACATATTACACCTCGAGCCCTCTCCAGACTTTCTTCCAACTTTGTTTAACAAGCAACCTAAGTTAGCTGCATCTTTCACACACCAAAATGGATCGCATCAAGGAGGTAAACTCTCGCTCCATCAAAGCCTCTTGTGGGTAAGCTACACCGACCAGACAGAGGCTAACAGGATGAGCTAGAAAATGAACTCGCTCCGCTTGGAGGCTGATGAAGCTGTCGCCAAGGTGGAGGAGCTCCAGGGCAAGGTCAAGACTCTTGAGCAGGAGAACCTAGCAAAGGAGCAGGAGATTACCTCTCTGCAACACAACAACGGCCTCCTCCAGGCCGAGGTCGAGAAGCTGGAGGCCGCCATCACGGACTTCAAGAAGGTGGCCGACGAGGGTCAGGAGTTCGGAACTCAGAAGGAGACACTGCAGCGACGACTCCAGCTGCTAGAAGACGAGGCTGAGGAGGCCGACAAGACTCTTCGCGAGGCCAACGAGAAGTATGTTTACTGCCATATGCTCTGCGACTATTCGATGCGTTTCAATGCTTCGCATCCTCTTGTCGTGTTGAATTAGCTCCGCCAAAACACCTGCTAACATCATGATTACAGGCTTCGACAGACTGATGTCAAGGCCGGACATTTCGAACGCAAGGTCCAGGCCCTCGAGAATGAGCGCGATCAGTGGGAGCAGAAATATGAAGAAATGGCACAGAAACATGCAGCTCTGCAGAAGGAGCTGGAGGAGCTCCAGAATGAGATCGGAAATATCTAATTGTACTTTCTTAGCCAGCACACCTTTTTGTCGCCCCACACCACGGTTGTGCGGTTGGACCCTTGTAGGAACCACCAAGGAACATAGTAGGATGGAGGCGTGTTGATAGAGAAGATTCAAGTGTCACAAGGAAGCGCATGTTTAGCAGCAGCAACATTTCAACAATTACGTGTTTCGTCGCCCTTTCTTTTTCTCTCTCTTTCGGTTTGGGGTATCTATAGATCGCTGCAGAGGCTGGCAACTAGTATTTTGTGTTTTCAAAGTCTTCATCTCGATTTGCGCGCACTGGCTTTTGCACTGCTCTTTGCCTTTTGCCTCCTCCCTGCTAGCTGCCTTTCTATCTTTGACTCGTAACGGAACTTTTGCTTCTTCTTTTTAGGTCGTACTGGGCCCTTTTTGGCCGACTTGTCCTCGTCAACTTTATCTGCTTCTCCATCTTTGTCTTCCTCCGCCTTTTCCTGCGCCTTCTCTGGTCTTTCCAGGCCATCCCGCGATATTGACACTGACTCGACCGTGACTGTTGTATATCGATCTTCGTCTATGTACTCTTCTTCGTGGTCAACAATGTCTAGATTCGGCCGGTCTGGAAACCCGTCCCACTCGCCCTCGTTGGCATCTTCATCTGATTGCGATTGTTGCTCAGTAGCGTCATCCTCAATCGCGCCAGATTCCCGGAGCAGCTTATTAACGTGCTCAACATGCTCCTCAACTTCTTTCATGCGTTCATCACGAAGCTATTGGCAACGCATATAATTAGACCAAATAATCAAAGGCAAAGCGACAGCTTTCAGATGGATAACAGATCAAAGGAAGCATCAATTACCTGTTTCCTGGTTCTTATTCTCTCCTCCCGTGCCTTCTTAGCGGCTTCTTCTTGTGCTTGTTTGATACGCTGCTGTTTCCGCTTGTGAAAGCCCGTCAGATACTCGTTTCGTGCGTCGAAATCGAAAGAGACTTGTTCAACGCCATATTTGCGCTTCTTGCTCGGCGGAGGCAGGGGGCTCTTCTTTGGCCGTGGCTTCGCAAACATTGTTCCTGTTGTGCCAATTCTTGCTGCGGCTTTGGCACCGTCGCTATTGTAAAATTTACTGGTCCCTTCGAAAAATATTTAAATGCTACTTTTAGGAGTGCTCCGTACTGCAGGGTGTATTGCCCACTTAGTATTAGCGCAATCCGTACTGATGGAGTACCTCTTAATATAGAGGCTTGCAAGGGATTCGCATTAGCCTTACCGGCTTTTTGCAATAACCGCGATAGCTGCATACCTAATCGGTGGATGATGTAGCGCGCTGTCGCATCCCCGAAGCTCCCAAGTCTCGGCCCTTAATCTGCAACCCATACTGTCTGCAGGCCAGCATCACATCAAACGAACCGGCCATGCATTTCCAGACGATTGCTAGCCTTTTAGCGCTGTCTGGCGCAGCGAACGCCTTTCACGACTCTTCGCCTTGGATCCTTTTATCAACCTCTCCGTAGGGCAGCCACCGATATCCTCTTGATGGTAGACGTAGACGGAGATGCTGACACCTTTGTAGCTTCGCCAAAGCTCCCAGCGCGGACCAGATCCAATCGAGCTCTTCAGTACTAGGCTATGCTAGAGATGTGCTGTCGACATGCCCGACCGATCGATATCTCATTGTTTCTCAGCCTGGCTTAAACGCCGCTGACCTCCGACGGTCCAATGGCTGTGCCATGCCACACCTTTGCCAAGCCGTCGAAGACAGCCGAATCAACGGCAAAGCCGTAGTATCTGAAGTCGTTGGAGACCTGGCAGGTGCTGACCTATCTGAATACATCAGATCTGCTTGTGCCAAGAAGGAGAAACAAGTTACCGTAGACGAGATCCGCCTAGCCGCCTTGTCTTTAGAGGATAGAGCTCGATCATTCTCTGACAACGGTATGTCGTGCTGGAAACGCAAGAGTTAATCTCTTCTGTAGCTAATGTGATAGTAGATGATACACTGGCACGCAGCATCGAGAAGACCACGGCAGACAACAGTTACACAATCGTCGTTTTTTCTACGCCACATGAGCCAACTTACGAGCCCGATTTTGTTGACCCCGTCCGCATGGACCTCAAGAGACACGTTCAGAGCGCACAACTGCAACAACGAGACAACAAGACTGACTGGGACAAACTGCCTCTGTTTGAGAAGTACCAGTTCTTCACTCCCGGTATGGAACAAACTATATCAATCTGTTCTTGTAGAGACTAATGAGACATCTAGGTATTTTTATGGCCCTCATCACCGCCATTGTTCTGCTTTCTATCCTCAGTGTTGGACTTAGGGCTCTTGGTAGCCTTGAAGTTTCATATGGTGCATTTGAGAAAGACATGGGGCCTGCTGCACAGAAGAAGAATCAGTAATGATAATGCACTGCGCACACAGCAAGATATCATGTAGCGAGTCTATGCTTTAGGATCCTGTAACAGTATTTGTTTTTTTAATTTAGAATGTGGAAAATGCATTGCTTTTCATGTGTATCATATCGAATAGTATGCTTTGGTACTTCGTCCTGTGCCGAGACAATGTGACATAGATTGCATCGTGTGAAATATGAAATATGACTCTTTTTTTTTCCACCCAGCCTCCCTCAGCCATATTGAATGACCAAACAAACGCCTATACTCCTATCATCCTGAAAATTCTCGAGTTCTAATTCTAATGCTCTCATGTGTGACTGCTTTTAACTATTTCAATTTGTCAATATGGGTTGACACCGGAAGTTTTCAGCTGCACGAACTTACACCAGGTGGCTTGGCAGCAAGAAATTTGCAATGCCTTCCTTCACGGCATATTGATGCCCGCAGTTGGCGCAAACCAGCTTTCCCTCGGAAATCTGTGTCTCTAATAACAGGTGGTGAAGATCCCGGATCATCTTCTCATCGGCCTGCAGTTCCTCTGCTGTAGGGGCTTGCTCAGGCAACGCAGGGAAGCCCAGCTGTTGAATGGCAAGATTTCAGTTAGCTCATACAGTCTACCAGCCATACTTTAATATATGGGGATTAGTCGGTACGGAGAGAGAAACTTGCACCCACCTCTGATGATGTCGTGCGGAGGGCTGTCCAGTCCAGGCGTGGCAGCACGTTGATAAGCATGTCCGGGTTGAGTTCGATCTCATCTTGCACAAGCTCTGCGTCCTGAGGGTGTAAAGGATACGAGTCGGATGATGACTTGCAGGCCTTGACGGCGCAAGTAAGGAAGTTGAGACTGAGTACCTTCATTTTTTTTTCTCTTTTGCTTTTCTCTTTTCCTTATTTGATCTTTTCTCTCTCTTCTTCTCTTGTAAATTATGATCGTGCTTGTCGAATCTTTGGTGAGCGACTGGCTCTTTAGAAAAAAAAAAAAAAATTGTCCCGCGATACATATTTCCTAAAGCGGACCTCTCAACCACTACTAGTTGCGCGACCCACGTGACACGAGTTTGGTGTATTGCTCAGCACTCTCTCTACATTTCAGCAAGGATATAATCCTACTTGATGAATTGTTTTAGAATTTTACGAGGATACGGCTGCTTTAAAATGTCTTTGTAGCCAGAATCTGGTAATTGATTCATACGGTTCTCATATATTTTACTACATCAAGATCGCGCCTTTGTGTAGCCGGCGGTGTTGGAGTTTCTAAGTCGAATGGTAAGACCAATGATGCCAACAGCAACCGCTCCAAAGCCCAGCACGTAGCCCACTCCAAATCCACCGGCAGATGTATTGACACCTGCCGCAGCTGCATCAACACCGTCGGAAGCCCCAGCGGCCCAGCCAGCCGTACCGTATATCTCTGAGATTGAAGACCAAATTCATCAGCACGTCCGTGACGGAAAATTGATTGATTGATTGACTGATTGAAGAGTTGGAGTGACGATGTAAGATATTAGAGCTCGACATGAATACCTTCGGGAGGAACCGCCAGCTCGCCGCTCTTGGCAATCCTGACTTCCACCTTGGGACGGTCGCCGGGGCCAGTTGGAGTGTTTTCGATCTTTTCAACGACATCGTAGCCCTCGAGAACTTCGCCGAAGACGACGTGTCGGCCATCGAGCCATCTATTTGATTGTGTATTAGATCCTCGTCATTGTCTCGCCATTGGTTATCAAGCGGGTGGGGAAAGAGGAAGCTTACGAAGTAACAACAGTGGTGATGAAAAACTGGGAGCCGTTGGTGTCAGGTCCAGCGTTGGCCATGGACAGAATACCCTTCTTTGTGTGCTTCAGCTTGAAGTTCTCATCCGGGAACCTGTCGCCGTAGACTGGAGAAGCCAGCGTTAATCAATCAGATATACCAGAGAGCAGCACCTTGTGCAGAAACAACTTACTCGACTTGCCACCGGTGCCATCGCCCTTGGTGAAGTCACCACCCTGGATCATGAATTGCTTGATAACACGGTGAAAGGTGGATCCCTCATAGCCAAAGCCCTTCTCGCCAGTAGCAAGAGCTCGAAAGTTCTCAGTGGTCTGGGGGACAGTCTTTCCGTAGAGGCCCATGACGATACGGCCAAGCTTCTGATCGCCTTGCTCGATGTCGAAGTAGACCTTGTGGGTGATCTTGGGGCCCTTGACGGCCTCGGCCGTTCGGGCAAAGAATAGCAGTCCCACCACCAGGACAATGGCGGTGGTAAACAGCCGCCTGAAGGTAAACATGATGGCTGCTCAATTCAGTGATATCAGTCGTGAATATCAAAGGAACAAAAATGAGCCCAGCAGCAGAGGGTTGGGGGATGGACACATATACTTGTACCTTACAGCTCGGTCCGTTTCAACCCTTCCCCGCCACCCGCTTACAAGCATCCGGTTGCAGTTGTATCTTCAAGACCCACAAGACCCCTTGGCCTGCCTCATGCGGCACATCCACACGCTGAGTTTAACCACTATTTACCCGGCTAGCCGCGAATCTTTCAACCAAGCCGCCATAGCGAGATTTCGTGATAGCTCGGAAGAACAGAGAGGGCGGCGCACTGCGGGATTGGTTTTTCGACGTTAGTTTGATTTCGACAAGACGTTCAAAATGGTACCTATTGGCCTCTTTCTATTAATCCCATGGAAAAGATCATTCAGCTAACTTTTCTTCCTTTAGGTCTTCATATTGGGAGTCAGCTTCAACGAGGGACAGCTCGTCAAGGTATTAAAGACACCACGAACCGACTGATTACTCTGCGTCTTTTCATGTATACATATGTATATACATATATTCGAGCCCTAACAATTTAATAAACAGAAAGCCCTGGAGTCCTTCTACGCTCTTGGACCGACTACCTCTGCCCGCATCATGGCCAAATACTCGATCCACAAGCTCGCCAAAGTCGGCTCACTGGCGCCCAGGACGGTGACTTCGCTTACAGCCGAATTATCGCAGATGACGATAGAGACGGATGCAAGGAGACAAGTACAAGAAAACATCAGGAGATTAAAAGACATCGGATCCTACAGAGGTAGACGGCACGCCATGGGTCTGCCAGCCCGCGGTCAACGAACAAGAACACAGACAGCGACGGCCAACAAGCTCAACAGAGTCGATCGCAGGGCCTAGACTGCATCCAACTGAACTGGATTTGTGAAGGGGGAAGAAAAAAGGGAGAAAAAAAGGGAGGAATTGGTGAGGAAATAGGGAGGAAATAGGGAGGAAAAAAGGAGCAAAAAAGGGAGCAAAAAAGGGAGGAAAGTGTGTATGGAGTTTGCAGGACGCAATGGAGTTTGCACTTTACAGCTTTGAAGATGGGGAAATGTTGCTCAAAAGGGAAGTAGCCTACATGTGTCAGGCTTTGTATATTATGTGTACATGAACAAAAATAAAAGGCACGAGCAGATGCTATATACGACTACACCTGCTGCAGATCTAGAATTCATCTTCCAAGATGGGGGCGCCATCAGCTTTCATCCGGGCTGATACTGCGTCCACCTCCTTCCAGACACGGATGACATTACCGCTAACAACCTTTTCGGCGTCTGCGTCGCTAACTCCTCGTCGCAAGAGTTCGGCAATCAGAGCGGGATATTTGGTAACATCCTCAAGCCCTTCAGGGACTCTGTCAATTCCATCAAAGTCAGATCCAATGCCAACGTGATCGTAGCCGATGAGATCTCCGATGTGCGTAATGTGATCGACAACCTTTTCCAGCGTAGCGTTCTCAGTGTCCTCGGTCGGAACGCCATTCTCGTTGCCTTCATCAAAGCAGGAGATGAACCCAGGGTAAATGTTAACCAGGACCACGGAATTGCGCTTCTTCACCAGCTGCAGGACATGGTCTTTGACGTTGCGTGGATGCGGGCAGATGCTATAGGCCGAGCTATGAGAGAAGATGACGGGTGCTTTGGAACCTTCCCAGTCATCATTTCCGCCAAGGGCATCAATCATTGTATCTTCGCTACGTACGAGCAAAGACATGGAGAATCAGCAACTGAATATGTAGATAAATGGACTGGGTTCTCTTACCTAACGTGAGAAAGATCGACAATCATGCCAATTCGATTCATCTCGTGAACTAGTTTTCGTCCGTCGGGGCTAATGCCACCCCAGACTGGGGTTGCTTTCCTAAACGGATTGCTTTGCAGGGCGGCATCTGCATACTTGTTGTGGCAGTTGTGTGTCAACGTTGCGTATCTCACACCGAGATCGCGAAACAGGCGCAAGTTGCTAGGCTGGTTGGCAATCTGGTGAAGACCCTCCACGCCCAGGGGCGAAACCAGCTTGCCTCTTCGGAAAGCCTTCAGGGCATCGGCGCCGTCAACATCATGAGCAAAGTGATCGGGATAAGCCGCAAAGAGCCTCTTCATGGTGTCGATTGCCTGCAACGTGAATTGAAGACCTGCCATCAAAAGAATCATTAACAATCTGCGCGTGGATAGAGCAAGATGTAGTGGAGATCTTACTGGCAGCATAATTCTCATCAGAGAAGTCTGCTCCATCTTCCGGGCATGGGGCGAAAACACTCCAGAACGCACCGCCCGAGCGACCAGCTCTCAGTCGTGCGAGGTCAAGGTGGCCACTGAGCGTTCCATTTTCGAACGGCCCGGTAAAGTCATCGCCGTCGATGTGGTTATCAAAAACACCGCGGAGGAAGACGGCGAAATCGACGTGTCCGTCTAGGGCGAGAGCGTAGCGTTAGACTGGGCCTTCATCTTCTAATCGGTGCGCAGGATTTCTTACCAATCAAGGGACTTGTTGTCAGAACCTTCTGTGCCCTCTTGTCGACCGAGAGAGCCTTGGAGCAATCGTGGGCGATGCGTTGATAGTGCTGGAAGGCTGGCTTATAAAGCATGCCGATAGTGCCCAGGACCAGGGAGATGGCGACAGCAATCCTCTTAATGTTTGGCTTGCGCGGCTCTGCATACATGCGATCGTAATAGGTGTCCCCGCCCGATACGGGCAGGTCCATGTACGATTTGCCGGTCTTTGGAAGCATCGCGACGTTGTGAAGCAGCTATTGAGAAGAGGAAGAAAGGAAGAAGGATATCATGATCAGGGAGTTTATAGTTGGCCAGCACGCCATCTTCCCCATTTGGCGCTACAAAAGGACCTCCGGATGGCACTTATCAGGTAGATGGCAGGGGACCAGATAAATGAATCACGTAGGCTTGCATCGCGTAGATTTCGCACAAGAGTTTTTCTGTTTGCAACATGATGACATTTTTGAAGACTAGAGTGAGAACGGGGGTTTTTTATAGCTTCCGTTTCTTGGCAAATCGTCTATTGCCATTGTATTCAGCGCTGCATCGGGGTTTCCAGCCTCGGAGGCGACGGCGCGTTTAGACGGCTATCTTGCCGAGGCTCGCGAGCACACCAGGATCGCTGTAAATAACGCGGGGGAATAGCCCAATAGTAGCAGCTAGATATACTAGGTATTGCGCATTGCCCTAGTGAGAGACGTTAATATCAGTAGTTCCTCCCACGACTCAGCCTGAGAGATCATTCGAAAGATTTACTAGTACTGTTTTGTAGACGCTCTTTCTCTCATTGCCTGCTTTCCTATGAAAAGTCAAAAAGCAGGTAACGGTTAGAACCTGGCTACTACAAGTATCTACCTATGTAGTAATCATTGGCATGGCTTTTATAGGTAGTTATACTACATACTAGGTAGTTATCTCATAGTACTTGATATGGTGGATTGCCCAGCCCAGCTGCGTTAGCACAATTTTCTCGTAAGGTGCTAGTAGAACGTGGCCAGGTAGCACATACTACTAAACCTGCATTCCTCTTTGCGGAGAATACAAAGCAATCGTACTCCGCCGTGAGGCTGAGCGCCAAGGCATACAGACACCGATGGCATGTACGCGCATCCACTCATATGGAGCTGCACCAGGCGGGTATTCCGTGCAAGCAAGGTACTAAGCGCTATCAGTTACCGCAGTCTATACGAGCATCTGGGCGGAGAACCAAACAAGACAAGCTCCTTTATGCAGCAACGCGCAGCAACCAAGCAACTACTAGTAGGTATTTGTGCTTGGGTTCGGGGAGAGAAATTCTTCTTCTCTCTTCACCGATCTTAGCACTACGGGTTATTAGGTACCTAGGTACCTACCTACCTAGTACTGATGCTAGCGGTAGCCAACTCCCTAATATAGCACAGAATTCAACTACCAGTACGTGGCTGACTGACAGCTGAAACGAGGCACTTTTCGCTTCAAATTGTTCCTCCAAGCTGACTAGCGGCACATGTTTGACAAGTACCCATACAAAACATGGCAAATCTTGGTGCGCAAGGTGCAAGGCCCAAGTTGAGCCCTGCCTTTGAGGCGACCCTGGTTGAACGAGATTTGACGAGACAAAGATAATGATTTCCACACTCGTATTTCTGGCGATCCAGAGGCTTCAGCAACTGGTCCGTGCCCCGTCAAAGATGCCGAGATGATGATGAGTCCCTTCATAACATCCTGGGTAAGCACATGAAACCAGGAGCTTCGCACAACATCTGCAGAGCGCCAACAGGGTATATCATGCAAAATGCTGGTAGTACATGCCAAGTATGTAGTATGTACATGTCATCAGCACATAGCACCGGCCCAGCTACACTTAGTATGCTCCCTAGAGGTGCAGCAGAGAGAAGAACGAGTTGTTAGTACATCCTATGTAGTATGACTACAAGCGTGCTATTAATAAAATCGCCGCTGGTTGGTCGGCCACGAGAAGCCGTTGTGCGAAGCGCCGCTTCTTGGGACCTCTTTGTCTATGTGGTTCGCCAGCACAGTCAGCGCCAAAGACGCTGCTAGGCCCGCCAGATAGGGACGGCAATGCGAGCACAAGAGGTACCTGGCGGACGAGTACCTTGCGCGTGGGCGGCAATAGGGGATGCCAGACAACGGCCCGCCAAACGCCTAACAGCCAGCCACGCCGGGCAATGTACAGCGCATTTCTCCTGGCAGCGCCCCTCTCTGCACCACCCTGCACCGGCTCGTATGCACTAACCTCAGCCTGCAAAGGGACGCCGTGCCTGGTGGTGCTAGTGCCGTAGGTCTCCTGCCACGGCGGTTTCTCCTAGGCCTAGTTGGATCCCTGGCTGGAGGGCCTCTTCCATGTGAGCCTCTCACCTGCTCCAACCAACTCGACATTTAACCTCTGCTCACTGCGGAGCACAGCGCCTTTCCTCTCCTTATTCTCGAGCCTTCTGCGAAGCTCTTGTCCAGCCTCAGCCCTCGTCTTTGTTCTATTCCCCCGGCTTGGATCCTTCTTTTCTTGCTGCTTTCGCCAAGCCTCGTTTCTTTCGCAGCTTTGACGGGCGACCGCTTCAATTTCTTCCGACAGACTGACTTGCGCTTTCTCCTTCGTCGCCCCTATTACTTGCGAGCGAGGACTTCTTTTTTTCTTACCGCATAGACGCTTCTGCGTGTTACGATATAAGAGCTGCTTGAAGTGTTTTCCTCTCTCTCTTCGTATTTGCTAGCCAGCGAAGAGAGCTAAACCCCCTCCTCAGCAGCCCCACGACGTTACGACGTACCTACCGCATGATACCACGAGTCGACGCTTGAAGAACGAATAAATAACGATGCCCGGATTCGCCGATTCATTCTGGTCGAATGATTATGCTGCTGGTATTTTTCCCCTCCATCGGCTTTCCACAGCTGCATGCGACCGCCATTCTCTAACAGCATCTAGGACTTGGCGTCCTTTTCAGCAAGCTGCAGCAGGGTGTGGTCGAAGACCGTCAGGTGCTTACCATAGCTCGGCTGCGCGCTGAAGCCGAGGAGGCATATGGACAGCGCCTGAGTGACATTGCGCCGGCCGCAGACAAATTGTCTGGTGGCTTTTCTCGAGACGATGGCGCTACAGTTCGCAAGGTAGGTCGATTATCCAGATTATGTCGCTACGATCTGCATTCGCTAGGCTAGGGTTTCGCTAATATTTATGGTGCAAAGGCTTATGATGGGATGCGAACGGAGATGCAAGAAGCCTCCCAAAACCACATTCGAATTGCTCAAAACATTCGCGATCTAGTTGTCAACCCCTTTTCCAGATGGTGCGATGCTCACGAGACTCGTATCCAAGACTCTCAAGATGTCCTTCAGCTACGAATCAAGGCGCACGATAAACAGGCCGAAGTTGTCAAGAAACTCCGATCGAATTATTTCAACAAGTGCCGACTGGTGGAAGATCTGGAAGAGGAAAATAAGCTTGCCTTCCAGGACCCAGAGTCCAGCCCCAAGCAGAACCAGCCGAACCCGTCAATTCCCGAGATCAAGGTCCAGCCTCACAAGGAAGAGGAGCCTCAGAATGAAGAGGTTTTTGAGATTGGCGACGACGTCTATCAGACAGAGCAGATGAAGAAAATTCTATCCAACATGCTGTCGACAATCAAGATGGGAGAAACAAAGGTCCCTATCCTTGGTACTTATCTCAACACCTCGGCCGGCTCAGATATCGTCGAGTACCTTCAACGTAGCATGGGCACGACAAGCGTCAGCTATGCTGAGAGAATTGGTCAAGATCTCATCTCCAACGGCATGCTGCGCCTGATCGGAAATGTTGGGAATACATTCGCCAACTCTTCCAAGATGTTTTATCAATGGAGGCCCAAGGCCTTTCAACTTGCAGGCATCCCTGAGAAGAAGCAGCCTCTGGGCCGAACTTTCTCTATGCCCACTACAGGCTCCGATGCTGGCGACTCGCCTGTTGTTGGAACCGTGAGCGAGTACTTGTCTAATTGGAATGTGCTCAGCAATTCTCATCCTGGCGAGACTCCCCCCCAGCGCCTGCAGCGTGAGGCAAGGGAAGCCGATGATAAGTACAAGGCTAGTGTGAAGAAGCTCGACGAGCTTCGTTGCGAGCTTGAAGAACTCATCTTCCTGCACCTCAAGTTTCTTGAGCGCTGTGAGCTTGATAGGCTCAAGGCCATCAAGACCGTCATCCTCGACTTTACTGGGACGATTGGCAATGTGATCCCCAGCTTGCAGTCCTCTGTCGACAAAATGATGCTTTTCCAGGAAACTGTGCAACCCCTGGGCGACCTCCGATACCTCTTGGAGAATTATCGCACTGGAAGTTTCATTCCAAAGGTCATCGTTTATGAGAATTACTACAACAAGGTTGACGAACAGACTTTTGGTGTTGATCTGGAGGCGCGCGCGAGGGCGGATAAGAAGCGTGTCCCAATTATCATCACCACTATTCTGACCTATCTTGACAACCACTATCCTGACTTGGAAGGCGATGAAGCAAGGCGAGGGGTTTGGTTATTGGATGTGCCTCTTGCCCAGACCCATAAGCTGCGTGTAAAGATCAACGACGGCAAACCGGTCCCCCCAGAGGTTTTTGACGAATTTGACATTCCCACTGTTGCAAGCCTTCTCAAGCTTTATCTGCTTGAGCTCCCTGGTAAGCAGCCTTGGCTCTATTTCTCAGTTGAGAACTCGTATGTACTAACGATTGATTTTCTTTTTCATAGATTCCTTGGTTTCTACTCACGTTTACGAAATTGTCCGAACTATTTATACGACCCCGGCTACCGATTCATCAGAAGCCTCTCGCATTGCCGTACTTCAACAGACCCTTTCGCAGCTTCGGTTGACCAACATTGCTACACTGGATGCCTGCATGAATCACTTTACTCGCCTCATCGATCTTACTTCAGCTGATGAAGAATATGTGGCGGCGCTAGCCACTCACTTGGCACCATGCATCCTTCGCCCACGAACAGAAACTTCTCTTACAATGGAAGAAAAGCACGCCAGCCGACTTGTCCGTGACCTCTTTGCCCACAAAGACGCCATTTTCAGCGAACTGAAGCGCATGTCGACCCTCAACCACTCCATTTCCGTCACGACAAACCGTCCTCGGGCAATCAGCACCGATGAAAGCAACAGGAAAGCTCTGATGGAGGAGAGGAATAGAGCTTTGCTAGAGAAGGCCAGTGCTTCACGAAGCCGCGCCACCAGCCCTGCACCAGGCCCGCGTGGACATCGCCGGGAGCGAAGCAGCGGAGGGCCTGAGACTCGCTTTCCAATCCAGACCAGCCCGACGACCGCCTCTGACCGCCATCGAAGTAGTCTAGGAAGCTTGAACGCAATCAAGCGCTCCAGCTTAGAAGTTCCCGGACCGGATGGTAGCACCAGCCCTCCCGATGCCACAAACGGATCCCCTCTCAAATCAGAAATCGATGGCGAACAACCAGTCTTGGATAAGCGCGACAGCCTGGGCAGAGGCGCCGCAGCCAAATTTGGCCCGAGGCTTCCTATTGCCCCATCACAAGCACAAGACTCTTCTCGTGGCGTGACTCTAGAGGACAGGCCTATGGAAGACTAGTGATCTCCAGTTATGACTAGGTGCTCACCGGGGTTCCTTCTCCTTTGCATTTATGGATTACGCACAGTGACGAAATGTTTGTGCTTTGTTTATTTATGGGTTTGCCAGGGCCAATGACGAAACAGCATGGCTCTCTTTCCTTTTTTGGTCGCGAGAGAAGGAAAACAAAAAAGTTTGGTATGCAGGGTAGATAGATAGATGCGATGGCTGGATCCGGAGTAAAGGGAGGTACTATGTATGGGAGAGGGACCGAGATGCCATATATGTGCTACACTCTCTGATTTTTTTTTTTTTTTTTTTTTTTTTTTTTTCCCTCTCTTCTTCTTTTCTTACTTTTTATCTTCTTTTTTGGAAATATTTCTCTTATAACTTTTTATTGCCCCCACACGTGTTCGTCAGTGATATAAAATGAGATGGGAAAACAAGAATGATAAATATATGGTGCTTCAACCTCAACTTTTCTGTTTATTGAAAGCCAAAGCCCCCGCTCCCCCTTTTTCTATATAAAATTGCCTCCATATGTACAAACTTTGTCGAGTGATAAACAGAAGGAAGCAGAGCCTCCTGCTTCTTTACGACTCTCTCTAAAAAAAGCGTGATGCAAAGTAGTATCTTCAGCCTGCAGCTTCGGCCTCTACGAGGGAGGCTTTCTTCTTCTTCTTCTTTGGAGCCACTTTCACTGGAGCACCATCCAGCGTATTCGCAGCTGTGCCACTAGGCTCGCCACCTTCTGACGTCTGTGCCACTGCTTTCTTCTTCTTCTTCTTAGGCTTAACGCTCGTTGCAGCTTCCCCATCCTCTCCCTCTGCAGTCTTCTTCGACACGACCTTCTTCTTCTTCTTCTTCGTTATGACTACACCTTGCACCTCCGCCCCCTGAGCCATCTGGATCCTTTCATTAGCTCGCTGCATTTCCAGCCGTAGACGTTCCACCTCCTTCATGGCCTGCTGCATTTCTGCCTCTTCCCGCTGTTGCCTCTCGTAGTCAAATCCTTTAGAGCCATCGCCCTCTTCCAGGCTGAAGGATCCAATAGTGCTGGAATCGACCTGTAAGAGGGAGTGCTGTTTTGATTTCTTGGATTTTGCCTTGGCGAGGTTACTAGAACCATTTTCTGAGTCATTCTGTCGCCCTGTGCCGCTGTCGCCCCCCTCTATCGTTTCATCTGCAGCCACAAGCACTCTCTGCCGTGGTCGTGGCTGCGGTCGAGATGGTGCAGCGAGAGAGCTACCGCCAAATTTATCGAGGTCTAGCTGCATGACAGGGATAGAGTCAATATCCAAATCGGGACCATTGTTATTTTGGAGGATATTATGAATGGGCGTTGATGTCCTGAGAATGTTATCGCTCGGGATGTAGAAGGGGTCGTCTTTATTCTTTTCCATCCTTTCTGCCTTCCTTTTCGCGAGAATGTCTGCGTCCAGGTAGCTCTCTTCGCTGAGTTGTTGGTAGGAACTTGCCATATCATCACCTGGATCAGCTAATCTACTAATGGCTGGTGCTGAAGATGATATGCTCGAAGGCGGTGGTCGCTGATGATAGTAAACTTCAAAATCATCAGCCTCATCAGACTGGAGTGTAATGATGTCAGTCTGGAATAAAAGTCGATTCAAGTTGCCGTTTATTGGTTCATCTAGATCCAAGCCCTCAAGAAGGGGTACGTTTTTCTGTGCATTAACAGCAACTGAGTTGAGCTCCCAGCCGCTAAACAAGGATGGAATAGCTTGTGTTAGAAGCAGAGGTGGCTCCTGGTCGTTTTCACCCGTTGAAGCGGGCTGTCCCGAAGCAGCTTCCGCAGTCAGCTTGAGTAATTCTATGTATTCTACCGCTCGCTCTTGTACTTCCAGACTCGGATGAAGAGCAAGCGGTTCTAATACGTCTAATATGCGGGCCAAAAGGAGCGATATCCTTGATTTCCTTTCTGAGGTCCAAGGCTCGAGTTCGCTGCCCGCAATGGATGAGAACACTTTGGCAGTAGCGTGGAGGGCTACCGCTGATATCTCCGGCTTCCCGATTCTTGGAATCGCCTGAAGAAGTCCGTTGAGACTGTCGTCTGGTATGGCCAGCTGAACAGAGTATTCACCAATGATCCATATAGCCGACTTCAAAGCTCCCGAATTGAGCGGATGCCCGGCTGGATTATCGGAGAGCAGCTGATCGAGAATGATGTCGGCCGCTCTGACTGCAGTGGCCCTCATTGCTCTCACTTTGACAGCGACATTACGCAGTTCGTCTCCTATCTTTTCAGAAACATCAACTTGTTGCCGTATCGGCAGTGCCGCTCCTGTGTCTGCGTCAAATGTTCGAGGGACAGGCGCCATACGAACAAGTTGCGTTAGCACGTCGATGTACCAGTCGAAATCCAGTACACTCGAATAGTTGTCTTTGGAGCACATGAATAGGATTCTCTCGATAATGTCTATTCGGTAGTCGTCGGGAAGAAGGACAGTTTGAGTTTCTTGAGTAGTTGGCGCTATGATTGCAGTTTGTGATTCATCATCTGATTCGGTCTCTGGAGTGATGGCTGAGCTTCCTGGAAGGCGCCGATCTTTGGACGGCAACGACGACTTAAGCTGCTTCATCAAGCGGCTCACTACGAGGACTAAGTTGTCGCTGGTAACCATGCCCTTTACAAGATTAAGAGCTTGAACACGGATTGTGATGTCAGAGCTATCAATACACTCCAAAATGACATCTTCTTGCTGAGAGACCAGATGTGGATGTGTAAGAACAATCTTGTTGAAGGCCAGCAGGGCAACATATTTTACTTGATAATTATGTTAACGACCGAGAAATGATCTTGATGAGTGAGATAAAAAGGAGAAGAAATAAGGAAAAAAAAGTTGGGTAGTGATGACTTACGGTTGGCGTCGCCATTCATCATAATCATTCCTCGTAGCTTATTGACACACAGTGTTGCAATTTCATCTGCTCCTGCAACATCATCTGTGTTGTCCAAGATGCCTCCCTGGATGATACCGTTTATACACTCGTACAATAACGACATTGCTGGAGTGGTCCGAATTATGTTCGTAAGAGGAGGCAGTAGTTTTCGAACAAGACGAGGTTCAAGAGGTGTTAATGTTGCAAACTGGTCCAAGGGTTAGCCAAACACAAGCACAAGGAGCATGCAAAGGATAGTGAAGACACAGACCAGCTTGATGAGCTTGATTGCCATCCAGTTATTACCCCCGTCCACCAACAGCTCGAAGAGCCGTGGTGCCAGAGGAAGGAAATCGTGTGGTCTTCGCCAACCGAGTTCACAAACAACGTTTACAATGGCAGCTGTAACACTCGGATCTTCGTCGGGGTCCATTAGGCGATCTTTGATCTTTGGCCAAGCGGCACGCAGAGCCTCGGGGTATACAAGAGCGAGTCGATATAATGTGACAAGCGTCTTCTTGCGAATGTTCGAATGGCTATGGTTCAAGCGTGGTAGCAAATCGGCAAGGGTCGAGAGCGCCAGAGAGGGAGTAATGACGTGGGGAAGCGTTGCAATCGGAAGGGATATAATTGTTGGCGTGGTGGCGGCCAAATCCTGACGAACGGAAGAGGAATCAGCCATCAGCACTGGGGCTACTACCAGCTATCATGGAGAGAACGATGCCATCCCAAGAGACCTGTGCGTACCTTTTTCAGAAGATTGGTTGCCAGCATGAGCACCTCAGTATCCTGCCGAAAGCTCTGCACAGCGCCCAGGTATCCCACCCTCTTCTGGTGATACTTTGGCGAGGACATGACCTCAAGGACATGAAAGGAGGCCCATGACATGTCGTGGCCAAACATTTCCAGGTATATGAGCTTGAGAAGAGCCGTAGCTTTGAGGTCTAAAACGAAGGAAAGGTGAGCACATCAGCATTGTTGCAGTCATCGCCGCGTGAGAGATGGACCAACCCATGTCCTGGCTGCGAACCTCCGCGCGGCACTCCTTGAGGGTTTTCTGGATGTATTCCTTCTCATTGCCCTTGTGGTTGCGCAGACCTCGAATGAGGTCGTATAGCGACTTCTCGAACCTGTATCCCAAGCCATCAGCGCCCATCCTGAAGGTATTTCGCCAAAGAAGCAGCTTGTATCGTTTACATGTTGACGACGAATTGCCCCACGTGGGGCCTGCGCAAGCAATAGCTGAAGACTGCGAGAGACGACTATCGAGAAGCGAGGTGGGTGGAGGCGCAGATGCGTCAAGGCGCGATGAAGATGAATGCGTGTAGCAGCTGCAGAGCCAGCCAGCTCATCCTGCTATTCGCGGCCGGTGCTGAGTTGCGAGCTGGGACTGAGCTTTGGACTGATGGCGAAATGGTTAGGCGACCGCTAAAAGGTACGTATAGCTGGCGTTAGTAAAAGCAAGCTGCGTTGCCTTTCAGCAGGAGAGCATGGCGGAATTACCGCCGAAACTTCGGTAGCGAGACGGGCCGGTGGAAAGCCCGTGTGACGTCTTCTCCAATTATTTGCGCCGATTGATTCTTGAATGCGACAACAAGCCGAGTCAAGTTGGACCACGTCCTATTTCCTTGCGTCCTTCTCTCCTTCTTCTCTTTTCTTTTCCTGCTTGCTCTATTTAACATTTCTTCGATCAATGCACCATGTCATTGGCCCGATAGACACTCCTCGACTCTCTACCTAGTACTAATTCCTATAATTTCTCAAAAAGCGCTCCTCAGCATCGTATCCAGCAATGGCCGCTCGAACCGCAGTTCAACGGCTGCCTCTCCGGCCATCAGCCTCTTTACTACGCACGCCGAGACCCTCCGGCCCAATCTCTCGTCGCGCTTTTATCTCACTGCCGGAAAGCCCTCAACAGAGCCTCGTCGCCACTCGCACTCTTCCCTACCGCCACGAGCCGCTCTACGAGCTCATCGCAGACGTCGACTCCTACTCAGCCTTTGTGCCATATTGCTCGCAGTCCAGAGTCACAAAATGGTCTGCGCCAGACTCTTCCGGTCGCAGCTGGCCCACTCTCGCTGACTTACAGGTGGGCTGGGGCGGCTTTGACGAGACTTTTACTAGCCGCCTGCTCTGCGTTCCTGGCGTCTCCGTCGAGGCTCGTAGCGGCGGTTCTGCTTCGGGCCGCCCTGCCCAGGATGCGTCTGCCGTCTTCAAGACTCTTGAGACTCTCTGGTACTTGACGCCAATCGCTCGCCAATCCGCAACGCCTTCGACCGAGGTTAAACTCACCATCAAATACCAATTCGTCAACCCGCTTTATGCCGCGCTCAGCGCTGCTGTATCCGACAAAATTGCTGCCCTCATGATTGAAGCCTTTGAGAAGCGAGTTCACTACAAATTAGGAACTCAGCAGCGTCTCTAGCAAACGGCCGAGCTTGAGACTCTTCTGAGCGACTCATGAATAACGACACAAGAAATAGAGCATATCGGCAAAGATAAAAGGCAGAGTGTACAGATGTAAACCGCTTATATACTGGATAGATAGATTCCCTCAACTCACGACAGCTAAGCATCCCCATTTGAGCAACCCAACAACTTCCTATTGAAACAGAAAAGAGTAAAAATGAAATGAAGTAGCAAAAAAGGCAAAGTAGATCTTGTCTTCATCAAAACGTAGCCCCCCTCACCCCTCCCTTTCTAACCCGCACCAATTGCTCCTTAATATCCAAATATCACCTGCCCCAAGTACGCCAAACATCCCCCGCCTTCGATGTCAAAGCCACCGGGTATGGAGACGGTGTAAGTCTGCGCGACACCCTGGATTCGACTTATCCTCTCCCTCCTCCTCGTGCAGACCCATGCCGTTGAAAGATTGAACCCAAAATCACCACAGATAGGCAGAACATGAGGGGAATCTTTCGCTCAAAACATGGTAACCAGACAAAAACAAGAAAATAAGAAAATTCGCTCATATAGATGGCATAAAACGTATCGAAGCATCCAATTTTGGAACATAAAAGGTCGTGGATAATCGTATAGTAATGTAATTATTTTTTGCTTGAGGACCTATACGGATATTAGCCATGGTTCATATTGTACAGTGCTGGTTCCACTTACTTCTTTTTGACGGGAGGCTTTCCAGATAAGAAATTGAGCATAGAAGTGTTTTGTTTGCTGCTGCTGGAGCTGCTCTTTTTCTTTGGTGGCGCCGCGTTCACGATCTTAATATTAGGAGATACGCCTGGTGGTCCCCGAGGAGGTGGAGGTATACCGCCGTTCCATCCAGGCGGAGGTGGCATTGGCATCCCTGGGACACTAGGTCTTGGTCGACCGAGTGGTGGAATTCCAATTGGCGGCGGGGGAGGACCATGACCATCAGGCCTATGTGACATCGGTGGTACTCCCGGAGGCAGTTTAGAGCCACCAACAGGTGGTGCTTTGTCGAGGGGCCACATGGTCATAGTGATAGCCCAGTCGGGCTCAATTACCTTCTCCCAAACAGACGGGAGAATGATGTCGCCATTAGGACCAATCAAATCATAATGGCCTTCTTGGACGTGCGGCCCTAGAACGTCGACTTGTAGAAACGCTTGCTTGATCAATTCTTCCATTCCCTGTTTTACCACTGTTAGTTTATCACGCCTGCAATAGAAAGGGTAAAGGGACAGAAATCAAAGACATGCAAGCCGTCCCCAAAAACATACCTGCCAGGTGTTGCACAGATGAAACGGGAAGCTAAACTTTCGGCCAACAGCGTCTTTGAACTTGATGGGAGCTAGCTCTGCCTTTTTAGCAGCCTCCTCTGCCTTTTTGTTGGCTTCGTCGATAGCCGCTTTAGTCTCCGCCTGAATTTTCTTTTTAAGTTCCTCAGCCTCCTGCTTGGCGAGGGCGACAGCTTCAGCAGCTCTTTGCGCAGCAGCTTGTTCTGCCTCTATCCGGGCTCGGTGTTCAGCTTCGGCCTTGAGCTTGGCCTCTTCGTGTATGAGTCGGAGCCTCTCGGCCTCCTCAGCCTCCTTCTTCGCCGCAGCGGCCTTGGCCTCGGCATCCGCCTTGAGCGCAGCCTCAACACGGAGTCTAGCCTCTTCCTCGATTCTGGCAGCCTCTTCGGCAGCTTTCTTTGCGGCGGCGGCTTTGGCCTCGGCCTCGGCTTTCATAGCTGCTTCGAGACGGAGGCGTGTTTGCTCCTCGATCCTGGCGGCTTCTTCGGCCGCTTTCTTCTCAGCAGCCGCCTTAGCAGCGGTTTCTGCCCTCAAAGCGGCCTCGAAACGAAGTCGAGCTGCTTCTTCAGCTCGAGCTCGGTCCTCCGCTTCCCTCCTCCTCCGCTCTTCGGCAGCTTTTATCTCGGCTTCAAACTTGAGCCTCGCTGTTTCCTCTACTCGAGCCCTAGTTTCAGCCTCCAGTCGCCTCCTTTCCTCTTCGGCTTTCTTCTCAGCTTCGAGCCTCTCACGAGCAGTGCGCTCAGCCTCTGCCCTGGCGCGCTCAATTTCTCTCTTTGCCTCCTCTGCCTGTAATCGCACCTCCTCCATCTTCTTAGCCAGAGCATCTTCGGCATCTTTGCGGATCTTATCCTCAATTTCCTTCTGTCTCGCAGCTTCCTTTGCCCTCTCTTGCTCGGCCTTGAAATCAGCCAGCTCTTTCTGAAGACGCTCTTTCTCAGGATCAGGTGGCGGGGGCGGAGCCGGTGTGGGCTCTTTCGCAGCCGGGGCCGGGGACGCAGGGGGGGCGGCAGCCTCAGTTGGCGGCGGCGGTGGCGGCGCCAAGTGATATTGATGCATATGAGGCGGCAAGCCGTTGTAGTGGGCCCCGTGCGGCCCGTTATAATAGCCCGGCGGAGCAGGAGCGCCATAAGGCATCATATCATACATGTGCCTCTGTTCACCTCCATAGTAGCTACCAGTGCTTGAACTGTTGGGTGAGAATGGATTTGCGCCGTAGTTGCCATACGGAGTCATCTGGTTCATCTGGTTCGCGCCGCTGTAACCCATGTACGGCCCTACATGATTTTGTTGCTGGGCAGGATATGCTGGATGCCCGCGGCCGTAGTAGCCGTTGCGACCAGCGGCATGTTGCTGGTGCTGGCCATAGTGGCCATAGCGGCCGTAATCCTCAGAGGGATCCACGCTGGGCGGTGCGGCGGCCGGTGCGTAAGACTGCACCTGCTGATGGTGAGAAGCGTCCTGTCTAGCGGGAGCTCGCTGGCGCCGTGCGGTGGCTGTTTCGGAGGGGCGGGTGCGTAGCTTTGGTCTGTCGTAGGCGGCTATGGATGCGGAATCAGAGGGATCAATGTCTTCCCCGTACCCGTCTTCGTAGTCGTCTTCCTCTTCCGAGTACTCTTCTTCGCTTGAGTATTGTGCCTCTGGCTCTGGCCGTCTATCGTACCGTCTGTCGTAGCCGTTCCGAAGATGGGGCTGTACGTGACGATAGCTACTAAACAGTAAAAGTCAATAACAGCCAAAGAGGATGGTAGCTTCTAACTGAAGCTCAGCAAGGTTGAGCGCAGTACTAACGTAGACATAACAGGCGACTTGGGATAAGATTGGCCTCTTACTCACCACGTCCCGCGCAAACCTGGCGGGCGATCAGACGAGCGTTTGTCCCAAGATGATCTTGGGAGGGATGGTGGGGGAGAGGAGGTTGGGTTGCTCTGGGGCGCGTAGCGGCCAGAAATAAATAGCAGCCAGCCCAAGCAGATTCGGTCAGGCAGCCCAAATCGCAGTGGGAAAAAGCCGAGGGCAAGCTGCAACGCAGCGAACAGCTCAAAATCCAGGCTGGTCAAGCGCTGGTCACGCAATGACAAGCAAACAGTGACAAGCGTGAAAGGCCAAGCAAATCTTTGTTCAGCTAGATGAGAGAGGAGCGCAGACCAGGTTGGCGAGGGATGAGGTGAGAGTGTGACGGGAGACGTCGAATGGCGCGTACAGATGCCGGGCAACCAGACGACAGTAAAATAAAAATAAAAAGAGACTAATGGGGCGATACAAGATGGTGAGGTAGCAGCAATTTAGTGCTCCCTCTTGTCTCAAAGGCCTAGCGGAGGGGGAATGGTGAGAAAGTGAGGATGATAGGGCGCTCGGTGGCGGGAGGGGGGTTCCGAGGGTCTTATGAGTCGGACGAAAGACAAAAAAAATCGAGAAAAATAAGAGGAACACGAGAAAGAAGGTCGAAGGCCGGTACACAAATTGTGCGAGTGATGTGTCAGACGCAACAGCCAAGGCGGCGAATGGGCTGGCGACTGAGGGACCAAGAGTCGAGCCTCGACGGGTTTGCGGGTGATCGGCGGTGAGGGGATACTGAGATCTTGGTTGGAGAAGCTGCACGATGGGGGAAAAAAAAAAAGACAAAAAAAAAGTGAGATGAGGTGAGAAGAGTGTGTGGATGTGCGTGTTTCTGTGCGCTTGCTTGCGTGCAGGTGCAGGTGTCGACAACAGGACGAGGCAGAGCGGCTGTGCTACCCACTCAACGAAGGCGATGCCTGCGGCCGGTCTGCATGGGGTTGAGGGTGGAAATGGGCGGGAATCGGTTGAGGAGGGGCGTATTAGACGCCGAGGAGGAGCATAACAAACGAGGGGCCCATTATAACTGCGAAGGGAGGCGGCGCATCAGTTAGGCTTGGTGGAGATATTTTTTGCTCACTTGCAATGAACAACACAGAAGCAACTTTGTCTAATGGGCTCAGCGGGACGGCTCGGGGCTCTAGCAGAGGCCTAGCATCCAATCGCTGGGTATCTTCTGAGGCATAGACCGCCACAGGGGGGCCTACGAGGCTTGGGGCTAAGTTTATCTGGGCCTCAGCTGTATCCAGTTGTTTTTTTTTTCTGGTGTTATAGTTGGCTAAGCATACCGACGCTTTGACACATTGAGGGCTGAGTATTACTGCATCAACCGTTACGGGATGTCGCTGGCTACTTGAACTTCAACCTTATTTTTCACGTTAAAAAAAAAAAAAAAGAAGAAGAGGAGAAAAGCGCTCTCCCAGCAATAGTCGGCTTATACTTAAACGGTGGTGCTAGGGCTGTGGCTTGGCTGCTTGTGCTGGCAAACTCTTGCCAGGCACCGAGTCGGTAAGGTAAGGTGGTAGTGACGCTGCACCCAACCCGGAAACCATTACTGCCGGATAGTACCTGATGCTAGCATCACTGGCTGTGCGAAACTGGGTACCAATATAGCCAGACCATACCAGCGGCCACGAACGAAATCCTACTGCGAGACCCTGTTTTCCTCTCCAAGACACGATTTAGCAGAAGTGAAAAAAAAAAAGACTTACCAGGCCTCAATTGCCCAAAATAGGGCGGTGCAGACGTCTTCCTTGGCCATTCAGCTTGCGGTGGGTGAGATGTGAGCTGTGGTGTTACCTTTCTGTGGTGCGCCTATGAGCTGGCCGGCTCTCATTTGTGTGCGTATGACTTGTTTCTTTTTTCTTCGAGAAGCACAAGGAGCAGGTTTGCTTGGACGGGCTGATTCGCCCAGCTACTCCAGGTTCCCGCTCCTCCGGCCGTTGATGGCATGTACAGGTACACTTTGTGCTTCCTAAGGTAGGCACATCACCTGCGAGGCAAGTATTTGGTCAGCGTGTATCAGATATCGACTGGGCGCTGGTAATGGCGTGATGAATGAATGGCATCAATATACCTACCCAGATGGATTAGCAGCTGGAGCATCTCTCAGTCGAAGGAGCTCACCGACAGGTGAAGCGCGCTATTCCAGCAGATTGCTCAAATCTCAGCTGCTTTCGGCTCTCTTGCATATTCTAGCTTCAATTCTTGTAGAATGTGATAGCTGACAGCCGATGGCGCGGTCAACCGCTTCGAAGCAGAATCCATCAATCTTATTGGCGCTGTGCTGCATATGTGAGATGAGCAGCACGTAAACGAGTTGCCAATACATAAGACGCTATGCGCTGGAAAGCGTTATCGATTACGAGCACATGGGGCCTTCTCGCTTATGCCGGTCGACTGGAGCTCTGTAGAGTCGATACTGCAGAAGTCCTGAGCCTTGAGTAATGTAACATGATACGTGTTCCTGGCGGAGGTAGAACTGAGAGGTGACAGTAATCACTTAAGCGAGTATTCTTCACAGCCTAAATTCACGTGCCGGAGGAAGCCAGCGCACGTCTTCTATGCGAGCTTCAGCTATCGTATGAGAGAATGTTCAACTCAAAACAGCGCAGGAGTATGTTCTTCGTAGCACAATAGGTATGGGAATCGTACTTGATTAAAACATGAAAGCATCAATGTTTGATAGCCAACACCTAGAAATATATCACATCGATCGATATCAACGCCTCGTATCCGCCACTGCACACTATTGCAGCTACGGGTACGACGTACCAGCATCCGCCGCCCACTTTACATCGATCCCCCAAGAACCCTGGCCAGATGTGGGTTTGCCGTGGCTTTGATCCGGAGTCACAAGGATTAATTTTTCCTCTCTGCGGAGCCCAAGCAAACCCACAATTGACGCCCAACCAGCGACCATTTGACTCATGCCTTGGACAGCGCTGCACCGGTTGCATGAACCGAGCAGGCAGCAAAGGGAAGCCTAGAAAATCAGGACAGGCTTGGATGCAAGAAGAAGGAAAAATGAAAGGCACCCGGAAAACTTCTGGCCCCTGCTTGTTGGGCAGTCTCAGAGAAGATCCGCTCACAGCCTCATTCTTTCCAGCGGCGCCACCTCAGCGACTTACATGTATGTGCCTTGAGATTCGTATGCGCTGCCAGCCAATCTGCAGCCAGTATCAGGAGCTTTGTTTGGTTCTCGTTTCTGCAACGGTGAGGCTACATAAATGTACCCTTGACATGTGCGCTGTCGTTACTCTTCTGGCAGCTTGCAGCTCACATCGTCTATCCGATGCATGGTTCCGCACAAGGTCTCTTTGCTCCGAAAGTAGACGAGGCGGCAGCCAGCGCGGCAGAGCCCGAGCCACTTAAAGGCCGATACGGGACTGCTTGATATGCGTATGCTGTGGGACACGCGGATGAATCGACCAGTGATGCTGCCGAGCTACACAGGTATTGTAGTTATAGTAGTAGCTTTGCCTGAGTGCTACAAGATAGGCTAGGACGTGATCGAAGTACCGGCATAGACAACATATCTCAATACTAGCTGGCTAAGTATTCAACCTTACCTGTTCTCTCTCTATGGAGACGAACGAACAGTGCTACTGCCAAACCTTGGCACCGGCGTTTACTATCAGGCAGTGCTACACCCGGCACTCGTACGATGACGACGGCTTTGATTCACTGACTTCATCCAAAGGAGAAGTGGTCTCACATATTAATTTTTTTTTCCCAAAACTACTTGCCCATTATGTTCATTATCCCATTATTTTAACAGCTCTCAATGGTTCCACGATAGTCACTCCACGTGTCGGGTATCCTCTTCCCAGCCCCCTGCTTGCATGCATGGCGCCCATGAAGCGATTGGAACGCCTGGCTGCCTCGCCTCGGATGCACCATCGTTCCGCTGACCAAGTGTGATTTCCCCGCAGGTTTCTGAAATACTGAAGCCGTGGAAACTGATGCATAAAAGCCATGCACGGCACAAAGGCTCGCCAATGCTCAAAGGCCTTCATTTTCTTGGCTCAACGTCGATCTTAGTATTTCATCGCACAACCTTTTGTGAAGTATTTGAAAGATAAGCACGAGCGGCCGCGACCTCTCCAGCGTCGTATCCCTGCCACAGAGGAGCTTTCGCGTCGTAGTTTCGCACAATATCGCCCAGTTTCTTCGTCGCAGCCAAGTTGAGCTTCTCGATTGTCGATGTCTCAGGTAGAGTGAACTCATCTGACTCTGATGATTTCTTTGCTTTGGAATCTCCATTTAGGAGTTTATCAGTCACCTAGGATGAAGTGTCAGCAGGTCTAAATCACAAGATATTCCATAAGCCTTCTTACTCGTTTCAGTCCATAATAGCCTCGTAAATAATCGTCAGACAGTTCAATGCTTCTGCAAAAGCGCTTTAAGCTCCCCGCAAGATAGTTTTGGGGATTTCCTTCACTTCCGGACTCAGCAGCCATCAAAAGTATTTCGCCAAGACGAGCATGAAGCTACAACGAAAAGAAATCATCAGCATCTGGCTCTTCACGTCATAAATGTCCCCATTGACCCAGCTTACATTCCACGCATTCGGCGCTATAACAAGTGCCTCTTCTTGCGCATAGATAGCTTGACTGTAAAGTCCTTGAGACAGATACAAATCTGCCAGCTCTATCCAAGCCTCGGCGTCGGTGGATGCGAAATCTAGATACTGTACCAAAGCTTCGATTGATTCGGCGGTTTTCCCCATCGTACGTAAGAGCGCAATCCTTCTTTTTGCGATTGGCTATTCATGTTAGCGTAGCCCTGGTTCATTATATGTATTTGCTGAGGGCTCACTGTATTGGTGTTGTCTTCAGCCAAGATTGCCTCGTATTCTTTCAACACCTTCTCAAGCTCGCCGTTGTTTGTTGCCTCAGCTTCTTTAACTAAGCCCTCAAGAGCTGCAATGCGCTCATCGCTTGCTCCGAACCGAACCACCAATCTTTCAAGGCATTGGTGTGCAGTAGTGTTATCGCCAGTGCGCAAACAGGCTAACAGAAGATTCTCATATATTGTCCATATCTTTGAGTTCTCAGGTGGGGAGAACAAGGATAGTAACGGCGACGCAGAATAGGACGCGGGATTCTTTCGCAAGAACTCTGGAGCTTGTTGGGCGACTTGTAAGGCTTCGGCGTGGGAGAGGCTGGCATGAGGCTGAAGCAGCAGCGGCGGCATGGTGACGGTATTGATGGCAATAGCACAATGCGAAACGTATGTGGTTTGGAGCTAGACCCTAGTCAATCCTGTAACGTGCTGCTTTGGGCCAATGTGATCGGAAAATGGTATTAACGGGTCTGTTGCGTTGCTGCTGAGCTGGAAGCGATAGCTATGGGCAAGTTAACTTAGTTAACAGATGTTCCCAATGATGCTATCGCGCTGCTATGGACGCCATGCTCTACTGGATGCCACGTTCCCCACCTATCCATATGCTAGTCTACGGAAGCTAAAAATTCCGATGCCGACATAAGCCAGCCAATTACCGCGCATACATCTGGGCCCCACCCCCACGTCCAATCTCTCCCAGCAATCCATTTAAGAATACTTTTTTTTTTTTTCTTTTTTTTTTCCGTTTCTTGTTCTTTTTTCCTTTTTCTTTCCAGTCAATCTCCTTTCTTTCCTTGTTGTTAGAACCCACGCTTTGCGAGGTGAGCATTCACCGCAAGCAGTGGAAAAGACTTTCGCAAGTCTCCCTTTGAGGACTTCTATGCGTTGTCCGACCAGCTGCGGTGATGATCGACCTGGAAGCGGGCAGTGCTGCTGCCACTGCCTCGGGGCTGGAAGATATGACAGCCCTCAAAGCGGCGGCTGAGGCTGTTGAGGCTGTTGAGGCTCCGAACGATGTGCCTTCCCATCGATCGCATGATCCAGCCAAGAGCTTGAAGCGGAGCGATCCCTTTCAGTTCGGCAGCCGCTATCTGGAAGCCGGAGACGATGTCTTCGAGTTTAATGCCTGGGACCACGTTGAGACTGACGATGCGTACAAATTGTATACTGAGGAGCAGTTAGAGAAGCAGCGTCAGTCTCCCGTGTCCGACTTTGACAAGAGTGAGTTTTACCCCCGTCCTTTCCACTGTTCCTCAGTACGGTATTATGATGATACCCATTCCAATGCATAGTTCATCTGAATTCTCTGATGAAAAACCTTACCTTCAATATTCTTTCGCTCCCATCTGATATACCATCTATCTTTTCTCTTCATTTTGCATACTCGACTGTTATATACCACGTCACTAACATATGCATCAAGGCAGGTTTAACACAAATCCGGCCATGTGGTGGAACAAATTCTATAAAAACAACACGTCCAATTTCTTCAAAGATCGCAAGTGGCTGCAGCAGGAGTTTCCCATATTGGCAGATATAACCAAAGAGGACTCTGGCCCGAAACTCATCTTGGAGGTTGGTGCGGGAGCGGGTAATACTGCTTTCCCAGTGTTGGCCAACAATAAGAATCCCCACCTGAAAATCCATGCCTGCGATTTTTCTAAAACTGCCGTAGAAGTCATGCGCAAGAGCGAGGCTTATGATACCAATCACATCCAAGCCGATGTCTGGGATGTTTCTGGAGAGAGCCTCCCGCCTGACGTTGAAGAAGGAACTGTAGACGTGGCCATTATGATTTTCGTATTTTCTGCCTTGTCTCCCCGCGAATGGGCACAGGCAGTGCGGAACATTTATAAAGTACTAAAGCCTGGAGGCCTGGTCTGCTTCCGGGACTATGGAAGAGGTGATCTAGCCCAGGTCCGCTTTCGAAAAGGACGATACCTGGAAGAAAATTTTTACATCCGTGGAGACGGCACCCGTGTGTATTTCTTTGACAGGGATGAACTCGCAAGCATCTGGTCAGGACCGGACGCTACAGACAACTCCGAAGAGGCTGACGTGCCACGATTTACGATTGAGAAGCTCGGCGTTGATAGACGGCTGCTCGTGAATAGAGCTGAGAAGATAAAAATGTATCGCTGCTGGCTCCAGGGGCGCTTTAGAAAGGAATAGAACTCTAGACTTTACGCAAAACGCTTGCTGCCACCTACACCCCGATGCCCAGAGCTTGACGCAATGGGGGTCTCCCTCTCACACTTTCTTTTCTGTTTAGTAGAGTAAAGTCTCTTGGATCATGGCTCGCTGATCTTGGTCAAACCCGATGGAGTCAAGGTAGCCCTCCAAGCTTCCGTAGTTGGCTTTGATGTGAGATTCAACTGAGGAAATCATATCCCTGGCCGTACCCGCCCACTCATCAGTTAGGCCAATCTCATGGATTTCTACAAGCATCTGAGGCCGGCTGGGCAAAAGAGCAGCGTCGGTCAGAAAGTAGTCGTGCTCTATGGCCGCTCTGGGGATTCTCAGTATCATCAGTACCAAAGTGCATATGAGCCCTGAACTGCTCTTGTTAGAAAATTGGCCGTAGGGCAAAAGGACAAAGAGAGTTCATCTTGCCTGTACGATCTTTCCCCTGGGTACAATGTATGATGGAGGGAAGTGACTGAGGAGTAGTATATAACGAGAGGGCTTCTCGTATCTCAGAGCCACAGTAATCGAGTGTGTCAAGGCCAAGGCCGACAAGCCCACGAGGCAACATGACTTGGTGGCTAAGTACCCTGACAGCATCTATACGATATCCGAGGATGAAGAAGAAGATGACTTTGCTGTAAAGGGGAAATTGACGTTAGTCGACGCCCGAGAATACGGCATTGAGGTCGAGAAAAGTGGGTTGGAGAGGATTAAAGCTTAAAACTTACAAGAAGTCCCACCATGATAGCAAGCTCAATAGATGTCTCTCGAATGATTTGCCGTTGATTTTGATTCCGTGGTAGTTTAAACCTTGTATTTGGAGACGTTCGCCGGAAGATTGGCCGGATTCAAGTTGGTGCTTCTTGATTTGTTTGAGAATCTCAGTTCTATTAAACACGAAATGAGCATATTTGACGCAGCCGTACTTGTTTCACGTCATGATTCAGCTCACTTTGTCCGCAAATCAATCACCGTCTTCACCTCAAGCTCATCTCGAATGAGATTCTTGTCTGCAGCGGTGGCGTCGTCTATTTAAGATTTGGGGGAGAAGTAAGTGGCTGGTGGAGATTAACTCGTTCAGAGTGAGATTTGGATTTTATAACCCTCTCGTACCTAGCCTTCCGGAACGGTAAAAGAGGCCCTCGCGAATGCGTCTGTTAGGTTGTCAGTTGATGGACTGCTTATATATTGGATACCGCGGGTTGACCTCTCTCCTAGAAATTGGTTGACAGTTTTGCCCACGTCTCTAAAGTTGGGCACCTGCTGAAGCCGTGTTTCGTGCTCCATGCTTTCTTAAACGGGGCGTGTAGAGTGCAGGACAGCGGCTCCTCTAGAGAATCAGCCGGCGTGAAGGGTTATATGTGGAAGTCAAGATATTATGGAGAGAGGAAGAGATGAAAGTGTTGTTTGCTGTGGATTTCCCCCGTCAGCGACGCTAAGACGAGTGGACTAAGCTTACCCGGGCGAGCATGCTACAGGGCAAAAGGGAATATTATAACCATAAACACACATCTATCATTGCGCACACCGTTGCCTATTATGCTATAAGAGATATCATAAGGGGTACTGAGAGTTTTTTTTTTTTTTTTTTCTCTTGCTTCTACTCCATAAGGTAGAGAGCTGCTGCAGCCTCTGATAGTGCCACTACCGTTTCTACCGCCTCCACAAGTGTAAACTCCCTTTAACTTGAAACTCTTCATAACTTTGGTGTTTAGATTTATAATTGCATTTTTATCTTCGTCTTTCGATTTCCTTTTTTCTTTTTTTTTTTTTTTTTTTTTTTTTTTCCAAATCTCATCATTGTCTAGATCATTTGCGTCCTTGGAGCGGAACGCGTGTAAGTCGAGATACTTCTCTGTCTAATATGAAAGCGAATAACTACGCTACAAATCCGTTTCTTTATGCTTTTCTCATTTAGGTAATGCGGTATCAATTGTACATATGAAATTGATTAGTTATGATAACTAGGTACGTGAAATAACTCGCCGTGGCTTACTTACTGGCGCTCAGAGGCAATTGCCATCTGAACCATAAACTTCTTTGCATGAAACCAATACGAGGTGTAGACTCTATACTAGACATAATCGGTATAATCATTCCTCTCGAAAGCCTACTTAGGCAAAGGCCCAGAATGACAGCACGGCCAAGGAATGAGGTTAAAAACGCCTCGAAAGGAACAGCATTATCAGCCCAGACTGGCTAATGACGATAAGGCAGAGTCTAGGCGCAAGCGAGAAAAAGCCAACGCGTATATCTGGGATCTGGGCCTATGTAGCACCTGCTGGGGAGATTGAGGCACTGAGGCTGAACAAGCTGCTGCGCCGGCCATGCATCGCGTCTTTCCAAGACTCTGCACTCTGTAGTACTGACGATGCTAGCAACACTTGCTGGTACTAGCTTAAGCCTGCGATCCCAGGGTTACGTCACTGGCGCTCAGCCCCCGCTGGTATTTCTTGTTGGAGGCCAAGGGGATTAGCGCAGCCTGTCTCAGGTGGTGATGGAGCAACATTGCTGGCTCGATTTGCTGTGGGAGAGAGAAGAGGAGAAGAGGAGGGGGAACAAAAATTGATAGACAGAATGTTAAGTAGGAGCTGCAGAGCAGACTCGATATCAGGTGGGCATTGATGCCAATACGGAGCTCAGCTCAGCCAGAGAATAAGCATGATGGGGACTCGCTTATAGATTATAGATAGATGCCTGCCATCAGTGGCAATCAAGCAGCGTTCGTGTCTCGCCCGGGACCCTTGTCGGGCGTTGCTTGCCCTGACAGGATCTGGTTATCATGGCCGTGTCCACAAAAAAGAATACATACGGCGAGCTAGTATCAAAAATCAAAATCCATTACACGTACTGGCCAGAGACTCGAGCATCCAGGACGGGAGGTCCTTGTCTGTCACGGAATACTAAGGCACGTACCCGTCCCAGCTCGTTCCACAAGGGGGGGCTGATCGACAAGAGCTGCTGCTGCCGACCGGGGCACAAGGCCGCGATGGCAGCTGGTGGTGGCCGCAACAGCACCGCTAGCACTAGCTGGCGGCGTGTCTCGACCTGAAGGCTGCCAAGCTGCGGACGAGCCGGCCCAGAAAAAAAGCTGCATAGCGTCATGCACCAAGATCTAGCCCGGGTCGTCATGACGTCAGGCCTGTCGCGGTGACATGTGGGAGGCGTTTCTGATGGCGTTTCTGCGTGTGTCGCCGTTACGAGACAAGCAGCCCGTCAAGCGTGGGAGGGCCAAGACGGTGGAGCGATGCGCAGCAAGACACAGCAATTGCTGAAAGCCTATGTCAGGGATCCATTGCTGGGCAGCGGGCAGAATGACATGACGGGGAGCTTGACCTGTTGCTCGACCGCGATCCGCTCCAGTAGTGCCTGCGCCGCCGATGCTGCCGTTCCAGCTTCCATCTGGTGATTTACATAAAAAGCAGCCAAAGCCATCCATTCCGCCCGCCGCCGATTAGCACTCGTTTTTTTGTTCATTCATTCACTCATTCATTCATCATTTCCGCCTCGTCCCTGCATCCGCCCGCCGACCTGCCCTCCATCTCCACAATCGTTTGCCCTCTCCGTGGCTGCTCCTGCGATCCGCCAATCCGGCATTCCGCCCAAGCACACGGACAAATCGAGAAGGCGAACAATCGAACAAGGCCCCGTGTGATCCCCGTGGGCTTCCCGACCCGACCACGCACCTGCACCAACAAGACAGGTGGTGAGCGTCGAGCTCCAAGAGCTGCTGTAGCCGGTTTAGCCTCGCGGACGATCAGCAAGCTCCTCGCACTGACCAGCTCTCGTCGATATTGGCCACCACGTCGTATCGCGCAGCGTCACTTGACCAGCAAGGCTGCAGCATCCTTTTTTCGGACTGGCGGCAACTCACTAACCGCCGTTTCTGCTCTTCCTCCTCGTATCTGATCTGGAGACACCCCACCCAGACGGGGCCAAGATGATGCAGACAGCTGCGGAAGCTGGGGAAGGGCCGCGCCCATCCGTGGCAAAACCGCCGTCCCGACATGAGGAGCGGGCATCTCATAGTTCATGTATGTGCTGATTGAGTGAATGAAACGCAAGAGTGAAGAAGAAGAATTGCAAGGAAAACGAGCAAAGAAAAAAAAAAGGAGAATCATGGCTCTGTTCCCCTCTTTTTTGTTTGTTGCCGCCATCATTCCCTTTTATTGCTGTTCTGCCTGCAATGTCTCGTTTGCTTCGCTTGCATCTTCCTTCTCTGCCTTGCCTGCCCTGCCTGCCTTGCCTCTCCTTGCCTTGCCCGCCGTAAGATTTTATTTTTATCACAACTGCTCGTATTTGCACCGCTGGCTTTTACTGTCCCGTAGATAAGCGGTTTTTGTTTATGCCTGCCTTGAACTCGTTACTGCATACGCATTCGTTCATACCTTGTCAACCTTGTCTTTGTTACTGAATCTTTCCCCAACACCACACTCCTTGCTTACTATCCATCACAGTGTCCGCCAGCGGGAGGCTCAGGTACGCCGATCCTCGTAGCCTTCCAAGTTTCCCATCTTCCGGTCTGAGCCCGGGTGGCGCAGCTGCCAGTGCAGCAGCATCTCTTGGCTGGTTTAGCCACAAGCCGATGGAGACGTGGAAGCCAGATAAAACGTCATCAGCCTCCGCCGCTGCGGTTCTCGCCAAAGACTACAAGATATTGCCCGCTTGGGAGCCCGTCATGGATGGAACCGGCGCCAAAGCTGCGGTGCTAGCAGTTGGGTCTGCCAGCACCGCGTACAGACAGACGAGCATCAAGAAACCCCCCGAAGGTTCATGGGGCAACTCAGCTGCGGCGTCGGCCTTCACCACGAGTGCGAACCGACCAGTCTCCCCAGAGCCAGCGATACTAACCACAACCCATGGGAGCTCTGCCGCAACACAAGCGTTTCAAGCAAACCGAATCCAATCAGCAAAAGTGGCCAGCTCGCCGCCCCCTTCACCAAGGGAGAAGCCTCTGGCGGCTGCCAAGGGAGCCATGTCGCCCTCCAGGCTCGGAAGCCCTCGTTCAAGGACACGGTCATATTCTACCCCTCCGGAGCCGTATTATGCAGATGCCAAGAGGGCTTCTGTGAGTGCCTTGAATGGGGCATCTATAGCCCACCAAGCTGCGATGAATAAGCCGCCAGAAATCGAAGACACAGGTGCTATTCCAATTACTACCATGACCCGGAACATGTTTACATCCCATCCACCTGTAAAGCCCGAGGTTGACGAGCAAACAACCAATGAAAGAATCCATCAGTCGGCAGTGGAGATGGCTAAGAAGATGTATCAGCAGCAGCAGCTGAATCGAATCGAAGACTCTCTAGACGAGAATGCAGGCGACACTGCCAACACAACTGCGAATCGCTTTGTCAACTTACAGGATGCCGCATATAGGCAAGCACAAGAACGCCTGGCCAAGCTTCAAGATGAGCATGAAAGGAATCGACGATACCAAGAATACTATTCCTCAGAAAAGCCTGTGCGCCGCCGTTTTACCATAATGGACAGACTACGACGTCGGTCTGCTAGTGAAAGTGATGTGGAGGACCGCGCACGCTCCGACTTGGTTCACCAGCAAATGTCTTTATTCACTTCCAGGCTCGATCAAGTCGATGAAGAGAAGCGGGAAAGAGATCGAGAAGCTCTCTTGATCGCTGCGCGACGCAATGTCAAGGCAAGCCTACAAGGGATGGATGAGCAGCACTACTTTGAGACTGGAAAGGTCAACCCGACAATATTAGGCGACTGGCAAATCAGAGCTCAGCAGGCGGCCCAGCTCCGACATGATACGCGGGCGGGAGACAACAATGACAGAGTAGATATTGGAGGCGGCATGTTCATGGACGCTGATGAGATCGACGCCATCGCTGCTAGGAGAGTACGTCCCGTGCTGGATGACATCCATGAAAAGGCAGAGGCAGAACGGGAGCGGCTAGCCTCGATTAAATTGGAAGAGGAAGCACGGAAAGCAGAGGCAGAAAGGGAAAAAGACCGCGAGCGCGAACTAAAGGAAATTCAAAAGAGGGCCAGAGGTTAGTTGTAATAGATCTCACCTTATTTTGACTTATGCAGAGTAAAGATGAAACATATATTCTAACGGTGATCAAATAGAGGAGGATAAACAACAGGAGAAAGCGAGACGGCAGCAAGAGAAGTTGGAAGAAAAGCAAAGGAAAGAAGAGGAGAAAGCGGCCAAGGCTGAGCAGAAAAGGCTAGCCAAGGAGGAAAAGAAGAAGCCAAAGCCACAGCTTGCTGTTACCGAGCCTCAAACTCAAGAAGGCCATTCTGAAGCCCAGGAAAGCCGTCCCCAAAACCAGGAGAATCTTGATGAAAACCAAGAGAGCCGCCCTGAGGACCATGAAAGCTTTCGTGAGGACCAGGAGAGCCACCACGAAGACGAAGAGATCCGTCATGCCGACAACGAAGAGCGAGAAGGAGAAGGAGAACAAGAGGCTGAGGCTGAGGCACAAAGCGGACGAGAAATCATCACGCCCGAACGTACGATTACTCCGACGCAGGAGACAGCTGCTGCCGCTACCACTGCCGCTCCTCCACCTCCTCCTACGACCACGACGACTGTCACCGCTGATGTTACTGCTCCTACTACTGTTGCCACTGATAACGCCGAAATCTCACAAAGAAAGTCGTCATCCGAGGCACCTACGTCGCCGACAGCGCGAGTCAAAGGCTGGATCAAGAATCGCTTCTCGCGAGGCAAGTCTATGAGCGAGCACGGCGAAAAGAAAAAGAGCTTCATTGGCGGCGCTGCGCTTAGGGACTCAACGGCTGGTGGCAGTACGGCCAGCTTAGAGAACCGCACATCCAGCATCCGTGATGTCACCCTTGCTGGGAGAACCGGCGATGAGACACCTGTGAATCATACTGCTGAGATTGCGCCCGAGATTCCGCCCGAGATTGTGCCTGAAACTGCTCCAGAAGCTGCTCCAGAGGCTATGCCTGAGACTACACCCGAGACTGCGCCCGAGACTGCGCCCGAGACTGTAGCCAGAGACTCTCGTGGCGTAAGCCCAGTTAGTGTAGGTAGTAGGAGGAGTAGTGGTGGAAAGGGCAGTGGGAGGAGTAATGACATGGACAGGTTTGAGACGCCAGCGGCCATAGCGGACCCGGCGTCGCGCCAAAGCAACAGTCCTGCGCGAGATTCTCGCTTCAGAGAAATGATGGATCATTAAACTGGGCGGAGGGAAAATGGTTTTTGTTTCATTCTCTTGCAAGTCAATGCAAGTTAATCCCACGGCGCATTAGGGGGCTTTGTTTCGTGTATACCATGACGCTGATGAATCTTTCTGGTGGGCTGTAACTCTTGTTCTTTTTTATACCTCGCATCTTTCCTTTTCTAAATTTCGCAATTAGTGCTAGTAATAATCCTTATTTATGGAAGAAGGGCTATCACGGGTGAGATATAATGTGTCAGGCGTTGGAAAGAAGGATATGATTGCCCTAAAATCAAACTATACTTTCATCTATGGAGTAAAAATACATATTATCTCATTACTGCAGAATCATAGTCCTGTGCATAAAATCACCCAATGCCCCCGTTCGTCACCATGATATCCCAAACAATGGGTCTAGTAATCCATAACAAAAACCGCCTAACGCCTTATAAATGCCTCTTTGAACCGTTTCCTTTTCTCTTCTCTTCTCTTCATAATAATACATCAGCCCACATGTTACACATTCGTACAATTGGTCCTTTTTTTCTGTCACCCTGTTTTTTCTTCTCTTTCTTTTTTTTTGTTCGTTAAATTAAAAGTTGTATCGAGTAACACCTTCCTCATGGCCGTTCTGGTGGTACTCGCCCTGAACGCTGTTGTTGCCGTCTTGGCTGTTTGATGATTCCAAGTCGTGCTTGAGGTTCTTGACGAAGCGCATGGTGTGATCTTTTGTGCGTACGGCTGGTAACAAGTCGATGACGAAGGAAAGGATGTAGAAGGTGAAAATAAAGGCAATGATCCATTCAAAGACGGCGGCAACGTTTTGGTTGCTGCTCCAGTTGGTGGCGACGAAAATGATGGCGAGAACGAACTCGACGATGACGAATGTGATCTTGACCCAGAATGAGATGCGGAGGATACGGTGATGGCGATTATCTGTTACATCATATCATGTTAGCAAAACTATTCAAAATGTAGTTCTTGTCTTTGGGTGAATGCTTTCAACGTACATAGACCCAGCACCCAGTATTCGGCGCAGATGAAGATGGCGGAGATGATATATCCAGCAATAAACAGCAGTAGGAACACGTCGTGTGCTCGGTGGTGGTGGTGAGTGTCGAAAATGGACAATAGGATCAATCCACACGTGCCGACGATGGCAAAAAGGATGCTCAGGATTGAAAGAATCTTTTCTTTCCTCGTCGTGTTGGGCACGAGCCGTCCGTTGTGACGCAGTAGACGCTCGGCGGCAAACGACAGATCGAGGAATACGGTCGTGACGGCCGATCCGGCGATGAAGAGGGGCTTCAGCTTGGCCGCACCAATGTCGCTGATGAATGCAATGTTGTCGCCCTTATCCATATAAGAGTAATGCTCGCTGTTCGTATCGACGACCCAGTAGAGGAGGAGGCCCAGGAGCATGCCCAGCCAGACGAGGCTGGAGATGACTGGGAGTATCTAAACATGATAAAAAAAAACGAGTGGTTAGAATTGTGGCTTATAGGAGAGATAGAGAATGAACTGCTGTTTTGGTATGCAACTTACCCAGTATGATACGAGACCTCTCAGAGCCATTGTGGGATGGTGGACGGCTGAAGTGGCTGAAAGGCTGAGCTAAGCTGGCTTTTACAAATACAGTTCGGATAGCGATGATGCGGAGGGAAGGAGTATTAATAAAGTATAGATATTTGAGTTGGGGGAGCAGTGGAAGAGAGGAAGGGTATCACGGAATATCAAGAAAGACAAAGACGAAGATGAGACGAAGAATAAGAGAAGCTCGGGAGATGCGCAGGGAAATAAGAAGACGACGACAAGGAAATAACGGGCAATGATGTAAAAAGTATGACAGGGAAAGATCGGAGACAGAGGCAGCTGGAATTACGCGGAAAGCGGATCGCTCTGCGCTGCGGTGCTTTACTAAGGTGATGTTCCATTACACACACGACAGTGACTGGTGATCGCATCGTCACAGCCCATGTTACCCATTTTATTTGCCTGCTTGGCAAGCCATGGTTCCCACCGGGGCCTAGTCGCCAACAGCCCTGGTCCTGGTCCGGGCAGCAGCGCATGCAAATCATCCATCCATTCCTTTTTGTTCTGCTTCTCTTTGTCTCCCCAGCACGCAACGCAACACATAACACAACATGCTGGGCCCGGGGCGCTGTTGGCATCGATGACGTAGCGCTATGACGGCAGATGGGGACGGGGGGTCCAGAAGGCTTGTTTGCGCAAACAAAAAGTGGCTTCGCGCTTGGCGGCTTTTGGCAGGCGGGGTTACCGATCCGGGACTCCGGCGCGCGGGAGGAATTTTTTTTTTTTGTTCTTTGTTCGCAGGTTTTAAGACTACTAGTTACATAGAAGGATGATGATTCCTGTCACGGAGAATTCATAAGCCCCGAGCGAGCGAGCGGGAGAAGCGTGGACGGTTACTAATCAGTTCTGTGAGTGATGACTTGGTGGGCGGTGGCTTGGATGGATTCGTTAAAAGTTTAGAACGGGCGACACATGCAACATGCTGCAAGCCAAGGGGACTGAGTGTTTTGACGTGTGATTGCGTGTCGCGGTGGCTTGTTGTGCGGTTGAAGCATGAGCTCGGTAGCTGCTGTTGATAACGGATCTAATAGCTACTTACTCGCATCATCGCCTTGTGGTGTGAGTGGTGGATTCGGGCTAGTCTTGACGGCCGATTTAAAGTTGAAGCAGCAGGCTCTAAGGCCGGCAAGTTAATTTAGGTGTACCTTAAATGATGTATGCATCTATATTGTACCTGGCCTTGTGTGTATCTGTGGCATTGTTACGGTTTGCTTCAAAGCTTTCAAGACTTTGGACTGGAACATGCCTCATTAGGTCGCAAATGTCGTGTTTTCCGCCTTGAGTAGGTAGGTTTAGGTAAGCTCAAGGTAAGCTGTGCATTTCACTGGGAATGAAATAAGATGATAAATATTGAGAGAGCACGCTAGAATGAGCACCCTGTTATTCATAAAGAGTTATTATTAAGTGTAGGTACGCATTTTAAAATACTGGTCAATATATAATGCAGGATTGAGTTTCGCAGCCTTTATACTTATCCAAACAAGTAGCACTTATGGCCGCCTATGATACCTGTATATGGTGCTTGTAAGCTGCGGTGGTCAAAATGGGCTAGGTACATGCACATACATACCTTGTAACCTCCATTATATTCAACTACTACTCAGCAAACCAAAAAGAAATAAATTTTTTATAACATGAATTAATGAATATCGTGACAATATAGACATCTAGTGAATGAATTTAATTATGATGCTGCATTCCATATTCCTGTGAAGGATATTTGTGCACCATTTGCTCACGTACATATTCCCTGCTTGTTTTTTTTTTTTTCCCTCAGGATGTGGCCAAATCCTTCGCTCCAGTTATGAGACACTCTCTACTGCAGGGACAAGGCTGGGTAGCACCCATGCCTCTCTGCCTTGTCCACAAAACTCCAAGCTGCTAATTTCCAGCCCTAAGCTGCGTCGTCTCATCTCGTTATATTGTTCCCCCCCTCCTTCAACAAAGAATGTGACATTATTGCTATGGCTATATTCATTCTTCTCGTCTCAACAGTGATACTTGCGATATTCCTGTCCTTTGGACTGGCGTTTATCGTCCCTCGTCCAAATTACAATACACAGCCGCATATACCCCGCAAAAATTCACGAAAATACCTGACCATCAGGATCTCCAACATCCCTCGAGATGTGACTAAAGATCAGTTTCGTGGTATTCTGAGAAGCCTATCCAAAACCACCTCAGACTTTACCTCCAACAATATACTGGGATGGTCCTTTACACCGGCTGCCATCGTTGGCCTTTCGGAGCGCTTTTGTGTAGCCACCGTTACATTTCATGTAGCCCCAGCGCTTGGCGACCTAGAGGTGTCTTTGAAGCGTAAACTTGGCGAGGGAGCCACTCGGCTGTTTGTCGATGAGGACTTCTTCGGCCTCACGCCTCTGGCCGCTCCCCTTCAAAGCCCAGCAGTAGAGTGAGTCATCCTTGGCTGCGTGGTGGTTATGAATTTGACCTTGACCTTTCTCCGCCTACCTAGTATAATTGCAGTGACTGGGCTGTCTGGGCATGCCTTTGGCTCTTGGAAGGCAAGAAGCGGGCCAGATATGTGGCTTCGCGATTTTCTCCCGCCCTCAGTTCCAAATGCGCGCATCATGATATATGGCTATGATACCAAGTTGCCAGGAAGTCAGTCGGAGGCATCTATTCTTGAATTATCAAAGAAACTGCTCGAGTCTGTTAAAACGTCTAGGTCTGGCGAGTCTGTAAGTTTGGTAACCATGAGAATACCGAGTTGATCAAACTGACACTGTGCAGAAAAACCGGCCCCTTATATTTATTGGACACAGTCTTGGCGGCCTCGTATTGAAGCAGGTACGACGAAAACCCGTTCTCTTATCAAACATAGACTTCATGTGTGGTAAAATGAATGCTATTTTATAAACCACCCACAAGACAGTATTCGAATTGTTAATCTTGGTGCCCAGGCCCTTGTCCAAGCCTGTGACGGCAGTGATGACGATAAAGCCGTTTTCATGTCATGTTATGCGCTTATGTTGTTTGGCGTTCCTAATAGAGGCATTGAAACTTCGAGTCTTATGGCCATGGTCAAGGGGCAGCCAAACGAAGCACTAGTGAGAGATCTTTCAGAGTCATCACGTTTCTTGAGTCTACTACAGAGCATGTTTTACGAGCGGTTCACAATCGACAGCTCACGAATCATATGTGTTTATGAAACACAAATGACTCCGACAGTTGAGGTAAGCACTCCAGTCCATGCATCGCTACATAGATATCCTCTTACTCTGTATAGTGGTCTGTGAAAACAGCGTCGTGGGAAAGGACTGGACAGAAGGTCATGATGGTACCGCACACATCTGCTACACATGTTAGTAAGAACGAAAAAACATACGACCACCTTCCTATCGATGCGGATCATTCCAATATTGTCAAATTCCATAATCCATCCAATCAGGATTATGCTATTATAGAAGCAAGGATCAAGCAATTAATAGACCAAGCGCTGCCGATTGTTAAATCACGGTTCATCAGTCACCAAAAAAGTAAGCGTCTCCAAGAAGAAAGAGACAGTTTGAGAGCACACATATAAACTAAAATATTGATAGAGTTATCAGCTTTGGAATCTCAATACGTCAACACCCTCAACTCTCCAAACTATGACTGGTTTCGACATGGCAAGGTTGATGAACCAGCGCCTGGGACACTTCGCTGGTTCTTACGCGAGAAGCAATTTCTTTCTTGGAAAGATAGCAACGAGTCCTCTATTCTCTGGATTAGAGGGTCAGCAGGCCAAGGGAAAACCGTCTTGGCCAAGTTTCTCCTGGACCACTTGGAGAGCGCTATCTCTGACCCTGGTTCTAAACCTACCGTCATCTATTTCTTCTTCTATGACCAGGATCAAAGTCTCCGAACCGTGGAAGCGGCGCTAAGATCGCTCATCAAACAACTCATTTTGCATCGCCGCGGACATGCTTTCCAGGCCATTTCAGAAAAGTTTGATATTGAGTCACCTGTTATACCCGAATACATCTTGTGGAGAGTTCTAGATGAACTGCTACGTACATCTATTTTTGGCACAATATACTGTGTATTTGACGCGCTGGACGAGTGTCGGGATGACTCGCCGACCCCCAGATTGCCAGACTTTTTCTCAAAGCTCATCAAATCATCATCCATTAATAAGCCCACAAACCTCATTATCAAGGCACTCATGATTAGCCGCCCGACAGTAGAACTGAGCCGTGTGCTGGAACAGCGTCCGTTCATACATCTGAAAGCCAATCCTCAAGACCTAGAGGTGTTTATTCGATCTCAGATTGAGAAAATTGGCCTGAGTGACGATCTTCATGGTAATGCGATTAAACTGCTGACGAGCCGTGCCGGGCAGACTTTCATATGGATATCTATTGTTCTAAAGAAGATCAAGGCCGTGACATCACCGCTATCGGAGGTGGACATGGAGAAAATCATTACTCAGAGTCCTTCGGACTTGACAGCTCTTTATGAAGATATCATGACACAGATCATGCGCAGCGAGAATGAAATACAGCAGAAACTTCTCGCTTGGGTTGTTTACGGCCAACAAGCTTTGACCTTGCCCGAGCTACAAGAAGCGCTCTCCGTTCAGCACGATTCTAGTAGTGTGGAATCCACGAAGAAATATATGATTCGACTTACAGAGTACGTTGTCACAAGTGTCGCCATCCTGGAAATTAGCTTTGGCAAGGTCTATCTGATACACCAGTCAGCAAAGGACTTTCTCCTCTTGAGTGGGCATCTGGCTGCTGCTGAGTTCTGCCGCATTCTACGCCCCTCTGCATATCTGGGAAGGATCTGCATGGTATATTTGTGTTTCTCGGAATTCAAGAGCGGGCCTTGTTGTGATCGTGCGGAGCTGGATCAGAGGATCCGACAGTACCCTTTCCTTCGCTACGCTGCGCGCAACTGGCACCGTCATATTCAGGCTGAGGACGATATCAGCGGCTTCGCCAATATCATCCGCCAGATAACAGAGCCAAGGTCCCCCACGCTGCTGGCATGGGGGGAGGTTGCTGGCATCCTGGACCTCGACAAGGCAGAAACTGTATGGGATATTGCGACAAGAGCTCACATCCCGTGGCTGCCAGAACTGTCTGAATTCCGTGCCAAAGGCACCATTGTCGATCAAAACAGAGTTAAGCTGGCGGCCAATAGTGGTCTTGCAGGCTCTGATGCTTTGAGTGCCCTGGTGAGACGCGGCAACGTTCAATTTACCACGGAAGCTGCTCACGCAATAGCTCGCTACTTTGATCAAGAAATGATGCAATCGTTTTTGGAAAGCAATCGGCGCGTCGTTGTTACTCCGTCGCTCATGAGAGCAGCTGCAGCTAATGGAAAGTATGGTGCCTCAGTGATACGCCTATTATTGAAGAGCCTAGATGACTTTGTTATTACAGAGGACTTTGTAATGATGTTGAAAATAAACCATTCCTGCAGCCAAGACATCGTGGAATTCCTCTTGCATGAGAATGTGAAGATCTCGAATGAAGCGCTGGCCAGTTTGGTGGCTATTTTCGGTGCAAAAATCATCAAGTACGTGCAGAGTTCACAGTGGGATGATGTTTTGATCACAGAAGCTGTCGTGGAGGCCGCGGCTGCTTGCCAAGACGGAGAAGAGGCGATGACTCTGTTGCTGGAACAGCGTGAGAAAGAGATTGAGATCACAGAGGGAGTGCTCCAAGCAGCGGCCAGTAGTGAATATGATGACAGTGGAGCTGTGATGGAAATACTAATTAAGCGAGAGAACAGAGTTGATATCACCGAAGATGTTGTCATAGCTGCCGCTCTAAACCGGGAGAAGGGCATAGAGGTGATGTCTGTTTTACTTGACGAGTGCAGAGATGAAATCCAGATCACCGAAGATGTTTTTCGAGCCGCGGTAAGGAATTACACACATAGCAAAAGGATGACCTTGCTTCTTCTCGAGAACAATGCCAACGAGATTGGAGTCACAGAAGACATGCTTATAGATTCAGCAATGAATTCTGCCACCAGCAGGGCAGCAATGGCATTACTTCTTGAAAAATCTGAGAATAAGCTCAAGATCACAGAAGCTGTGCTTGAAGCCGCGGTAGAGCACGGGGTGGGGGGTGGAGCGCTCATGACGTGGCTTTTCGAAAAGCATGGAGATGAGATTCATGTTACAGAACCCGTTATAATGGCTGCTGCATCGTCTTGGGACGCCGATATAGCGATAGAACTTCTTCTCGAGTATCGTGGAAATGACGTTAGATGTACGGAGAACGTGATCAAGGCCGCAGCCAGAAGCTTTCGTGGAAGCACAAAGGTGATGGCTTTACTTCTCGAAGCGCGTGGAGATGAGATCCAGATTACAGAGGATATCCTTGTAGCTGTGGCAGACAATTACGGTAGTGGACTTGAAACGATGAGGCTTCTTCTGGCTCGACGGCCAAATGAGGTCAAAATAACAGAGAGCGTGATGAGGGCTGCTGCAGGTAACCGCTCCCTCGGCTTCGAATTGGTATCTCTACTTTTAAAAGAGCGTGGAGATGAGGTTAGAATTACCGAAACTGTAGCAAGGGCTGCGGCGGCGTCTCAGGGTCGCCCGACCATGGCATTACTCCTTGAGAAGCGTGGAAGTGAGTTCCAGATCACAGAAGACGTGGTCGAGGCCGCTGCATGGAACTCTTCCAGCGATGCCATCGCACTACTTCTTGAGAAGTGCGGAAGCCAGATCAAGATTACTGAAGAAGTTATCAAGGCTGCTGCAGAGAGCCATTCCAATGAGGGAATGAGATTCCTTCTGGAGAAATGCGAGAAGGAGATCAAAATCACGGAGGACATCGTCAAGGCTGCTGTAGGAGGCTTTAGGGACTGCACATTAGTCATGACGCTGCTTTTCGAAAAGTATGGAAGCAAGGTTGAGATCACAGAGGATGTCATCATAACTGCCGCCAGGAACCACGACAACGCCGCACCAATTTTAACGACGCTTCTCCGCAAAAGCAATGTCAAAATCACAGAGCAAATCACTAAAGCCATGGCGAAAAATTTCACTTGCGGGAGAGCAATGATGATTTGGCTTCTAGAGAAGTACGGAAGCGAAGTTAAGATCACAGAAGACGTGATGATAGCCGCAGCTAAGAATAGAGAAAAGAGCAGAGCAGTTTTGGCCTTGCTGTTTCAAAAACGCAGAGACGAGATCAAAATCACGGAAAAAATTGTGAAAACCGCCGCTAGAAAGAGCAGGGCGGCCTTGCTATTCTTGCTGGAGAAGTTTGCAAGTGAGATTCAGATTACGGAGAGTATCGTGAAGGCTGCCGTAAGTAATCAGCGAAGCGGTAGAGCAGTCGTGCTGCTGCTTTTCAAGACTTATGGGGAAATGATCAAGATAACAGAGGATATTGTTCTAGCCGCGGTTGGAGGCGGAAGAAGCAGCAGATCAATTATGCAATTGCTTTTCAGAGAGCGCGGAAGTGAAATTACCATTACCGAGAAAGTAATGAAGGCCGCTGTGGGAAATGACAGAGGGATTACATCGCTTCTGCTAGAGGAGCGTGGAAACGAGATCGAAATTACAGAGGACATACTAATAACGGCTGCAGGGAACGTGTACTACGGCGAGGACGTGATGAATCTCCTTCTTGATAAGCGGCTCAGCGACGTTTCAGCTTTGGTACGGGATTCGGTATGTCTTGCAGCCGCCGCATCTGGGCAGAAGGATGTCCTCAAGCTCTTGTGCAACCGCCATGGATTTCTCCCTCTTCGGAAGGAATGGGCAACAATTGCGGCATTCTTCAACGCGGCAAAGGGTGGAGACGTGGTAACCGTCGATAAGCTTCTGAAGGAGGGAGTAGACCCAGATGTTGAAAATCCCGACCTTACATTTATAACACCATTATGCGCTGCTACTCGCTACGGTCACACGGCCATTGTGGAGCTTCTTACGCAGAGGAAAGACGTCAACGTCAACGTCAACGTTTTGTCGAAGAAAGGCAGATCACCGATATTCTGGCCATCTGCGAATGGCGACGAGGCCATTGTGAAGCTACTGATAGCTGCTGGTGCAAAAGTCGATGTTGTGGATGACTACGGCTACACGCCGGCTTCTTTAGCAAGATACCACGGGTATGGGAGAATAGCTGAGATGTTGGAACGGTCGAGCTCTGAGCGGTGAGTCTGACAGCATCGATACAATCTGGGGGACTTGGGTGAATGAATCTAGGATTGTTATAAGATGGATAAATGGGCAATGAAGTTGGGAGCATGTGCAAAGAGAAGGTGTTTCAACCTCGTGTATTATTCACAATAGCTTCCCAATACAGTTGCTTCGTCTCTGACTTTCGATTCAACCAAATATCCATAATTGAAGTCTGTTGTTAACACTGCCCATGTAATGGAATACGTGTATCTTGCATAGGCGAATAGTGATATACGATTGGCGTTTAGTGAAATTGAAGCACACAATCCTAACTGAGCATCAAAAGAATCGGGTATATCCCATTAGCTACAAAAGTTTCAACATGAGCTTGTTTAAACCAGAAGTCGACTATTAGCACGGGTAGCTCTTCCACAGAGGCATTGCTATACCTGCCATCTTGAGAAACCCGACTCTACCCAGGCATTCCAGCAAGCAGCGTTTCTTCCAAGACAAGCGACACTGCACTATTGGCTGCATACGAAGATAGTAATAACGGTAGGTGTTGCTGCGGTAGTGGTCGTGGGGCAGATAGGAATAGGGCAATCAACCAGTTGCGTCGGCGTTCGAAGTAGTGATGTATGTAAGTCAAGATAGAGTCAACTGTCCAAGTAGGAGAAAGAAGAATGGTGGGTGTCGTACAATCTATGTCGTTCTTAATAGCCAGTTCAGAGTTGGCTGAGGCCAGACTGACGCCCAGAACCAACACAATCATGATACAGCGCCAAGTTCATCTTGTATCGATCCTGCTTAGTTGTACATCATTTAGTGAGCCTTATTCCTTTTATGCATTGGTTTTATTGTACTAGAAAAATGGTTTCCAATATTTTGCACTATCTATGTAGAACCCAGATTGTAGATGAAGAGGAAGGATAAAAAATAATAATAATAATAAGGAGACAGCTGTGGCCGCGCAGCATATATTTATCTGTTAAGCCCTTGAATTTTACAATGAGGTTTCATTACCTGGCTATAGCCCATCAAATGACCGAAGATTATGCCCTTTGATCTTTGAAATGTTTCATTCTTCAGATACCAAGCCAACGCCGAGCGCGTACCAAATAACCCTTGGCATATGACGCACGCACAATACATATAGCCAGTCGTAAATTCTCGATGACGACAAAATATAATTAATAAAATGGAACTTCTGTTGGCATCCGCGATTCATTGCTGTCTACCACATATGAGTATAGGGCCAGGCTTTATAGAACGTTCATTCAACGATAGATATCTGCTCTTCTAGTGTAAGTTGTAGATTCATTGGATAGCCCACATATCTTATGCAGCGGACAAAAAGATATCCGCATCGATACACACGGTGTATATGGTTAAGTGGGTGCCCTACTTGTCTGGTCTGGAATTAGAGATGTGAGAGAAAAAAAAAGTATCCCTGGATTCATGCCATGAGCACCGCAGTTCCTCAATCGCGTAGACTATTGGCTTGCTGGCTCGGTGTGGAATTGGCCGAGACAGCTCTTGCTACTGTCCTTTCGTCTCGGCAGCGTTTTTCCCCATTAGCGCTAACAGAACTCCACCTTTTCCCTTGGGTCTGTCTTGTCTCTGTTTATTTATTTATGTATTTATTTATTTGCTACCTCAATAGTTGGGTGCTGATGGGTGGTCGCCGTCTTCACTAGGCTATGTCATTGACTATCTTACACATCCGGATCGCAGGCACATTTAATCAGGAAAAACGGTTACCTTGCAAATATCAGTATATATATACATCTAACACCAAAACCAAGCGGGCTTTCGGTTTTAGTTAGCGGCCACCTCGCTTTTCTCTCCTTGTGGCGTTGTCTCTTGTGACTGGACCGAGCTGTCTGAGTTGTGGCGCCGACTCCCTAGGCACCAGGAACTCGAGCTGTCTCAACATTGCGTGTCTTGTCCGTCATTAGTGAAAATCGACGTTTGATCTGCGACTTTGTTCAAGATCCCTAGTGAGATCCTCCGCGGAGATACAGTTTCAGTGGAGGTACCGGAAAACACCACAGAACCACTTAGCAATAGGGTCTAGCCTATGACATGTTATACGTGTCATTGACGCAGAGCCAGCCGTGCTATCCATCACCTCATCCTAAAGTGCGGCCATGGCTACCGGATTTAGTCTGAAAGAAGTGCTGGTAGGGAGGAAGATGCGAGGTTGATCCATCTCCATCCTGTATCGTACCATGTAAATCATCTGCAATATGAAGATTGCTATTACTGGCGCACGGGGCACGGTTGGGAGAACTGCAGTCAAGGTCTGTTCTGCTGCTGGCCACCGTACTGTTCAGATCAACCGCACCGAGCAAGAATACGATGGCACGGCACAGTCTGAAATGAAAACAGCCGATGTAGCCAACGACTACAATGCCACGGTTGAAGCGTTTAAAGGCTGCGACGCTGTCATCCACCTTGCCGCTCTGCCTGATCCAGTCGGCAAGCCTGATTGGAAAGTCCACAACAACAACGTCAACTCTTCATTCAACGGGTTCCATGCGGCCGGTAGCTTGGGCATTAAAAGGGTGTGTTACGCGTCATCCGTCAATGCAGTTGGGCTCGCGTTCTCGAACCGGCCGCTGCATTTCGATTACTTTCCAATTGACGAAGATGCGCCCCAGCGGCCAACGGACTCGTACGCATTGGCCAAAGAAGAAGCCGAATCCCAAGCTCGATCTTTTGTCGAATGGTTTCCTGGGATGAACATTGCTTGTCTGCGTATCCACGAAGTGGCGCCGCTGAAAAGTGTTCAGAAAGAGCACAGAGAGCGCTGGGAACAATCGGCTGTCCGGCAACTGTGGGGCTGGGTCAATCCAGAAGCAGTCGCAAGGGCCTCTCTTCTTGCTGTTGAGAAGGCTGACAATCTAGGTGGTTGTCAGGTATTGAACATTGTCGCGCCAACAACTACGCAGGACACTCCATCGGACGGTCTGGCAAGAAAGTACTATCCCAAGACGCAAATCAGACGCGACATGTCTGGGAACCGGGGATTCTGGACGACTGAGAAGGCTTGTAAACTCTTGGGATGGACACATTATGAAAAGGAATGAATTATCAGTGACCCGCTGTGCGTAGCAAGCCAATGGCATCTGCTAAAGATGCTTGGCGGATATTGATCCTGTTTGTCTGCTTCCTTTGTTTTTTTCTGGCAGGCGTATTCCCTGCGCTTATTGAAACCCGATATGATCTTGAAAGCCCTGGCAATATGATGTTCGTCTGAGACTTCATTCATTCGCTGAGCAGTTGTTGCGTAATCCATGGATAGATGCTGAACTATGCCCCGTCAATTAGAGCGGAAAATTACGGCGTTGATTCAAATCGCCTAGAAGACGGTCATGGATTCTCAAAATACAATAAACTAAAATTACAGTAATTATTGAGGGGGGAGGATTTAGAGGTTTATTTTATAACGGAAGTGTCGCTGATTTGGAGATGGGAAGAAGCAGACATTGACATATACTACCAACGTGTGATCAGAAGATCACATTGTCTGACTATGTTTTCTCAGCGTATCTTCTGATTCTATCAGCAGGTTCGATCTTCAGCCTGCGATTCAGTTCGTACTAGCCAAGGTTTCGCGTTTCGCGACACGGGAATGCCATGCCTTTACATAGCTAAGTTAACCTAGGATTCAACTATGTAGTTATAATTTAGGGCTTTCCCTATACCAAAATATTACTATTTCCGTATTAGAGATTTACTACTTGATATTTTCCCATCACTCGACAATAAATGCAAAATATTTTTGGCTCTCTGATGAAGTTCTATGTTCCGCAGCTTACTGATTAGGTATTGGATGTAAACCAAACTTACCCAAGCGAGCCTGTCGTGATGAACAGGCACTCCACTGTTATTTGCAACGTAATTGTGACGAGTCCTATCTTCCGAGGAAATCCTACACGGCTAAGCAAACTGCTTGCTTTCGACGTGGATGGTTGTTATAATCGGGCAGAATATGGAAAGTCAACTTTCCGATGACATCATTGTTACTCGTCATCTGAGCTCAACTTCTCCGGTAATCTAGTTCGCAACTGCGTCTGCGGTTGGTTTTCACTTGCTGTGGCGAAGCTGCCTTGTAGACTATGTCCAGGGGCGTGTGTCAAATGGATCGACAGAAGAATACGTGATTGGGGCGCAAGCAGGTTTCACAGAGTCTGACTTCATTATTAGCTTTAACCCTAAAGATCTCGCACCACTGTCTTTATTATACTATCATAGAAAGAAAACATTAGTTAGCACCAATCACAAGTTGGTTTAATCCAATTCTTCACCAAGAACAAGTCCATCATGTCGGCGCAGAAGCATTCAGGTGCCTCAGGTCTCGAAATCCTTTACGAGCCTGACTGGACGCAGACGCACAGTCATCGCGTCGGTACTCGCGGGCGCGATGCTCGATTCATCGGCTTGACTCACGGCGGGGATGAAAAGGTTCAGGAGCTGGAAGGAATCGCGGAGGAAACGCTTGGCGAGCTCCGTAGCAAGGTGAAGAAAGGAGAATTGGTTACTGTTCGGGATATCATGCAAAGACAAATCGTAAGATTACGTCCAAAATATCCGTCAGCTCTAAAAGGACACAGAGTCTAATCTGCTGGGATAGGATTTTCATTTGGAAAAGCCGGATGTACACCCAAAGTTCTGGCGGTATGTCCTACATACTACAGAGGGTTTCATTAAGCAAGATCAGCCGTGGCCGATCAATCAGAAAAAAAAAGCGGAAGCGGAGAAGAAAGCAAAGGAGAAGGAGCAGAAAGAGAGGAAATTGAAGGAGGAGGAAAAAAAGAATCAACAGAAGCAGGGGGATAGCACCCAGGGAAGACAGGATGAAAAGAAGGATCAAGAGGATGAAGCACAGAAGGACGAGAGGAAAACAAAACGCTCAGTAGAAGAGGAGTCGCTGCTGCAGTGCCTCCAATATGAACAAAAGTACCGGTCCTCAATAAGGCAAAATGATGGCAAGGGTCGCTCTCCACACTACAACGAGGATCTCCCTCAGCAAATAGATGAGGCTGACCAGTTCTCCCCGGATAGTTGGATCCCTCGCAGTGACAAATTGATCCGACTTACGGGAAAGCACCCGCTGAATGCAGAGGTTAACCTGACTACTCTCTTTGATGCCGGGTTCACCACGCCATCACCAGTACATTACGTTCGGAATCACGGTGCTGTTCCACATCTGCTCTGGGAAAACCACAAGGTTGAGATAACTGCTGGCAAAACATTGACCTTGGACATGGAGGAGCTGACAAACCGGTTCACCAGCATTAATATACCGGTATTCATCGCTTGTGATGGCAACCGCAGGAAGGAACTGAATATGATTCGGAAAACGAGGGCTTTCAACTACACCGCTGCTGCCGGTGGTTGTGCTTATTGGAAAGGAGTATTACTGCGAGACGTCCTACTAGAAGCAGATATTCAGTCACTCATGGAGAAAGCTTCCCACAAACGATACTGGGTCAATTACGAAGGCGCCGACGAACTTAGCGAAGGGAAGTACGCCTCTTGTACTCCGCTTGAATACGTTATGGACCCGACCAACGATGTGATGCTCGCTTATGAGATGAACGACCATCCAATTCCCCCGGATCATGGATACCCACTGCGACTGATACTTCCTGGCTGGGTGGGAGCACGGTCTGTAAAGTGGCTAGCAAAAGTTTGGGTTACTGACTATGAAAACAACAGCCATTACTTTATTTACGACAACCGGCAACTTCCCAGTTTTGTAACAGACCCTAGCTCGGACATTGCACAGATTATGTACCATCATCCAAGTACTCAGTGCAGCACACAGATGCTGAACTCTGTCATCGTGCGGCCAAGTCAGGGCGAGCAGATCAAGCTGGTTGACGTGAAAAAGGGCAAGATTTACAAAATCGAGGGCTTCGCCTACAGTGGAAACGGCAATGAGGTTGCTCGAGTGGAGATAAGTTTGAATGGGGGAATTGACTGGCTTTACTGTGTCCGGAAGGTAACTTGACTCTGTTTCTGCCTTTACTTCGTACTACTAACCCATAGTAACTAGTTTCCAGAAGCGCCGATTCGGCATGGTAGGAAATTTTGGACCTGGCTGCACTGGCATATTGACCTGGACATCAGCAAGCTTATCCGTGCACAGAGCATAATGGTTCGCGCGGTTGATGAGCATAGAAATACGCAGCCTCCAAAACCGATATGGAACATTGAAGGGTAAGAGATCCTCCCCCCCCAAAGTATAATCTCAATGGCGCACTGCTGATGAAATTTTAAACAAATATCAGTATGATGAACAACTGCTGGTATGAAGTAAAACCTGAAATCATCGAGAACCCAGATGATGAGGAAGCATATCTACTCTTCCGACACCCTGTTGACGCGGGTAATGGCATGGATGGATGGATGAAGCCATCCACGGAAGAGAAGATTGAGGAGGTCAAACGGAAAGCATCTAGTCCAGAGAAACAATTTACTCGTCTGGAAATAGAAAAACATCACACAGAGGATGACTGTTGGATTGTCGTGGATGGCAATGTATACGATGCAACTAGTGTCTTAGGCTGGCATCCTGGTGGTAAAGGGCCTATTATGGCACACGCTGGCGCTGTGCACATGGACACAACCGACGAGTTTATGAGTATTCACGATGATTACGCCCAAAGCAAACTGAAAGGTGAGTCGAAATCACTAGTAGATTTAACCAGGCATGAATATGCGCTGTTTGTGGATTTCTAACTTTGGCATATAGATTGCATTATTGGGAAAGTAACAGAGAAGGCAATGGATTATATGAAACGGATTGCCCAGCAGAAAGACGAAGACAACTCACAAACAGGCAAGGGAAACTCTAATGCAGCGCTGAATGAACACAAGTAAGTTACATTCCGCCGTTGAAATGCTTTGATGGGAGGTATAACTCTTTTAGGTGGACCCAAGCAAAATTGATCAAGACAAAGCGTTTGTCAGACGATACCCAACAATACTCATTTGCACTCCCACCTCCAGCCAAAAAACTTGGCCTAGAAACAGGCCAGCATATTCAAGTTGGTTTTCATTTTGAAGATCGACTGGTTGTGCGGCCGTACACACCAGTACGGCCCGTTCTGGACGACGAGGAAGACGGTACTTTCGACCTAGTTGTCAAAACGTACTTTCCAGATCAAGATCAGCCTGGTGGTACCATTAGCAACATACTCGATTGCCTCCGAGAGGGCGAAGAGATTGAGATTAAGGGGCCCTCTGGTGGAATTCGTTATAAGGGTCATGGTCATCTTGCTGTTGATGACAAAGAATACGCATTTGACAACATCTCCTTGATCCTCGGCGGATCAGGTGTGACTCCGGGGTATCAGATCATTGCACGAATACTGAAGGACAAGGAAGACAAGACGAGGCTCAAAGTAATTGATGCAAACAAGTCAGAAAATGATATCCTGATGAGGAAAGAACTTACTGAGTTTTCGGAGAGCTCTAAAGGTCAGTTCGAGATTGCGCATGTGCTATCACATCCCAGCGATGAGTGGAAGGGCCTCAGCGGCTTTGTCAACGAGGATATCATTAAACAGCACGCCTTCGAGCCCAGCGACAAGAATGCGGTCCTTCTCTGCGGGCCGCCTACCATGATTCAAAAGGCAGTCTTGCCTGTTTTGAAGGACTGGGGATATGATGAAGACCGCAATTTGTTTGGCTTTTAGCTAATTTGCCAACAAGTGGGTGGTCTTCCTACCCTTGATGTTACCAATATGACAAAATGATAATTAGTGTTATATACTTTTAGAATGAGTTCACTCTCATAAATCTTTGATCATATATGTATTGGAAAGCGTCATATCTTGACCTGACCTCTCTTGTTAAGGTTATTAACTTGGCCCAATTACTCCAGATATTCGGATAATTTTGACTGTTTCTGTTAGTAGATAAGCCCGCTACTATCGGGAATAGTCAATAAGCAGCTTCAAGTCTTGTCTGGATTCCACATCCCCCCAATTTGAGAAAGATGCTGTGTTATCGTGTTATTATTCTTGCTGCCGTTACTATACGAGAGATCTATCACTATGACAAAAGCAAGAACAGGGCTCTATTTTCGGCTGCTTGGGCGTGACTTTGGTCAGATTGCGGAGTCAACCTAGATATCCATTAGTAATCCGTTCAAAACAAGTAGTTGAAGCTACTTAGTGCTGATATCTTTAAGCAGCCATAGCTTTTGCCTACGTATATTACGAGTTCCTGTTTCGGGGCAGTTGGCTAAAAGCCGAGTGCTGCTAGTTTTCGAACAAGATCTTCGGAGACATAGAATTTGAGCGCTATTAAAGGACTTTTTGGGACTCTGTAGACACAGCTCTTGTAGCAGCCATTGAACGGCCATGTTTCAATTTGCGTGTAGTAAATACGGGTTCGCAAACCGCTGGACACAGCCACTCTTGAAGGTAGAGCGCCCCATATCTTAACTTGACACATACTCTCTCTACGGATACGAGATGGACGATTTTGCCAATGGGAATTCACGATATTAATCCTTGGCCGTACCATTAGAGGCAAAATTATTGGAAAGCTAAAGCTTGGTTGTCTAACTAATTGCTTACGTGCGTCTTACAGCATGACCTATGGCCTATTTCAAGGGGCCGCTAGGCTGTTGATAATCATTTCAACGCCCATCTTTAACTACTACATATTGTATTACTCAAAAGTTGTAATGCGTACATACAACAGTTATCATTCTTATATGGTAATATAAGCTCAGTTGAATCATTGAGGCCCGAATCTCACGTGGAGCAATGGCTCAAGAAACCAAACAACCGACGAAAGTTATGATAATTGGCGCAGGTTTATAAATTTATCCTTGAAGTAAGAAAACAATATCCATGGCTGACTAGCACTAGGATGGGCTGGCCTGGCTGCCGCGAAAACGTATGAGAGCTCTATGCATCATATGGCAATATGCTATGGGAACTCACCCAACTTCTACTAATACAACGTAGATATCTACAAGTCAACCCTACTATATCGTTAACAATCATCGATTCAGAAGCCACAGTAGGGGGCGTATGGTCCAAGGCACGGTGTTATCCAGGCTTCATTGCAGATGGCCCCGTAGGTCTATTTGACTTTAGTGATCTACCAATGTCCAGTGTCATTGGGCTCAAAAATTGGGATGAGCTGCCTGGCATAAAAGTCCATGAATACCTACACGAATATGCCCAGAAGTTTCGTCTCCTCGAACGATGCAAATTTTCCTGCCGAGTCACAAATGTTCGCCGGGCGACACCAGAGGGAGGATGGACTTTGGATACACAAACCACCGGCAATGACGGCAAACAGATATCTGAGTCTTTCACATGCGAAAAACTAATTGTAGCAACGGGGCTGTTTTCGAATCCTAAATATCCAGACGTGATGACGTCTGAGTTCAAAGGGCCAGTTATGCATACCAAAGACATTGGACAGCAGTATAACGCTCTCCTTGACACAAGTGTCGAAAGCATTGCTATATATGGTGGAGGTAAATCAGCTATTGATGCCTTAAACCTTTGTATCGAAGCAGGTAAGAAAGTTCACTGGATCATCAGCGACAAAGGCAGCGGCCCCAACGTGTTATTCAATACTCGGCTAAAGTGGGGGTTTCACGTTGGCCAGTTTGTTGGAAGGTGGAAAGATATCTTTTCCGCTAGTATTTTCAGCATTGATACGTTCTTTGGGCGGTTTTTCTATAGTGGAGAGAACAGGCTAGGGACGTGGTTCATTGACAAATTCTGGTCCTTTGCGGCTAAGAAGATGCGAACGGGTGAGCTGTACGCCGGCATGACGGACACAAATAGACAAAAATTGTTGCCCGAAGGCGACAGGTGAGTATCCAGCCCCTGCTGTGAGAATGTTTGTATCGTATACAGCCAAAGCGAACCGAGAGCTAATATATTACAGCGCTTTATTCACGGCTGTTGGCGGTGCTGCTCTCCATAGCTGTCCCAAATTCATCCAAGAACTAAGCAAGCCAGATGGTCTTATCACCGTTCACCGAGCCCGTATAACTTCTGCGCAAGATCAAACACTGTGTCTTTCTAATGGGGAGACTGTCAACTGCCAAGCTTTGGTGTATGGCACAGGTTGGTCAAATGAGGACATGCTCTTTGAGCCTTCCCTCGGGCTTTCTCTAGGCTTGCCTAAGCTCGCAGAACTGGAAGATCAAACATCGAAAGACTATTGGCAAGAGCTTCATACGAAAGCAGATGTAGATGTTCTATCACTTCTTCCAATCCTGAAGGACTCGCCGGGACTTCAGAGCACAGCTGCTCTGACACCATACCGTCTACATCGATACATGTTGCCTTCGTCTTTAGCCGCACAGAATGACCGGTCTCTCATATTTCTGGGATATTTGATCAGCTTTCAGACGCATATCCTCAGTGAAGTTTCTGCTCTATGGGCAGTCTGTTGGCTTGATAACCTTGTCAATCTAAATATCCCAAGCAGCAAGGAAGACATTGATTATGAGATTGCAAAGGTGAATGCGTGGTCTCTTCGGAAGAATTTGACCTTGGAACCGAACCCCGGTAGTGGGATTCAGCATTTTATTGATCTGCTGATGAAGGATATGGGACTAAAGGCAAAGAGAAAGAGAGGGCTTGGAGTTCGTGACACGTTTTCACCTTACCGATCCCAGGATTACCTGGGAATTGTGGATGAGATTCTGCAAAAGTCAAAAGCGGCAATCTGAAAGTATGGACTATATATATCTAGTAGATGTATAACTCGTTGTGAGTATAGCTAATGACCATTTTAGGGTCCGTCTTTCTTGGTGGAATATCTAACTTTAGAGAATTTCCAGTCATAATCTATAGAACACAAAGTACAGAGTGCTATGCTTCATATTGGTATTAAATATCTATAGGTTGGCAAGTAAGCACCAACTGTCAGTAAATGAGAATAATTAGCTCTAATACAAAGTTACAGTGTCAATCTCCACTGCCTATTCGAAGGATAACCGAGATCGTTTTCTGCATATAGCAAATTCGCGGTTATACTGGATTATATGTGGTATAATGTGATCTATCAACGTCTAGATTCGCGCATGCGATTGTGCCCAAATATCCTACGGCCGATATTCGATTAGGTTAGCGATTTATCTTGGTATATTGGATCTCCTCCAATAGCCGTAAGACTTTTAGGGTTTTCTCCGACGGCAACGGGGAACATGGAGTTGGCATACAATAAATAGCCCAACATCTGACACGAATCACTCCGATCATTGCCATTTCAATGGGCAAAAGTCAAAGATACCAGAACCAAAAAATATAAACATACAACAGCCGGTGTTCGCTGGTGGTCACCCACCCAACTACTAATCTGCCGGTTAGTGGCTTGTCTATGGGGGAGCAGACGGGACCCCGAATTCTCCACTACCTATGGTCGTATGTGACAGAGAACGCTATTGAATCAACTTAAGTTGAAGCATCCCAGAGCAGATAGGAGAAAACTGAAAACAGAGTGAATGACGAACATGACAAGCAGTGCCTTGTTTCAGATATCTTCTTCAAGAGTTCAAGTTTACGATATCACTAAGCGCGCGCGACACTGGGAAATAATTTGAAAGTTGAACCCGAGACGTATAATTTTATGCTCCTGACTGCATCATTTACATGAGATGTTACCAGCTCATCAGCGGGCAAAGATCGGCCTACTTTCGTATGCTTCAATGAATCAGTTTCCCTGAAGTTCATCACTATCAAAGTCCACTACAATAACGTCCTCTTCATCCACGTCCTCTTCTTCGTCACCATGGCTAGAAATCTCTCGCATATGCCCCTCTATGCAAGACCATTGTCGAGTCTTGGATAAATACATGCGCTCTGGCGACCTGTGCGACAGCCAGCCATATTTTAGTCTGCGATACTGAATGGCACACACTCGCTCCCCGGGAGCCTTGACGCAATGCTCAGTATTGTTGTGGTGAGTGAACTGCCCTTTGGTAGCCACTTCAGCTTGTAGAAAGACAGATAGTGCGCCATCCGCGGCTGCGGATAGCGCCTGTGAGATATCAAGACCGGCCTCGCTCTGCCTGCCACTGGCCACGGCCAAGCGGATGCAGGGATTAGTTAGGGTTTGGATACCGACGATCAGGTATATGGTTCTTCCACGGAGGGCAGCTCGTTCTATCCAGGTTCTGGTTTCAGACAAGGATACAGCTTCGTCAAGCCACGCCTCAGAATTATCAAGACTGTAGCTTGTTCCCCGATCGGAGACAACTTGGATCGATTCCTGGATCTGCTTGGAAAATCTAACAGACAAGACCTTGCTCAGAACAGACGCAAAGCTCATTTTGGACTCTCGTCGATTTTGCACATCAAGAGAAAACTCGGCGACCATCGGTGGCTGGGGTCGGATTTGTGGCTCATGGTAGCTTTCGTGAGGCTGGTCGATGTTGGTGATGAGCCGGCCTAATTTTACGGACTCTAGAGGGTGAAATATAGGGGAGGGTATGACGGTTGATGGCATTGTGATTGTTGAGAAGCCCAAGTGAGGCAACCTTGGCAAGTACATGCAAGGTAAGCAATGAAAGCATCGGTTAGTGCCTCGTAGGCAGCACCACTCCACGGCGTGTTTCATTGGGCGAATCATTTGCCCCAGCCCTGTTTCACTCATAGGTCAAACTACATGCTCGCCCTACTTTCTCTTGTCTGATTTCTTGATCTCTAAATTCCTGCTCACGTCTTTAGGATATACTTTCAGTCTGATTGGACATGACAGATGCTGTCAGTATCACCTCTATCAACTGTCCCATACTTATCTTCTCTGAAAATGGAAGACTCAGAAAAAGCTAATCACTAAATACAGGATTCCTTTGAGGTACCACCGCATGTGCGGGTTGCTGATGCATTGCTTCAAAATTATCTTCAAGACGAAAATCCCCAGCACCTTGATGGCGCAATTTGGTACCTGCAAGACTTTTTGAGGGGAACAGAACGTGATAGTTTGCAGTTTCCCAATGTGGTGTCGAGGCTCGGCTCACTTTCCGCTTTGCGCTATAAAGCAACCAAACAAGACCAAAGCTTCGACGAAGTCATCAAACTCAGCCGCCACGTGTGGAAGTCTGGGAGATCATATCACTCAGTTACAAAGGCTGTATGTCTGCACCATCTTGGAATGCATTTGGATTGGCAGTTTGACAAAACCGGAGATATGTCTCTGTTGGAAGAGGCAGTTCGAGCACAAGAAGAAGTAGTTCGCCTCGAAGGCAAAGAAAGCCTCAATTCCCTCAAATATATCATTAATCTGGGATTATACTTGTGGAAAATGTATCAGAAGACAGAGAATTTAACTCATCTTGACGAATCCATCAAGTTCGGACGATTGGTTTTAGAATTGGAGCCAGCCGAACAGCGACATCTGCACTTGGACCACGTTAGCTTGCGCCTGGAAGAGAGGTATAAATTACTTAACGAAATGAAAGATTTGGATGACGCCATAGAATTTACCAAGAAAGCCATTGAAATTTCTCCAAAAGGTCACTCCGCATTGGGAGACTATCTAGAGAGCTTGGCTGCCAACTTACGGAAGCGCAACAAACTCAGTCCGACGCTTACTGATGCTCAAGAAGCGGCGCAAGCTCAACGCAAGGCGTTGGAACTGTTGGGGAATAGTCGCTCGGATCGGGCAAATATGCTTTTCGGTCTTGGCATAGACATGCAACGACTTTACGAGCTGCGAGGAGACATGTCCGATCTCAATGCTTCCATAGAAGCGTATCAACAGGCATCCGAATTATTTCCAGAAAATCATTCTTCTCGGTCTATCATTACATCCGAGATAGGATCCAATTTTCGACAACGATTTGAAAGATCTGGTGACGTATCGGATATTGAAACAAGTATACAATTTGCAAGGATAGCCATCTCTCGCGCTAAGGCAGATACATCAAAGCTGGCAGATGCATCAAAGCTGGACTCTACCGTAAATCTTGCGCTTAGCCTTGGGAAAAGATACGAGGCATTTAAGAAGACTGAGGACCTGTACGAAGCGATTGAATTGGAACGTCAAGCTATAGTTATGGCATCGACGCAAAATAACGGCCAAGATTACATAGCCAATAATCTTGGGGCCGACTTACTTCTCCTGTACTTTCATACACAGGAACAAGAAACATTAAAGGAGGCTATCTTACTACTCCGTGGAAGTGTTGACAGAACTGACAGAACGCCTTTTGAGAGGCAGGTTCGAGCTTCTTGCTTGGCCAATCTTGGGGTCGGCCTTTTGAGGCAATACCAGCTCCTAGGAACAATGGAGGACTTGGACGAAGCAATGAGTACGCTACGAGAGGCCCTAACTATGCTGCCGAATAATCATAAGGATCGTAGCAGCGTCTTATACAATCTCGAAGAGGCATTGAAATGCTTCTATATGAAAACGAGGGACGGCAGCGATAGGCATATAATGGCCGAAATAACACAGCAGCTCGACAACCCTGATTGTGGAAGGTTACTTGGAGAACTGTATAGTATCACAGGCGACGTGACATACATTGAAGATGAGCTTAGAGAAAGTCAGAAGTTGCTCGACGACATGCCATTAGATGACCCTAACAGAGCTAAATATTTATGCGACTATAGCTGGGTATTCAGCGCATACTTTGAGGCAGTAGGGCATCATGAGAGCCTTGAAATGGCTGTCAAGATGGCCCGGCAAGGGGTTGCATCCAGCGTCAGAGACTCGTTCCAACAAGCCAGGTGTTTATACGTCTTAGGAGTACATCTCTCGATGGAGTACGAGTACCTGGGGAACAGTACAGTTATGGAAGAGGCTATCCAGGTTACAGCAAATGCTATTGACTTAATCCCTAAGAACCATTACAACATGCCGATCTTCCTCAACAGCCTAAGCTTGCGATTGCGCGCCTATTACACACTTACTGGCAAGGTTGAGATTTTAGAGGAGGGTTTACGATTGTCCAAGCAAGCGTTAACGGCCACCCCAGTAACATCCCCGACATTTCCGGCGTTGGCGGGTAATCGAGCATCGCTGTTGAGCTTACATTATTCTCTCACAGGGCAAGTAACCACCTTAGAGGATGCAATACAATTGTCGCAAGAAGCCTTGAGATACACTCCCATTGGAGATCAGAAAAGGCCGAAATTCTATCATTATCTCAGCGTTTTCTTGTGCATGTACTACGATAGGACTTCTGAAATGGCGAGTCTCTCTGAAGCTATACGATTGAGTCGAGAAGCATATGCCGGAACCTCCGATGGGAGTCCAGCTAAGGCTGATTACTCCGCCTGCCTAGCAGATTGCTTATTTTCAAGATACAGAAGAATCAATAACTTGAGTGACTTGAAGGAAGCTATTGCCACGGCTCTGATTTCCACTATTAAAGCTCCATCCGAGCATCCGCGTCTGCCTGGTATGCTCGATACTCTTGCATCATGTCTCATGTCTAGGTACGATCGAAACCGGAAAATGGCGGATATCGATGAAGCAATCAATATTGGCCAGCGTGTGTTAGATACCACACATACAGGTATCATTTATCGGGAAGGTTGGATATCCAACCAAATTGTGCGGCTACGGACTCGCTATTTGATTGCAATGGAAGGACCGGAGCTTGACCAGGCCATCCGGTTGGGAAGCAAGACGATAGCTTTGCCAATAACCGATACTCATCGACGAGCATATGTATTGTTTAATCTCGGGGTATGTCAAGCTGTGCGGGGAGATAAAAACGCTCTGGTATCATTTAATAGTGCATGGAATCTTCCAGATGTTGCTCCACTGCTTCGGGTTGCCGCGGCGGGAAAGTGTCTTACGCTACTGTATGCTGCTGGACGGCATGAAGAGGGAATGAAGTTGGGCTTTGAAATCCTCAATCTTCTTCCCTCTGTCCATACACCGTCACTTCAGCAAGGGGATGAGCAGGAGGTTATGTCCACGTTTGCCGGGATAGCCTCTGAGCTATGCGCTTTGTGCATCGAGAAAGAGGAGCCTGAGGCCGCACTTCAGAGCCTAGAACAGGGGCGTGCCGTGATTATCGGTCAACTACTATCAGATAGCAAGGATGTGCCGCAGCTCTCAAAAGATAGGCCAGATCTTGCACAACGATACGAGGCTCTTACAAGGGAAGTCGGAGCGCCGACCAGTTCGCTCACGACATTGATGCGGAGCAATGCCGTTAAAAGACGGCGCAGTGAAGCAATGAAAGCTCTTAATGATTGCCTTCGTGAAATCAGAGACATTGCGGGTTATGAGAGGTTCTTGTTGCCGTTAGAACAGGCGGAGATGCATCAGTGCGTTGACAACGGCGTCGTGGTTGTAGTGAACGTAACAAACATGCGGAGCGATGCAATACTCTTGACGGCTAAGGATGTGAGGAGCCTGCCTCTGCCAGATATGTCAATATCCAAGGTGAAGGAGTGGACTGGGAGGGATTGGAAGATGAAGAAACGATCAGAGTGGCAGCGCACTAACCACGACTTCTCCAAATACCTAGCCTGGTTATGGGATGTATGCGTCAAACATGTTGTTCATGCTATTGAAAATATACATGCGCCATCGCCGCACAGCAGGCCAAAAGTTTGGTGGATAGGGGCTGGATACGCCAACTCAATGCCGTTGCATGCTGCCGGGATGCATAACGGTAAATCTAAGGACAACGCATACGACCGTCTAATATCTTCGTATACACCATCCATTAAGGCACTCGCGTATGCACGAAAACAAGCATCTTGTGCAATGGAATCTCGGGACACAGACTGCATGCTTATTGCGACGATGCCGTCAACACCAAAGAGCCTGGACGAAAAGAAAAAGCCAAACGACCTCCCTGGCGTCGTGCACGAGGCTGCTGAGATTGTAAGGGTGGCTGGCTCAAATATTATGGCAACAGTTGCCAACGGACCTTCGGTGGAGCAAATTCTCACAGCGTTGCCAACCTGCCGAATAGCACATTTCGCATGCCATGGGACATCGGACGTAACAGATCCATCCAATAGCAGCGTGATCATGCAGCGTAAAGCTGACAACGGGACGCTGGAGCAAGATCGGCTCACAGTGCATCAGATTTCAAACTTGAGAACTGAACGCGCACAAATTGCGTACCTTTCGGCTTGCTCAACCGCCGAGAACAAAGCCACGAAGCTTCAGGATGAAGTCCTGCACGTCGTGAGCGCATTTCAAGTGTCGGGGTTCCCTCACGTTGTTGGGTGCCTATGGCCGGCAGGAGATGAGCAGTGCGTCAGGGTGGCAACTAAATTCTACTCTTTGGTGCTGTCGCCGGAAGGGGACAAGATAAATCGCGAACCAGCTAGAGCGTTGCGCGACGCGGTGATGTCGCTGCGTGACGAAGATGCTGAGATGCCGCTGCTCTGGGCGCAATTTGTTCATTACGGGTGGTGAAGACTTGGTACATGTATCTTTTAATAGAGGGTAACGAACCATATGAGATATTATTAGGGTCACCGGGAGCTTAGGATGCCTCTACTCGTTGGTATGACTTTTAGTGACCAACTTTGAGGCTCCAAAGTGGGCACCCGCAGCCAATAAGTGTATTTCTCATACAATTCACTAGGAAAAAACAACACATCTGCATCAACCGATCTACGACTAAGAAGCCACAAATACTGCCCGTAATATATAGAAAACAAACGAAAATAATGGAATTTATGTTATACAGTTGATCTTAGCAACCTAATGCATTTCATTTAAATTTTAAACGTGCACTGCAGCGCTATACTCGACTTTTACTATAGTTGCGAAAAAATACGCAAGAATCACAACAATTGCGAAAACACAGCTTAAATCAACACATCTCTATAGTCACTAAACCCCCTGTAATAAGGCAAGAGATATAAAAGAAAGTTGTTCTATCTCACTATGCGGTTACTACAGAATTTTTTTCCTATTTTTTTTCCTATTTTCTTTTTTTTTTTTCAGAGGCTATCCTCGCTGTTTTATTCTACTTGTAAAATAGGTGTAATCCCTAGTAAAATCTGTGGCAGCGTTATCTCCGTTTTAATTGCGAGCGTCTTAGCGCGCGGGAGTTGGTTGAACACCAAATAACGGAATCATATGACCCCAGATTTGGCGTCTTAGAATGCAAACAATGGAAGACATCAGACTCAAGAAAAGAGCTTGACGGGACCCCGAATTCTCCACTACCTATGATCGTATGTGATAGGATAACTCCTCTAATCCACTTATATACTATAATATGGGTATGTTGCTAATGCTATCTCATGATAGGTAGGTACGGAAAGTAACCTCCGCGGTAATGCTTGAGGGCTGGAGAATTGAGTGATTCATATTGTAATATGTGACCAATATATTTTGTGGCCTTGTAAGCAGCTGAATATAATAACGCGAATCGGAAAATGAATACCAGTGCTTCTGAGTCCTGTAATACTAGTTTTCTAACAATTGCAACTACTGTACACTTCTTAAATAACTTAATCCTATTAACCAATATCAAGCCTATCCCAAATGGCGTATTCGATAATGGCTTATGTCACAATGACTGTAAATCTACGGCGTTTATATAGTCAGTAGAGCCGTGAAACGGTGCAAACGTTTACACACCGTTGTTCTTATGCTACTTGTTCTTAATTTGGCTCTGTATTGCAATGGTTTATCTACATAACACCATATGAACTTGCTACCGGTTATCAACTCTAAGACGCATGCTCACTGTACTAATTTCATAGAACGCGATCGGCGTTTTATTACGAAAATTCGAAAGTTCATATATCGCAGCTAACAGTGCACAGCAATTTGTCTATTCCCTTACTCTCGTAAAATCATCCTTTTCCATTGCTAATATAATCTACAACTATACGCTCTACTTGCTACTATTAAATCGATCTCATGTATTTACACGCCGACGCAAATGTAATCGCCTAGCCAGAGAGTCGTGCAGGTGGATCCGACGCCTGGATTCCACTTCTCAATGTTGGCAGCCGTCGTCCCTTGGCTAGTAGCAATAGTGGCGCATGAATCGCCGGACTTGACGAGGTAGAACTTGTTGCAGCTGGTGGTCATGCCGGTCTGGATGGGCCGGTGGTTTTGGTCGACGTGGTGGTGGTGTGATCACTTTGGAGGCGCCGGGGACGCCGACACAATAGTAATAGCCGGCCATGATGTTTGTACAGCCTGTAGAATGTGTTAGTAACTCAGTGTTTTACTTTTCTTTTTTTCCATCTTGGCGAGCAAAGTTAATCAGAACGTAGAATGGGGCATGCCTGTGTTAACCTATGGGTTCCAGGTAATGAATTGGCTCATATTGATGCCAGACTCGTTTTCAATAGGAGGGCACGAGTCGCCGGGTTGAACAAGGTAAAAATTGTTACAATTGGCGGCGGTACTCGTCTGCTGCGGCTGGTCTGAAGTCGTTGATGACGACGTGGTCGACACGCGCGTGGAGGTGACGAGAGTGGAGGAGGTTTTGGCCGGCAGAGCCGAAGACGAAGAGGAGCCCGAGGGCGGCGCAGATGAAACTGTGCCGACCACGCAATAGTTCTGACCGACCCCGAGGTTCGGGCAGGAGACGCCGGGGTTAAGAGACTCAAAAGTCTGCTTGGTCAAGCCCCATTCGGCAGCGAAGGAGTCACAGGTATCTCCAGAACTGGCGGCGATTGCAAAGCTACAAGTGGCCTGTTTACGGGGGGGCCAGTATCATGGCCCGAGTCAGGTGTAGCTGAGAGAGGAGGAGGAGGCCAGCCTTGAGGGAAGTTGGCGCCATCATGATTGCTGATGCTTGTTAAAGGACAGATGACGATTTAGAGCAACTCAGAAGTTACCAGAGTGATGCTGAAGACGACTGTTGAGAAGAGGATGCAATGCCTTGTCTCGTCAAGGGAAAGGGGCATGATAGACGGCCCTTCTGTACCCAGAGCGCACCTGGAGAGTCTTGGCACGGTTGAGACTAGAAGTTGAATCCATCGCAGCGTGCAGTATACTATGTCATGCCATGATTCCTATAGCATGGAGTATATGCTGCACGCGTATTAGAGGTCCGAGGAGAACAAAAAAAAGTGCGACAGTCCGAGGCCATGTGCTGAGGTCTCGTCGGGTCTAGAGCGTGAAGCACTCCACGATAGAACCTTTCTCCTGAGCCAAGCGACGGAGATATCCATCCTGTTGGCCACATCTGCTATCAAATCCACATCCAGCTGCTGTTAGTCGGGCAAAAAAAACCCAAGTCTTCAACGTTACATACCACATTCGGGTTCTTGCTACGGCTCTCTTGCCACTTGTGGTAAGTAAAGGTCGCCACCAGAGCCATCTTTCTCTTCATATGGGTCAACGAACTCACTGGAAACGGCAAACTTACATCGTATGTTTGTATAGTGCAGAGTTGTTGGATCCAACTTCGGGCACAAAAAAAAAAAAAAAAAAAGAACATGGGAGAACCAACAGTCGTTATATAGTCTGTTAATAACTGTCTGTACAATATCGACCGGGTGCTGCAGTAAAGTTAAAGCCGGAAAGCTTGTTTATGTTCGCCCGCGGACTTCATTGCTTTCTAATTTGTCTAGGCTAATCTACCGAATGCAGCTGTGCTTTGTACAGACATACAATTGCGATGATGTAGCGCGGTTGATATCAACATAGGTATTGTAACTGGCTCTGCTAGATTGATTGGTAAACACTGCGTGGATTGCCTTCTCTTTTGACTTGCTTCAACCGGTATAAAGCTATGGGGTTGGAGGAGAATATCTGTGGGAAGCTAATTAGCGGATCTAGTTTGCAATTAGACCGACCAGTGGGGGACCAAAGTCTCAGAGGATCAACAGGGTATCAGACAGGGCTGAACCAACAACACAAAACGGTTCCTGCGTGCCGTCTTTCCCGCGAAACTGTGCCTTTCACACAGAGTATTGGTGCAGCCGACGACCCCCTGAGATGGGCCATTTGTACTACTTTGTACTCCGTAGTTGAAAATAACTGCCGCATGTGATGGCAACGACACGGCCATCTCGACATCACCACTCGCACCGCCTTGGGTCTTGTCTTCTTCTTCCTTCTTCTCTTCACCATGATCTCCCGCCTCAAACTCGGCATTCTCTTCTTTTCCCTCTTTTCTCCCCCTTGGGCTACCCGCTATTTCGTTCATTCTATTCCCTTCAACTTTAAGCGTTCTCATCTTCCATCATGGGCGCTTCCAGCCACGTTCGCTTCGCCTTCGCTGCGCTGATGGCCGGCTTAATGACTGCAATGGGTGACAAGAGCGCTTCTCTTATATTTCCTGCCACCTTTGAAGTGGACTTGCTATTCCCTCGCAATGAGACTTACGCTCCGAGCTGGCTGATGCCCGTCGTCTTTGCAATTCAGAATCCATCTCTGGCTGTCCCGCTGTCCGCTTCAATCCAGTGGAACATGTGGGAGGGCAACAACACGAGGTCGCCCGGCTCTATCGGTGGTGGTGGTTTTGATGTAGCCGGCGATGTAACTACGGCGACATCCACACCCAAAAACCCTTATCTGCTCAGCAGTGCTGTCAACACTATTTCTTACCCAGATGGCGTCTGGACTCTCGCCTGGTACGTGCAGTATAACATTTGCGGGAACCCAACGCATAGCGAAAACTTCACCACCGTCTTCACCGTCAGCAAGTCTGGAAAGGCAATCGATCTTGAGGCGGCTACATCGTCTGATATTTGTGGCGCCGCGGAGGCACAAGCATTCAACATAACTTCTTCTGGGGGATGTGGTATGCTAGGTCCCACCCCAACCACCAACCCATGTGCGGCAACTATCGACTCTGTAGCCGCATCCAGTCTATCCGCCTTAGCCAGGGCCACGGGCTCTATCTGTACATCTTATAGTTCCAACCTCACCTGCCTGAATCCGAGCCCGCCTCCCGGTCAACCTTCAGCAGCCAATCCTCGTGTGGCAGCGGCGTCGCAATTGCTTACGCTGCTGGCTGCATTGGGTGCCCTGATCTATCTTGCATGATGTAGATGCATGCACTCTACATGGTTGATTGAAAGACGGGCACCGATCTTTTTCTTTCTCTATAAGTGGCAATTAGCTGGCCTTTTATGATAATATATTTTAACCCTCCTCCTCCTCCTCCTCCTCCTCCTCTTCTTCTCCTCTTCTCCTCTTCTCCTCTTCTCCTCTTCTCCTCTTCTCCTCTTCTCCTCTTCTCCTTCTATTAAAAATTATAGCAATATATATGTAATAGACAAGATCAGCGTGTTCAATCTTTGCCATTACTATTTACTTATATTGCGCCCTTGTTGTAAGAACCTAAGCGTTAAGCATCAACAGATCCTACCTTAAGGTTATTAACATATATATGTAGAAAAAGCCAGTTAGGGAAAAGATTTTCAAGCATTGAGTATACTATATAGATCTCCGACATGGTTTACTGTAGATCCTTGGATTCAGTCTGAAATTTCTTCATCAGCGCTCTCCGGTGATAGGAGCGACTGACTATTATCCCCTGGCCACTCCACCAACAAAAAGTCCTCGACCCAGCAAGCTAATCTCCGCAGGAAGTATTATCTATAATACGGGGTCATCTATGGATAATTCTCCGTCACCAAAGAGGAAACCGTTGAAAAAGCTGTGTTCTGAAGCGAAGTTTCAAACTACAGGGTACCCTTGTCAGCATATCCTTGCCGATATGGACGCCGTCTGCAGCAACCAAGACTCTGCGGCCATCCCGATGGTCTGCTCTGATAATGTTGAACAAGGCCATAGGGCAAAACAATTTGACCACTCTGCCGTCTCAGCCCTATCCTAAGGTTTATACCATGTATATTCCGTCAGTAGTCAATCCGTCGATGTGCCGCGGGATGCGTCTAGTGCAACGTTGTACAGCCTCTGGGAGCGAGTCATTCAGGCCCACGATGCCTCGACTTTGCGTTGCCAAACGCACCAACACCGGAATCAAAATGAAGCTTCCCCATAGATCCTCTTCGATGGTCTATTAGTCTTTACTGAATTGCCATGGAGTGTTCGGCCCTATTGGTTATTACCGGGTTCAATCTCCTCATTGCAGGCTGAATGCGCTAATCTTAGCGCGGGGTTGGTTAACCACCAAAAACGGACTTATTTAACTATAGATTTGGAGCTATAGGATGTCAAAAATGGAAGACATTACACTCGAGAGAAGTGCTTGACGGGACCCCGAGTTCTCCACTACCTATGGTCGTATGTACTAAGATGCTGCCTAACAAAGTATATAAGTTACAGTACAAAAAGCGCAGAGTATAATATCGGCCTTTGTCTTTCGATTTCTCAATGATAAATTCATGTGTTAGTTTAATAAGATACTCCGTACATGTCCCAGCGACATTGTGAACGGACCAACTAGAAAAGTGAGACGACCACTTCTGCCGTAATGATTATGTTCTAGTACATGAGGAATCTAGTTCCGCCGACAGACATATTTTAGCGACCATAAGTTATTGGATGATATAGCCCGCTTGTGAGGCAAGTTCTGCATGTGTGCCGGCGACATACCATATAATCGCAAAACACTGTTGGTTTCTGTAAGTACTCCTTACCAAATTTGTCGATATGCTATTGATGCCTGGAACCCCGCGCTGGAAAATGCCTGAACCCCCGCTTTTGAAAATTTGATTGAAATAGCTGAAGAGTGTGTAGTTAAAACTCATCACTTCATCAAGAGACCATGCGAGATGATCAAGGCCAATAACCCAGAAAGGAATTTGATAGAATTTTGTACTCTGCGAAACATCATTTGCTTCTGGTTCTTCCATTCTGCGCTACACCAAGTTGGAGGTTATGTCAGACCCCAAAAACTACACGGTGGGCTGGATATGCGCCATCACGGTCGAATATGTTGCTGCTCAGCTATTCCTTGACGAAGAACATGAAGGACCGCAACATCTTCCTCAAAATGATTACAATAATTATAAATTGGGTAAAATGGGAAGCCACAATGTCGTCATTGCTGTGTTACCTGATGGGGAATATGGGACCTCTTCTGCAGCGCGCGTGGCTGCGGATATGCACCATAGCTTCCCAAATGTTAGAATTGGGCTAATAGTTGGTATTGGCGGTGGAGCTCCCAACAAAGAGAATAAAATTCATTTGGGAGACGTTGTGGTTAGCTCTCCTCGCAATGGCTTGGGCGGCATACTCTCTTATGACTCGGGCAAGGCGATACAAGACCAAGCATTTCAGATGTCAAAGTTCTTAAATCAGCCACCCACCTACCTTCGAACAGCAGTACAGGGCCTAAGGTCACAGTATGAGATAAGGGGGAATCAGCTTGAGACAGCCATCAATTCTGTTCTGAACAAAAATCCGAAGTTACGAAAATACCGGCGACCTGACCCAAGCACCGATAGGTTATACCGAAGTGACGTTCTTCATCCCATAGGCAACACATCAAAATGCGCCGATGTATGTGAGAATGATCCACTAAATCTAGTATCTCGACTTATACGAACCGAAGATGAGGATAATCCAATGGTTCACTATGGTATAATTGCTTCTGCAAACACACTCATCAAGGACGCTATGGTACGAGATGAGCTTGCCAAAGAAAAGGGCGTTTTGTGTTTTGAGATGGAGTCGGCTGGATTGATAAACCATTTCCCTTGCCTGGTTATTCGTGGCATATGTGACTACGCGGACACTCATAAGAATGATGATTGGCATGGATATGCGGCCATGACAGCTGCGGCATATGCAAAAGATCTTCTCCGCCAGATCCCCCCGAACAAAGTTGAAGCTGAGCGTAGAATTGACAGTCAACTTGACAAGAGTTAGTCATCCAACTCCTGTGGCATTTATACATAAATGGATTGCTAAGGAAAACCCTTGAAAACAAGTTGACGAAAAGTTGGATGCCATGAATCAACGCGCCATACTCGATAAATTGCCTGTCGCCAGAGAAGCAGCCTTCAACTCAATCCCTGAGGCACAGGAATCAACCTGCCTTGCCGGCACCAGAGTCGATATTCTCCATCGGATATCTGAATGGGCCAACGATTTCAACACCAAACCTATCTTTTGGCTCAGCGGCATGGCTGGGACCGGAAAATCCACAATTTCTCGCACCATCGCTCAGTCCTTTGCTGGTCATCTTGGTGCCAGCTTCTTCTTTAAAAGGGGAGATGCGGACCGAGGGACTGCATCTAAGATTTTTACGACAATCGCTGCCGACCTACTCATACGAGAACCTGCTCTCGCTCCGTACATTAAGCAAGCTATCGACAATGATCCTGCTGTTCCATGGAAAGGGCTGCAAGAGCAGTTTGATCAGCTCATATCGCAACCTTTGCTAAAATTTGTCGCAGACGGAGGGAAATTTGATTCCGTAATCATTATCATAGACGCCCTTGATGAATGCGAGCGGGAATCTCAGATAAAATCTATTATTGATCTTCTTTCTCATCTTAAAATTCGAGAAGGTCTATGTTTACGAACCTTTGTTACCAGCCGACCTGAGTTACCAGTCCGTCTTGGCTTTCATGCTATTGAACATAAAAATCTAATCCTTCATGAAATACCTCAAATCATTATCAAACAAGATATATCGCTTTTTCTAGAGTACAAGATAGCGGAAATCCGCGAGAAGTTCAATGCTTCCGTCTCAAAAGACCGGCAACTGCCCTTAGGCTGGCCTGGTGAGTCTAGCTTTCAGTCTCTGGTAAACATGGCTGTTCCCCTGTTTATCTTTGCTGCAACTGTTAGTCGCTTCATTGCCGATCGTAGGGGCGGAGACCCTGATGAGAAATTAAAAGATATCCTGCTGTATGAGTCAAGGAGCCAGGAGTCGAGATTAGACGCAACATACATGCCTGTGCTAAGCAATATAATTTCTGGATTATCTACCCGTGAGCGAGAGAAAACAACCCAACAATTTCAAAATATCATCGGCTCGGTCATTACTCTCGCAAGCCCCCTGTCATCACTAGCTCTCAGTCAGATCCTCAATGTTTCGAAACGCATCATTGATAACCAGTTAGATCTACTTCACTCAGTCTTGCGTGTTCCCTCATCACCTGAATCTCCTATAAGGCTATTGCATATCTCTTTTAGAGATTTCTTAACAGATCCTGACAAGGAAGGAAGGAGCCCTTTCTGGATAGATGAGAAACAAGCACACGCAAGAATGGCAATTAATTGCCTGAATGTAATGGGAAAACATCTTAAATGCTGTATTTGCGGCATTAGAGATCTTGGCATGCCTCGATCTGAAATTCAGCCAGCAAAAATTGAGGCTTGCCTTCCCCCAGAAGCTCAATATGCTTGCTTATACTGGACATACCATTTACGAAAAGCGGAGAAATATATAAATGCCAATGAGAAAATTTACAACTTCCTTATATGTCATTTCCTCCATTGGATAGAAGCACTGAGCCTCATGGGAAGAACTCATGAAAGTCTTGGCCTGATTAATGAGCTATTGCCTATTCGAGATGTAGGTTGTCGTCTTCTCACTTTTCTACAAAATGACTGAGCTAAGATTATCACAGCCAATCTCCAATCTAGAGCTGGTATACTTTCTAAATGACGCTATTCGCTTCATACGTAGAAATATTACTGCCATTGAGGAAACTCCTTTACAACTATACTCTTCCCTACTGGTTTTCGCACCACGAGACAGTGTAATAAAAAACACCTTTAAAGGCCACATAAGTTGGATAGCCCGTGAGCCAGAAACAGAAATGGAAATTTGGAACCAGCATCTACAAACCCTTGAGGGCCATAGCGATGGAATTAAAGCCGTTGTTTTTTCGCATAACTCATCCTTGCTAGCATCAGCCTCTCATGATGGGACCGTGCGTATTTGGAATACCAATACAGGAGAGTGTCTCCAAGAGCTTCAAGTTGACACCACCGCAGTTCAGTCAGTCATCTTCCTAGAAGGATCTACGCGCGTGGCATCAGTATCCAAGAATATGACAATCTGTATCCACGAAGTGGAGACAGGCAGGTGCATACAACAACTAAAAGGATATCATAAAATCCATCAAGCGGCAATTGCGGTATACAACTCTACATTGCTAGTGTCAGCTGCAAGTAATGATATGGTGCGAATCTGGGATATCAATGCTAAAAAATGTCTGCAAGTGCTACGCAGCCATAGTAAGGATGTGTTTTCACTAGCTATTTCAACTGACTTGAAACTTTTGGTTTCGATGTCAAACGACAAAACAGCATTTATTTGGGACATCGATTCAAAAAAGCCCATGAAGCGATTTCAAGCCAATGGTGCGATGGCCTTTTCTCGCGATTCAAAGTACATCGTTGCTGGGTGTATCGATAACTCGGTATGAGTCTGGCCTGTTATCCATGGAAACATACTGCACAAATTTAAGGGTCATACTGGCCAAATCACAGCGGTTACCTTTTCAAACGACTCAAAATTGGTAGCATCAGCTTCTGTTGATCGAACAGTAAAGATATGGCATGTTGAGCAGGGTGTATGTATCCAAGAGATGCAGAACTATAGCAGATGGGTTTCCTCAATCACCTTTTCGCATGACTCGGCGATTCTAGCACTAGCATCGGATGACAGCACTGTAAGGATCTGGAATATTGAAGGAAATCAAGAGATTGAAGAGTCTCCTGATCAATGGGGCCCGGTTATGTCGATTGTTCCATCGCCTGATTCGACGCTGGTCGCATCGCTACATTCTGCTGAACGAGCGGTGCGGATGTGGCATGTCGACGATGGAGAATGCATGGATGAAATCGTCAGTCATGACTGGGTGGATTCAGCTAACTTTTCGCTCGATTCAGCATTTATAGCAACACGTTCAGTAGACCAGACGGCACATATCTGGCGTACCGATTCTGGTGAATGCGTATACGAGTTCCTGAGTTGTAGTGCATGGTTAGAATCAGTATCTTTTTCGCACGACTCAACTTTAGTGGCATCAGCTTCTATTGACGGGTGCGTGGTGCAGATATTGAATGTCAAGGAGCATAAGCAGATACAAACTCTTCACGGCCATACGGGGATGATTCGCTCAATAACCTTTTCCCATGACTCAGCTCTGATGCTTACTGCCTCGGAGGATAAGACAGCACGAATCTGGCATATCGAATCCGGGTTATGTTTACAGGAGCTTCAAGGTCATACCTGTGAGATTACATTCGCTGTCTTCTCTTACGATTCAGCCCTTGCTACATCTACCTCGTCTGATAAACTGCGAATCTGGGATGTTCAATCGGGCTCATGCCTTCAAGAATTTCCTGGTCACGCCAATGATCCTAAAATAGCTGCATTTTCGCATGATTCAGCCCTTTTAGCAGTATCCTATCAGGATAATACGGTACGGATATGGCAAATCCATACAGGTAACTGCCTGTTAGAGATCGATCTCGGAGCAACGACAACTCGCTTGAGTTTTTCTACTTCTCTTTCACTTTTGGCTACCGATGTTGGTGCTATCAATCTACAGTATCTGACTCAACAATCCTCTCACAAAGATGAACATTATTCAGCGATTTGTGGATATGGTATTAGCAAAGATCGTTCTTGGATTACATGGAACGGCAAGAACACCTTGTGGCTACCTCCAGAGTATCGGCCATCATGCTCTACTGTGCTTGGGTCTACAGTGATGTTCGGTACTTACTCTGGCAGTGTTATATCATTTAGATTTCCAGATGACCCAGAGTCCTAGAATGCTTCACGTCAAAATTTCCTAAGCATGCGTTCTAATCCGTTAAGCGTCGCTGCCATCTTCTGTTGGCTGCAGCGCCTACGGCGCAGCTCTGCGTTTGGCTTAGAGTTTGCGACCATAATCGAGTTAGAACCGGCGACACCTCAACGCCGTTAGTCATAGTTAGTATCGACATGTTACCTTGCGTGATGTTCCAAGAGGATTCCAGGATGATACCTAAGGGATTAACCAAAAACCAAAGGCTGGTTGAGTATTTACTTCTGCTTATGATAAATGAAAGTGTAACATAACTACATTGCATAATTTAGTCCGTAAGCCTATACTATGGCAATATCGTAAAGCCAGTTGGAAACGATATAAAAGGAAGTCGTCCAAAGAGACACTACAAGGTTATAGGATAATAATATAAGGTTCCAATCAGTATAGGGCAAGCCGGCAGTAGTAGTTAGCATGTTTTATAAAGCAGTTAAACCCTTCCCCTATTAAAATGCTCTCGCTCTTTAATTATCTCGATGTCTCTTTTTCATTAGTAATTTTGGAGGGGTAGTGAAGCTTTCCGACCAGGCCCTACCTCCGGGCGAAATAAAAACCCGTATCCGCAGGGGCAGCCATAAACGGAAGGAGTCTGATTTATAATAAACCATCCCTTGTCTGATCATGTCGAGAGAGCTGATCAACATGCTGGAACTGATCAAATGGCGTTTTGCAAGATTTCATTATCTCGGGTTCTTGGAAGTCGCTTAAGCAGCGAAGCAATTAAGCCCAGGCTTCTTCGAGTCCTCGCCTTAGACCCTTTCAATCGCGGGCGACCTTAGAACAGCAGTTTATGGAGTCAGAAACGGGTTTCAGGGCTCAGCCAAATTTTAGGGAAGAGGAGCGGCCAGTCGTCGTTGGTGTGAGTTACACCGGAAATTCGATGCTATTCCACTTCGGTTGACACTCTAATGTAAGGCTTGCGACATGTGCCGGAAGAAAAAGATCCGCTGCCAGCCTACTACGCAAGGATGCAGGCCATGCACCAAATACGGCACAAAGTGTCATTTTACGCCAATTGCAATGACGAGGAAGCCTCGCAGACCAGCTGGGTCAGTACGCTACTCCAGCCCACGGAGTTTGACTTTGTTAAATGTTCCGCAGTTTCAAATACATCGCACAGCTCGAGAAAAGACTTTCAGGAGTAGAGGCTCTGCTGGGAGACAGGTCATTGGGAAAGCCAACTGTACCCGACATCAGTTCGCATAAAGAGCGGACGGCACCCGCAGCATTACTTAACACGGTGGCATTGATCAAATCTCCCAATAGAATTGGTCCATGGATGCCAGAGAGTGGGCCACAAACTCCCTCGACCGAACAAACGAGCAACCCAGGATTTAACCTTGGAGCTGCATTTCGGGTACACGACCACAACGAACCCGGTTTGTCTACGCTTGGAGGCTATATAACTGACTGTATGTGGCCTCATCTCGCTCCAGAGTTACGCCCAGTTCCTCTGCCAGCGCGTCAGCGGCTTCCCACAAGGGCAGTTGCTCTGGAGTTAATTGAGGAAGCTTTCAGCAACTATAACAGATTCCTTCCACTTTTTCATGAAGAGGACTTCTTAAAAGAGTTTCAACTCAAGTACTCAACTTCCAATCCTGGAGATGCTGGTTGGTGGGCATGCCTCAATGTTGTGCTGTCAATAGCTCATCGTCTCCGCGCCATACGCACATTAGACCCGACACAGGAGCACCTTCTAGCTTATGGCTATGTACAAAACGCCCTAAGCGTCGTCTCCGAGCTGAACGTCTCTGACCGCAGTCTCTCTGCCGTCCAGGCTCTTGCGGGTATGGCTTGCATTCTTCAGGACACACCGAATCCGGAGCCAGCCGCAATGCTCGTTGCCGCCGCTCTACGCTTGGCACAGGCTATGAATCTGCACAGAGAATGTTCCAGTCCAGGACTCACGGAATCACAAGCCGAGAAACGAAGGCGGGTGTTTTGGAAGGTGTACATTCTTGACAAGGATATTAGTCTACGGACGGGCCGACCTTTTGGTCAAGATGATGATGACATGGATGTACGTCTGCCATCAAACGCAAGTCTTGAGCCGGGTAATCTAGACCTCTTCAACTGTCGCATAGGGCTTGCGATTGTTCAGGGGCAGGTGTATAAACAATTGTACTCGGTACGGGCTGGACGACAAACTGCGACACAGAGAGCGATTGCGGCACAAGAGTTGAGCTCTTTATTATCGTATTGGAAGTCCAAGTCCAGCGCGCAGCTGGAACTACCAGAAGACTCCACGGTATTGCCAGGGCTCCAGCTTACAGGCGAGATGATCCACAAGGTGGTTCTACAACTTACATATATGCATTGCCTCGCAATGATTGATCGCCACTTGCCCTCAACGGCGCAATCTTCCTCCAACCAAGAGCTCAGCCGGTCTGAACCATTCTCGCCCACAGGCAGTCTATGCGTCGCTGAGTCACGCAAGGCGATCCGTCTCGTTGAAGCCATCCCTCAAGGAGACTGCGCCTGTGTCTGGTAAATGATCCCTAAGAAGCAGAACCTTCCTGAATTTCTTGTCTGACTCACTCTAGGATGCTTCTTCACGCTTTCTTCGCTGCAGCCAGCAGCATGCTCCATAATTTAACACAAAATCCTATGTCGCCAAACGCAGTTTCAGATCTCGATCTCGTCGAGCCATTTCTACGTCTGTTAGAGACACTTGCCAGGGATCCAAGCATACTCTCACAGTCCGAGGAACTGGTGCGAATGCGTCGCACTTGCAACAGCTTAAACCTCGAAGCAAAAGAGGCTGTTCAACTTTTCAGTTTAAGGTCTCCGGCGTTCTTCACATGATCATTTGGGCATGGCCGGGTTCTGATAAAGCTTTATTAATAACCTATCTAACCTACAGCAGCAGGATGGATGCCGCTACACCGGTTGCCTTGACCTCAAACACGCTTTTACTTGGCCCCCGTAGCGCCGCAAGCCGGTCCTACGGAACGTTGAGGATTACTGGACGTGCTTTCATGCACCCCAAGCAGTCATCAAGACCTGGGAGACCTTTTTGAGGTCCAACCTGTGCCCCTGATGGGATATAATAACACACGAGATCAGGCAGGAGGCGCACAAGGCAAGAATATGTATTCATCATCTTGCTTCAATATGCTCTGTCTTCATCTCCACCCACCTCAAAGCAGTGACTCGACTGTGTAAGACAGAGACCCCCTCTCCCTTGCCACAGCCTATTTGGCTTCTTGGAGCTTCAAGAGCTTTTTCACACTCGGGCGCGCAAGCATGTTGTCAAGCCACTTCTTGACATGCGGGTAGTCATCCTGGTTGAACTCCTCGTTCGGAATTCGCGGCTCGGCTGTGTGCTGCCACGTAAAGAAGGCGATGTCCACGTAGGAGAGGCGGCCACCTACGAACCAGGAGTTTCCGTCCGCGTCAGGCTTCTGCTTTGCCAGGTGTCCCTCCAGTACTCCTGTTACGCGGTTAACCTCCTTAACGTAGCGCTCACGCGCCTCAGGAAGCGGCTGATATATAATAAACCACATCGCCTGCCCGTAGTATGGTCCCTGGCCAGTGGTCTGATAGAAGAGCCATTGACGAGCGTGGTACGCCTCAACTGTGCCCGGCACGAAGCTTAGCTTATGGTCGTTGTCGTATTTCTCTGTCAAGTACTCGATAATAGCGCCCGATTCCCACAGCGTGAGGTTTGTGTTTGGGTCCTGGATAGACGGTAGCCGCCCGTTCGGGTTGATGGCGACGTACTTGGGATTCTTGACGTCGGTAAGTGGGATCAATTCGGTATCATATGGCAGTCCTAGCTCCTCACAGAGGAGAATAACTTTGCCAGCGTTGGGCCCGTGAACTCCCAACACTTTGATCGCCTCCATTTCTTCCATTTAGATGAAAGTGTATCGAGTTATCGGAAAATTGGTTGTAGGCTAGAGAGCTTGTGAATTGATTTAAGTCTTAGCTGATGATGAAAGATCTAGTAGACGATGGGGCGCAAGATGGACCTGGCATCACGGACTTCTGGTCTCCTTTTAAATATATCATTCCCTTGTCCCTGCCTTGAGAGTTCTACCTGATTCAGCACCAATGATGAAGGGGCAGCAAGCTGACAAATGTTGGCGATACTGCACAGCATTCCAACTCAACATAATGCACCGATGTAGCGAAGGAATAGCGCATATACGAGCTTACGCAACTACAAGGCAAGAAAGCCAGCCGGAGCGGAGGATTTGTAGATAGAACAATTTTGTTCTCAAAGACCTCTTTTTACTTGATATGTAATCCACGACAGCACGCCCCGCTTCAAATTGCAACTTCGTGTAACTTTAAAGACAATCGAAATATTGACGTACAAGTGGAAAATTAGTAATGGCCATGGAAGGAGAGGAGTTCGGGGCAGCAAATAGATATCCCCGCCACTCGAAGAACAAACCACTACATTGGTAACGAACGGAATTGCACATGATGTATAATATTCGAGTTCGGACCCTCCGAAGGGTCCGGGTCCGGGTCACCGACGGTGACCCACTTATTACCCCGAATGGGCATCCAGGCTTGGTCTGGCTCCGCGATGACTTCCATCACAAAGAGTACTATGCAATAGAAATCTCGCCGCCCGGGGCCATTTGGCCAGTTGGGTATTGCTAATGCCTGTGCCCTTCTTTGCCTCAACGAGAAGATATGGGGGCATGTATAAAGCAGATAAAGACTCCCCGCGCTCTTGTTCAACTACACACAGTCTGGCTTCTCCCCTACATTCCAAACCATGCCCGGAATATCTCCTGTCGTTCTGATCCTCGGTGCAGGGCCTAAAGTCGGCCTGCCAACTGCGAAGGCCTTTGCCTCGAAAGGCTACAAGGTTGCAGTCGCAGCCCGGTCACTAAACGAGGCAGACAGCACAGACAGTCAGCTTAACATCAAAAGCGACTTCGCCAACCCCGACGATGTTGTTAATGCCTTCGTAAAGGTTAAGAAGGAGCTGGGAATTCCAAGCGTAGTAATTTACAACGGTATGTCTTAACCCCGGAGGACTCTACCTAAGTGCCTACTAAGCGTTTGTAGCCGGCGCCGCGACATTCTTTCCCCCAAACGACCCGTTTGCGATCCCGTTGGATGCTTTCAAGCGAGGCATGACCGTCAACAACACTAGTGTTTTTGTCGCTGCCCAGCAAGCAGTCCTCGGCTTCGCAGAGCTCCCTGCAGATGCCCCAAGGGTATTCGCGTTTACGGGCAACATCCTAAACGTCAGGCCACTCCCGCAGTTCCTGGAATCCGGCGCTGGAAAGTCGGCATCTGCGCACATGATGATGGCTGCTGCCGCTGAATACAAAGAGAAAGGGTTCAAGTATGCCATCCCCACCGTCTTCTAGCAACTTGAGTGGATGTGACTGATAGTTGCGTAGATTTTACTATGTTGACGAACGAAAGGTAGATGGCTCGGCTGCTTTTAAGATCGATGGGGAGGCACATGCAAAGCTCTTCTGCGAGCTCGCTGAGGCGAAGACGCAAGGTCCCTGGCTGCAAACCTTTGTCAAGGGCGCGGGATATAAGGACTTTGGCCCCTATCAACTATAGTGCTGTCGCAGGGCCGAGCTTCTCCTTTATGCCAGGAAGATGACAATGGCGCTTAACTTAGTAGTCAAGATAATGACGCGAAGTATAGAGACATATGTGATGTCTTACAGAATATTTTCAATACTACATCCAATTATGGGATAAAGAGTGAACGATGAATTAACTATAAACGAGGTTATCGCTGTCTACCTAAACTCGGATGCCCGTTAAGCAATGCGGTGTAAGACTTCTTTGCCTTCTAACCAGCGATCAACATTCTCAGCAGTCTCAGCATACCATGCGTTCATCAACCCTTCATCAGCATATCCCATGTGTGGTGTGGTAATCAAACGTGAGCGTCCTCCTTCGCCCCAATAGTTTGCTCTCCTCCACGGACTATACAATGGCAGTGGTTCAATATCAAATACGTCCAAAGCAGCACCACGGATAGCCCCTCGCTCTAACGTGTCGAGCAGAGCTGCTTGGTCAACCAGTTGCCCGCGAGATGTATTGACCAGAATTGCAGAACTTTTCATCTGCTCCAGTTCTTTCACACCAACAATATTCCGCGAGCGATTGCTCAGCACATAGTGCAGGCTGATGACATCGGCGCTGCGGAAGAGTTCCTCTTTGCTCACTACTCGAAATACTCCAGACGGCAAACCGGCTTCGGATGCCGTTCGATCGGCCTTCTCCTGACTCAAATTCTCGCTCCAGCACACCACATTCATGCCCCAAGCAAGATATCCAATGCGTGCAACAGCAGCGCCCAGTCGCCCGAGCCCAACAATTCCCAGAGTTTTCCCCGTCAGACTCATGGCTAAGCCGTTCTGCCATCCAGAGCCACTTTTCAGCGCCGCATCGTCAGCGGCGATATTCCGAGCGAGAGCCATAATGAGAGCCCATGTGTGTTGCGTAGTTGGGTGCGCGCTGCCATTCTTAATGTTAGGCTGCGAAGCAATATCATCAAGTGTATCTGTTCGGCCAAGACCCGGCGCAGCGACTACCGTAATTCCTAGCTCTCGAGCAGCAGCAAGATCAAACATTTCAAATTGCGTACCGGTAGCCAACAAGAGCTTCAAGTTTGGTAAGCTACGTAAGAGCGAACCCGGAAATGCAGTTCGTTCGCGCACTGTTGATATAGCGTCAAAAGCCTTCAACCTCTCAATTAGACGAGCAGTTTCTTTCTCATTGATGTGGTTAATGGTATCTTTAAATGTAGTAATCTGCAACCTAGTTGATGGAATATGTGCGAAGTGAGGCTTAGATGTATTGAGGTAATCATCAATGATTGCAAGTGAAGGAAGTTTTGACACCTTCGTTAAGCTTTGTCTGGCAGCAAATGGAAGCATTTTTGCTCCACAGTATTCTTTTTGATGATAAAGTAGGGCAGGTTATGAGAATCAGCCAGATTTCCAAGAAAAATGATCTGTGAAGTGGAAATTTTATTCCATGGACAGATCCGTAGTAGAAGAGCAGTATTGATGTCGCAGAGTTATATCTTGGTAATAGCAATTAGCAAATAAATTTCCGCGTAAAGTAATGGCGGGAGGTTTCTATCTCGATATACCTATGTTACTACTTTATATTCCACGCATTGTGGACTCAATGATAAATGTATTCCGGGCTTACAACGTTAATCTCAATAGATAAGTATGGCTATAACCGAAAGCTTTTTTTTGCCACTACAGCTCTGTGGCTTGGTTTCTCTATCACTATTAGATTAAAATGGAAAGATGGTTCTCATCTTTATGTAAGAGCACTTCCTCGGCTCGGCTCGTATTAGTCGCATATTAACATGTGTAGCCGATTGGCAAAGCAATATGGGTACTAGAGTTAGCCTGTTTCTATTCTCAGCCGCAACTCCACGATATTGACGTGTATGCGCAAATCATACCCTATTAATAAAATACGGCGACTGGCATGGACTTTCTCAAGCGAATGTTAAAACATTTCGGCAACACTCGCTCGGGCTTGCGTTTTGTTTGCTTCGGATCCGATCGGAGTTCCGTACGGAATTACGGCATGCCTCGCCAACGTCAGGAGCAATCCAATGCCCTCAAAAGGCTATGTTAGCTCTAATGGTGATTAACTAGTTCAATTAGACAATTTCTTATTCTCTATTTAGATAAAAGACGTATAAAGATCTGTATCCGAGAGAGAAGAGCGCTATCTTCAATAAAGACATACGTATACATAATTTAATTCTTTTGCACTATGATGCTCTCGTCGAAATCATCTCCAAAATTGAACGAGAGAGGATATGCCGCATCTCCCTCCGAGACGATGTATATGGCTGATCAATTTGAAAGGCTCATGTTGAGGCGGAAGAAAGAGTAAAGCGGTCTTGACTTGTATCTAGATTAAAGCGAAGTATTACCTTAATTTGCATATCATAATGCCATTCTAAACGGCTGCAAAAGTAAATGGTTTTGAAGCATTTTAGACAAATCTTTAGACAGACGTTTATGAGATGTCTCTTAGCGTTCTTCGAAGGCGTATACCTATTCCAGATCCATGAACAACCATGCTTTGAAGATGAATCTGGGTATATTACTTCACTAAAGTCTGCATAAATTCTGAATGGATTTAAAATCCTTATTCTTCGAGGGAATCATACAGCGGAGCATGTCGGGCTCGTCAAACTATGTCAAGGGATGAAAAGGCTCAGCGAAGTCGGATGATCTAGACTATATCTAGATGTCAGTTTTATTTCATGGAAGCCATCACAAAAGTATTATGAAGCGCACTTATATCTTTGAATATATATGGGTTTTAGGTACTCTCCAGATAGTATATACATTTTAATATCAATTGATTGAGGGCAACATTAGGCAAGTCAGTCTGGAAAATAAGAAATGACCCATAAAGTCGATCGAGTTCCGTACATGGGCTATACGCACCCAGCAAGGCAATTCTTCATTGCGTAAAATAAAAAAACAAATTAGTACTCACATTTACACTCTGTTATACAGGCCTCGCTCGCGTATACCAGATCCACCATGATGCTCTAATCATGCCGGCACATTTAGGCTATATAGGTTCACCAATAAACAAACTCCTCGGAACTGTACTGATATTAGAGAGCAGCTACTAATATAAAAACGAGTGCACCCTTGCCGAAAATTCCTCCTATTGGACCAAACACTACTTATTTCCACGCGGATCCTGTATAGTCATTGATTCAAGCATTTCTTGCTAGCAAATGCTCCATAAGGCCAATGCTTGGCAGCATACTGACTCCTAGTTGTTGCATAATTAGCCGGGCAATGTTAACTAACCTACTTTGTAGAGATGTAAACTATTTCCAGGGGGTTTCGTTCATTCTTCAAATATAACTATTATGTTAAAGTATGTAGTCGCTAAATTCGTCAAAGAAATTGAGTATTGAGCGCACCAATCCGGCCGTCTTTTACCGGTGCCCCTCATCTGGATCGAATTCAGCAATTCTTGAGCTCACAATGGCTCCGCAACTCTGTGGGGTTTCGGCTGATGCTCCGGTAATAGATGTCACCCATCAAGGTGGAGAGTAGCAACCATATGGGGAAGCATGTAACCATAATTAAGTATTCCGAGAATCAAGATTAATATTACAACGAATGTTTATATTCCATCGCTCAAGCTAGCAACAAACAGACTTAGGGCTGTCTGAGTCGCACAATTGAATTACAATATCTTACAAAAAACTATAGTCGCCTAGCCATCCGACTGTTTATCCATTGGGACTATCTCACCTACAGCTACAGAACCTGCAGATCCATCCACCCAACCCCTCAGTCTCTAGTGTAGCCAAGATCTCCAGACTCTGGGGTATCTCATTTCTTGTATTTTAGGCTAAACACTTTCCCTGGTCGACAAGGCCGAAACTGATCCGTACTTGAAATGTGCTTGCAGTTAGAAATCCGACGGATTACTCCAACAGCAACACGGACAAGTGGAAGCGGTGTATCTACATATAAAATGACGACAGCCATTGAATTCATACGACGCCTTAACTGGCAGCCCACGCAGTCAGTCTAGAGCATAGGTGGGCAGCTATGATATTACAGAGTCTTCTACTTCTGCTCCTTACGGCCATTGCGCCTGTCTTTGCCGAAACTGGCATTGACGCCTGGCTGCGATATGCTCCGCTTCCAAGTTCTGTTACAAGAGGCCATCTCAATTCCTTCCCGAACCATATCGTTGCCCTCAACGCCGCCAAAAATGGGCCTTTATCAAGTGCTGCATCAGAGCTACAAAAGGGCATCAAAGGCATTCTCGGCCTCAGTCTAGGTGTCAGCTCAAGCCAAAAGAGCTGTTCTGCCCAAAAGACCATTATTGTTTCTACTCTCGCTTCTTACAAATCAGCTTGCGGCAAGCTTACGCCAAAGTTGGATCTAATAGAAGATGGATACTGGCTGAGTACCAAGGGCGAATCGGTACAAATCATCGGCCAGAATGAGAGGGGCGCCCTTTACGGTGCTTTCCAGTACCTGTCTTTGCTTGGGCAGGGTAACTTTTCTGAAGTCGCCTTCGCCTCAAACCCAAGCGCACCGATTCGATGGTCCAACCAATGGGACAATCTCAATGCTGGAACCGCAGCTCATGGCAGCATCGAGAGAGGCTACGGCGGTGTTTCAATCTTCTTTGAGAACGGATATGTCAAGGAGGATCTTTCTCGAGTTCCGCTCTATGGTCGTTTGTTGGCTTCTGTTGGCCTAAATGGCATCGTTATCAACAACGTCAATGCCGATGCGACTCTTCTCAACGAGACGAACTTGGAGGGTGTCAAAAGAATCGCTGATTTGTTCCGGCCATGGGGAGTCCAAGTTGGAATTTCACTCAACTTTGCTTCGCCACAGGTTCTAGGAGATTTGGACACATTCGATCCACTGGACGAGACTGTCATCAAATGGTGGACTGATAAATCCAATAGAATCTATGAACTTGTTCCCGATTTTGCGGGTTACCTAGTCAAGGCCAACTCAGAGGGTCAGCCAGGGCCGTTGACATATAACCGCACATTGTCTCAGGGCGCCAATCTCTTTGCTAAGGCTATTGAGCCGCATGGTGGTATTGTCGTATTCCGAGCTTTTGTCTATGACCAGCTAAATGAGAGCGATTGGAGGGCCGATCGAGCCAATGCTGCTGTCGAGTTCTTCAAAGATCTAGATGGACAGTTCGACAGCAACGTTCTAGTCCAGATCAAATTCGGTCCTATAGATTTCCAAGTCAGAGAGCCCCCCTCTCCTCTCTTTGTCAATATACCCAAGACAGCGGTGTCAATAGAGCTTGAAGTCACTCAAGAGTACCTGGGTCAGCAGTGCCATCTGGTCTATCTCCCACCGTTGTGGCAGACCATCCTGGGTTTTGATATGCGATACAATGGCCGGCAATCTTATATACGCGATATTGTTACTGGAAAGACATTCAACCACAAACTTAGCGGCTATGCTGGAGTTATCAACGTCGGCATGGATGATACGTGGATCGGTAGTCACTTGGCAATGTCCAACATGTTCGCTTTTGGCCGCCTAGCATGGAACCCTCAGGCAGACTCTCAAGATATAGTTGAGGAATGGACTCGTCTAACGTTTGGTGTAAGCCGGGATGTTGTTTCAGCCATTGTGAGCATGTCCATGAAGTCATGGCCGGCGTATGAAGACTACAGTGGCAACCTCGGCATTCAGACTCTTACCGATATTTTGTACACTCATTATGGCGCAAATCCGGCCTCTCAGGACAACAATGGCTGGGGCCAATGGACGCGAGCCGATAGCAAAACCATTGGTATGGACCGCACCGTATCGAATGGTACAGGAAATGCCGGCCAATACGCCAAAGAAGTTGCTCATATGTTTGAGTATACTCAAACCACGCCAGACGATCTGATGCTATGGTTCCACCACGTGCCTTATACTTTCAAGCTACACTCTGGTAAGACTGTCATCCAGCATTTCTATGATGCTCATTACTCTGGTTCTGCAACGGCGCAAACTTTCCCAACTACTTGGAAGTCTCTTCAAGGCCAAATAGATGCGGAGAGGTATGAAGACGTCTTGTACAGACTAAAGTACCAGGCTGGCCACTCTTTGGTATGGCGTGATGCCATCAGCGAGTTCTACCGCAATCTTTCTAGTATTCCAGATCAACTAAATCGTGTTCGAAATCACCCTCACCGCATCGAAGCCGAAGAAATGGACCTCTCAGATTTTACGATAGTTGATGTTGATCCTACTGAATGTGCTTCCAAGTACAAAGCAATCGCGACGAATGGAACTGGTATAGCCACTACAAAATTAAATGTTCCAAGCGGAAAGTACAATGTTGCCATCAACTATTACGACGTGATGGGTGGGATCGCCAATTACGAAGTGCTACTTAATGGCAAATCCCTTGGGACTTGGAAAGGCGATTCAGAGAACTATCTTGGCCATGACTACAGCTCTTTCCTTGACTGTCACTCAGCAATTCGCATCACATTCGAGGGTGTTAAGATTACCAAGGGGGACAAGTTGACTATCAAGGGAACTGGAAATGCTTTGGAGCAAGCGGCTATAGATTATGTCTCCATCCTGCCACAGGGTATAGTAGATTAGAAAGCGGAGAGGTATCAAAAAAAGGAAAATAATTTGGATAGTAATGTGTTATACGTAAAAATGTTTCTAGTAATATTTTTGCATAGGCTTAAAGACAAAATTATGGAAAGATTTTCCTCATACCTTCTTTCGGAGTCCAGCTATAGCATTCATTGACCGCAGCTCCCGCATAATGAACTGTTGTAATTGACAAGTCTATGCTTCTAGCATTTAGCATTGTGTCACCTTGTGCAGGTGTTGCGAAAGATGCGTATCAATGAAGCTATATCAGACAAGGATAAAATCTTCCCAGTTATGGTCACTGTCCCATGAGCTTTTCAACATCCGTCCCACTCCAACTCTTTCAATCACACTTTTTCCATCTAATGAATCATACATTAATTGAGAGGAAAGAGTTTCGGTAGTCTGATATGTAAGCTGGGCACGATATCGCGCTAGTTCTTCGCCTTCAATCCTCCTGATCATCATCACATCATATGCTTCGAAAGGCTTCATTTTGCGGGCCGTCACAGGTGCCATCTCCTGGTGATTGAATCCATAGCTCTCCGATAGGATAATGAACTCATGGTCTTGTGTCATTTTTGCATGATACTGTACCGGCAGGAGGATGGTTCCCAGCCACGGCCGATCACCTGTATATGGTGACGGCAGAGAAAGTCCAAAACGGCCATTCCGTTCAATTGGATAGTCGTCTTGGTTAAAGTTGGAACTCAGCATCAGAGTGGTGAGCCGAAAGCGTGCGATTCGTGTACGCAAACTGAGTCCAAATGGGTCCAGCATCATATTGGACTCTTTTGGATTATCAAACGAGGAGAACAAAGGGACGGGATGGTATCGATGGATATCAGTTCCCATGACATAGCAAGTCCCATCTTCCGCTGTAGAAACCTGTGACCAGCCAGGAGGTAAATCATGTGCAGCCGGTGGAGAGAAATGCTCGAGCTCTTTTGGCCCTACAAAGGCTAACTTTGCGAAAGGCTTTACACGTTTTGCACGATCTTCAATCTCAGGCATGTCGTTAAACGTATTCCAATCTTCATAGCCAACTGGTCCAGTCCAACCAGTCCACGACCAACTCGGGAAGAGCGGTAGACTCGTTTTAGGATCCTTTGGTACGCGTTTTAGCTTATTGCGTGGCTGCCAAAGAAGGGCCATGTATATGATGCCTTCTGGTAACCCATGAATGAAATTGAGACCAAATTCTCTTTGCAAGACGCCTAAAACTCCGCTGATTCCCAATAGCCGATCGCTTGCATATGACATGTCACGCCCGGTATACTCTTCGACAAGCCGGCAATACTCACGTAAATACGACGTGTTTGCTATATGCACAGTCGGTATGCCCCTCTCTTTGACACTTCCAGGGGCCATCCAGCTTCGGTTCAATGAGATATCCATCATGGGTGCGCAGCGCTTCAAGTGTGGTGTCTCGGCGTAATAGTCTTCACCCCAGACGGCCTTTGAACACTGAAAGCCCAAAGAGCCGTCGGGGAAAGAGAAAATACACCGTTTAGAAAGAAGGCGCTCCTGGTATGTCCAGCCTCTAGTGTTCCATGTCGTTGCCGCTGCGCTACGGTAAGTGTCTGCATGAAGCGCTACAAGCGTTAGATCATCCGAGATTTGGGCTGTGTGTTGCTTGCGAGATCGAGTATCAGGATGTAAGCCAGGGATCCCAGAATCGGCATGCGAACCAGCTGCGGCGACAATGGTGAGGCTCGCACGGCTGTATATGCGGTCCATCATGCGCAGCTGCTGAACTTTATCCGCTGTAGAATCTTGGATGATACATATTGAATCAACCCATATGTATTGGAAGCCAAGTTCTTTTGCCAGGGTCATAGCATCACGGATGGACTTTGGAAAGGATCGCACCGGTAGCCCCTCTGGTTGCATCAACGCTTCGATATTGTCTTGTATCGTCCGGAATACGGCAGCGGGTCCCCATACATAGCTCAATGCTGCATAAGATGGCGGACACGACGTTTCAACTAACTTGTAATCGTTCAAAGATATCATTCGAATGAACGGAACCCCAAAGTCAGGCGTCTTCCACGGCGCGGTATTGACGCACTCGCTGCCGTGCCATTGCTCGCAGCTATGAACCCAGGTCTTAACCACTTCTAAGTCGAAGTGGCCATTGTTGATTCTGCGTCCTTGAAACATACCGTCGTCTTTCTCAAGATCCGCCAAAGGAACCAGGTCAAACGGTTCAAACAGGTCTTCCCAACCGATAACCTCTGGAGCAATTCGCAACCGAAGAGTTCCCACCTCACTGCCGCTATTATTGAGCACTCCATCCCATATCCAGCAAGCAATTATTTCTGCATTGTTGCGCTCCAGGGTGGAGTTTGAAGGGTCTTCTTCAACAACTTCTGCAATGAGACCACATACTCGACACCAGCTCTTGCGAGAAAGGATGTATTCTAAATTCCCAAAATGCCAGTCGCGATGAGGAGGGGTTGAACCCGAGCCACAAGGGTAAGGACCAAAAGACGCTCTGTTTAAATGAGCAACAGTGATCGCATGACGAGGACAGAATGGCTGATTTGTATCTTCATCAGGAAGTGGGATATCGGAAGAGTCGGCGTAGCTCCATCGTAATTTGCGAGTCGGGTCACTGGAAGGATCATCAGCAGACGGTTCATCTGCTACAGGCATATTGAAGTAGAGTAACAGAATTAATATTATTCTTTTCTTTTCTTTGAAGCACAGCACTGCATGTACTATAGCTCTTTCGCTTAATCTCGATGGTAAAATCAAGCCTATATACATATACCAACGAGCGCTCAAGGTGCTGTCAGGTAGTATTCACAACGTTTTATTGAGAGCCTGCCCCGCTTGACGATATAGAGCAGGCAGGGGTGAAAAAAAATACTTCCCCCATGCATCACATACAAATTGAAGTGGCAGACGGGCAGTGTTTGCGTTTCACCGTATAACGGGACATTTGCTATCGTGCATATAAGGGAGTGGCATTCTATATTTCAAGGATCCAAATCAACTTTTACATCCATTTACAACTTCATTTCCATTTGTTGGTAAATATGCAACTCGGGCATTTTGTCGAATGTGTCACCTTCAAGTCTAAGTGCTTATATCATGCATAATGTGCTCCATAGAGACAGTGGTAAGAGTATCCCTTCCCGTTCCACAGCGATGTTGAGCGAAGTACAGGAAAGCCTGTGAGAATCTCATAGATAAGAATTGATCACAATAAATCAGATAATTTCAGCATGGAATATCGCATTAAAGACAAAAAATTAGAACTAGACCTATGGCATAGATGGAATGAAGTGTCGCCAAGGTTAGTCTTTAACCGCCATGGACATAGCATAATAACACTCGCAATATCAATTTTGAGTGAGCTGTAAAATAGTTTTGTAGAAAGTATTACTATGCAATAAAACTCAAAAGATAAAGTTTTATCGAGCGGTAATTATCACGGCATTAAGTACCAGGTACATGAAATAGACTGTTGAAGCTTCTCGCGAGTACTCTTAGGCATCTACAGGTACCTATTAACGCATGGACCTACAATGGCATGCACTAAGGCTACTATACCGATAAGATAAGAGTTGATGTATAGCAGCGATAGCGATAGCTGCCATCAGTTGCAACTTCATCATCCCACCGAAAGACTTGGCAAATGCCAGCTCTCATAAACGTTATCTGACTGCCCACTCCAACAATTGGCCGATATCTCCTCTCATATCTCATCAGACACCGCAAGGCTCATCGTATCCTCGCAGCTTCAGTCGCGCTCACCGTGCAGCATCCGCCGCCACCATGGCGCTCTCCCCCGTCGTCACGACCACCTCCTCTGCTCAGAATCAAAACACCGAGAATTTCCAAACACTAAGAGCCGTCTCTTCACCTCTCAAGGCCCTCGCTTCCGGCTCAGGCCAAACTTCATCCAATGGCACGCCCAAACCTGCCCTCGCACCCGCGCCAACCGGCCAAACTCTCGCGCCAACCCTCGACCTCGCCGAGCAGATGAACGAGGAGGAAAAGCGCAAATACGTCAAAGGCAAGAAGCTCGGTGAAGGTACCTACGCCGTCGTCTTCCTTGGCCACCTCCGCTCCAGCCCCGCGACCCGCGTCGCCATCAAGAAGATCAAGGTCCAGAAGGAATACACAGAGGGCATGGCTCCCGACGCGGTCCGCGAACTCAAGCACCTCCAGGAGCTCCAACACCCAAACATCATATCTCTCCTCTCCGTCTTCTCCTCAAAGGACCAGAACCTCAACCTGGTGCTCGAATACCTCCCGCTCGGCGATCTCGAAATGCTCATCCGCGACACCGACAATGTCCGCTACGGTGCCGCCGACATCAAGGCCTGGATGGGCATGCTCACCCGCGCCGTCTGGTTCTGCCACGAGAACTTTGTCCTGCATCGCGATATCAAACCAAACAACTTGCTCATCGCCGCCGACGGTGAAGTCAAGCTTGCTGATTTCGGTCTTGCGCGCAGCTTCGCCGACCCCCATCGCCACATGACATCCAACGTCATCACCCGCTGGTACCGACCCCCCGAACTGCTCTTCGGCGCCCGATACTACAGCGGCGCAGTGGACGTCTGGTCCGTTGGAACCGTCTTTGCAGAGCTCATCCTGCGTGCTCCGTACATGCCCGGCAATAACGAGCTCGACCAGATCAAAATGATTTGCGAATCCATCGGCACCCCCACAGAAGACAACTGGCCCGGCGTCACCCGACTACCAGAGTACACCGTGCCAGGCCAGCACCCCACACGAGGAAGGGACTGGTACGAGATGCGCTTCGGCATCGTGGGCACCGACGGTGTCGATCTGCTCATGAAGACGCTGTCCCTGAACCCGCAGAAGCGCATCACCGCGCGGGAGATGCTCCAGCACCGCTGGTGGCACTCTGAGCCCAAGCCCACACGCAAGGATGACCTTCCGCGCAAAGACGAAAGCGCTGGAGAAGACAAGATGGGAATGGATTTGAAGCGCCGACCTGGAATGGTAGCTGACGAGGATAGAGGTGCCAAAGTAGCCCGCAAATTGGACTTTGGACAGCGGTAGAGCAAGATGACTGGCTGCTTCGACTTTCAAAGTTTGCTATTTTCTCTTCTATTCTTGCACTTGGAACGGCGTTTGTATACTGGTTTCTTGCACATATACCACATCTATGATGGAGTTTAGTCTTCATAATAAAATCAGGGGCCAATAGATTAAGGCCAGAGGAGTATATATATTGCCAACTTCATCGTTCTTTCATATGTTTATCCACTACCGCTATACAAGGTAATATATATATATATATATATCTTCTATCCATTTTTATACTATCTAAGCGCAATCGCTATCCAAATGTGACTTTGAAACCCTCCATTCCTTCATCCCAATCACGATCGAATGCTTCTTCATATCTCACATAATTCATCAGCTCATCACTCCCATGGCTCTATCCAATAGACCAAAATCGCATTTTTTTTTTTTTGTTTTTTCTTGCGGCGTCCTTCTTACATTACCACGCAGTCCATACCATACATTGCTCTCTCCACACTCCTTCTCACTTGGTACCAGTCCGCCCTGCGCTGCGCATACTCGTAGACCTCTTCTGCGCGAAACACGCCACCAAACCGATCGCCGTCTGCAATGACCGTAGCCATTTCCTTGGCGTGGCTCGGGTCAATGAGATAGATCTGGCTCAACTCGCGCAGCGCAGCAAAATACGGCAGCACGTCTTGGTTTCGGAGCGATCTCACGTAGTCGGAGAAGAGATTCATGTCGGAAATGAGTTTTATAGCACCATCGGTGCTGATACGCTGTCGCTTGAGATGTTTGCATATGGCAGTAAAGAGTCGTTGGCCAACTTCACCATTGAAAACGTCCAGCATCGACTTCTCCGTTGTACCCACCAGCATGTTAGTGTGGGATCTGACAAGGTCGACGATGCGGCGAGCTGTGGGCGTCGGTCCTATATCTAGCTCTGCCATGGAGCCGATAGTTGCTCGGTTGGATTGTCGGTTATTCATATCATCTGTTGGCGCGCGGGGAATAGGATTATAGTCTGTAGGCTGTTGCAAAGTTCCCTGAAGGTATTCTACCTCGTCCATGAGCACGTCAATACCCTTATTCAGGCCTGCTGCAACACTCTCATCAAGCATCTGCTCAAATTTCTTCTTGGCTAAGCCAGCAGGATCCAAGAAATCGTTCTTGTCCGCAATCTTAGGCGCTGCGAGTTGTTGCTCGTAAAAGACTTCAATCATTTGCGAAATGAGATCTCCAACGTTGACCAGCTCAATAAACATCACGAGCGGCGCTACCCCTTTTTGATCGTGATCGCTCACGTCTCTTGGATTGTAATGGGAAAGATGGTCAACAGCCATGTCGAATCCAAGCTTTACGTGCCTCTGCCCGAGTATCCGAACGAGTGCAATGAAGATGTTAGCACACTGCTCGCGGGCTTCTCCTCCAGCCTGTCCACCTAGGGGAATTAACACAGCAGCACGCCCTAGACTGCCCTTGGCCTTGTGTACCAAATCCAGAGCTACTTCGATACTGAAAAGAGACTTGATGCCTTCTAGTTTCGAGGCCATGATGGCTGCTTTAGCCGCAAGCTCATCGGTCGGGGCTTTGGCACCTGGCATTGGGCTACCCCGTCCCTGAATGTCATTGCCCAGCCCCGGGGTCTGTGGTCGAGAGGATTGGGGTGTTAACACTGCAGATCCATTTGCAGTAATTGCGGGGGAAGGTGTCGGTTTCGTGGTTGCAAACGGAGAGCCTATTGGAAATGTCGGGAGAACTGTGACAGGCATCATGATAACTTTCTTGAATGAGCTCAGAAAATCGTTCTTCTCCGCAGAACGATTAATATTGGAATAATAGAACGACTCCAAGGATGAATCTTGCTCAGAGAGCTTCTTCTCCCATTGCAAAACCTCAACTTCCGCTTGTTTGGTGAAGAAGTCCAGCTCCTCTTGTAAGTATAAATCGAGATGGGGTTCAAAGACTTTTAGCGTCAGCTGCTTAGCACGGTTTCCCAAATCTTCCTCGGGTCCTTTGGGAGGTGTCAGTGACTGAAAGAACCTCAGTGTCTGTTCGAATATGCCAGAAACGGCCTTGAGGTAGGAAGAAATGCTGCGCTCGTGTGCCTCGTCGAATAAGGGAGTTGTGTATTCGGCGACAATGTCCTCTGCTATCTTTTCAGTGAGACTCCAGAAGACGATGGCAGGCTCGGGAAATATTCGCTCCAGGACACTGGCTTGGTCATTGACCTTGGCTAGCAGGGTCTCAAAGAAGCGTCGCGATGGCTCTAGTACTATGTCGTCCGTGAATGCTTGATTTAAACAGTCCATGGGATTATGCACCACATCGCGATCACTAAAGAGGGGGTGTTTCTGTACGAAGAGGTCGATCCCAGTCTTGGCACCGTTGAGGGTATGTAAAACATGCGCATATCGATGCATCCTCCCATCGACATCCCAAAATTCGTAGCCTTGCTCAAACTCGCGCAAAACGGCCGCCTCAAAAATATTCATCATTGATGTCAGCTTTGAGTCTCTGTGACCCCATCCCTCAGACCAGTCACTCGCTGCAAATCGGTGCAAGTTGGCCAACATCTGGGCCTGCTGCTCGGGGTCAACAAACGCCTTGAATACGATTGGATCTGTGTGCGTCTTCGCCATGACAAGGTCGAAGTAAAACGGTGCCAGCGCTTTGTAGATCTTTCCATATTCTTGTCTTGCGCCTCCTCTGACGCTCTTGACATGCTTGAATACATCGAGGTACGACGCAGGATCCTCAGCAGTATCGCCTGTCCCTATTTTCATGGTCTCGAACCCGTCTCGTAATTCTGAAGCAGCTCGCTGCCGACGCTGTTGCTCGACCGTGGCATCGAATATCGTGGCTGACGAAATTGTGTTCCTTTTGCCAGCGCCATCAGCAGACTGACTCGCAGCCGCCGCCGCCGCAGCTTCTCGCCTACGCCGAACTGCATCCTCAAATCTCTGTCTCGCCTCCCGTTCGTCCCAGCACCCCATGCTCTTCAGCCGTGACACCCATCGAGTATCATCGTATACCATCTCTTGTAATCGGCGGGAAACGCGAGCACAGCGCATCTGGTCGGCCACGGGCAAGTAGTTGAGGATGGTCACCATAATTTCTATCCACAACGGTCCAGTTAGCTGCCATTGAATCCCATGGAACCGCCCCCCGGAAAAGTAACGAGGGATCTGCACGTCAGTTTTTACCTGCTGGGAGCCTCGCTCGTGAGTCGAGCATCTCGGTGGCTTTCAGGGCCCCCAAGATGCTGCCCCGAGCCCGAGGGCCACCACCTCCAGACCTATACATTGCGGCGATGGGGCACAGGCGATGAGGCCTGTGCTATTCGTAAAATAGAAGGTACGCAAGACACCATTGGCGGTCTCTATGCGGATCCAGGCAGTGTGCGACGCATCGTCGTCGTAATGCTTGCTGCGAAAGTGTCTGTTGAGTTGAAGCTGTCTAGATGCAGATACAGGAGTGTAAGTGTGTCGTATTCAGTAGTGTCGCAGGTGGGGGGGAGTTGGCGTCGGTTTCTCACCGAGCTTTTGCTAGAGGTACCTTTGGTAGTAAAATATGGCCAAAGGTACTTTCTTCTCCAGCCCAGCTTATGCTTGAGTCGCGGGTCCAGTTACAAAACGGACTATAAGAATCGAATGACGGTCATCCTACCAATTAGGGGGAGCGAGTTAGTCTCCTCCTGTCATGATTTTGATGTTTTGAAGACTAAATGCATTTTAAGTCATGCGTATCTATCATCTATGAATTTTTCAACTCCGCAGCAATACACAACTATACTGGACATTGGATGAAACAGCAAATTCCCAACCCAGATGCCTCTTCATCGAACCACAGGCATGAAGAATAAAAAGAGAAGAAAGACAAAAGAAAAGAAAAGAAAAGAAAAGAAAAGGGAATCTAACAATTTGGTGAGAATCATAATAGAAATACCACGCTTCGCGATGCATCTCGCACTCTGCAGTACTTCTGAAATGCCCTATCCTAACCCTATGTACGAAAATATGCTGTGAAAATAATCAGTGCCACCACGCTAGATATCATCGCCAAACCCGCCCTACTCCAGGAATGTGAATAAATGAGTGTGGAGAACATTCATGGCTCTCGTGGCGTCGCAAGCGTCAATGACACACGATATGTTAATCTCGCTCGCACCTAGAGGTAGAAGATAAATGTCAGTCATTGATGAGTTGCAAAATATCTCAGACAAATGCAGGCTTACCTTGAGAAATCATCTCCAAATTGACATTGTGCTCTCCGAGGGTCGAAAACATGCGCCCAGCGATACCAACCATGTTCTTCATGTCGGCACCCACCAAGCTCAGAATCGCCATACCCGTCAACACGCTGACATCTCCACACTCTTCCAAGTCCCGTGTGGCAGTCTCAAATGCGTCCGCTCGAATGCCGTCCGCATGGATGGCCAAGGAGACATGTACCTCACTTGTGGAGATCAGATCAACAGAGATTGACTGCTTGTCAAGGATTGAGAAAACTCGCGCAAAGAAGCCATGTGAAATAGACCTCTTATTCGAGTGAACGTTGATAATACTGATCTGGTCCTTGATAGTGACAGCCGTGGGCCGCTTGGGGTTCTTGAATAGAGGCGTTTGCGAAGGCCGTGATCGGTGGAGCTGTTGTCCCGCGGACAAGACCGGGTCCGGAATCACCACTGTGCCGTTTCCACGAGGGTTTTTGACATTCTTAATGCGGATAGGGATAGGTGGGTGCGCCCGGATAACTTGGTCCATAGTAAGGTGGTGGATGACCTCGGAGCCATAAAACGTCAATTCGGCGGCCTCTGAGGGTGTGATGGATGTCAGCAGCCGCGCCGTGGGCACCTTTGACGGATCTGCTGTGAAGATGCCGTCGACCTCTTTCCAGATCTGCAGTTCGTCGGCTCTCAACCCCACAGCGCACAAGGCAGCACAAAGATCAGTGTAACCGCGCCCAATGTCTCCGTCCAGCAAGCTACCAGGAACATTTCCAAAAAATCCCGTAATAACTGGAACTCTGTTCTCACATGCGGCAAGCTTCTTCATGAACGCATTGATGGTGACGGTGTAGAATGCTGCGTCCAGGGAGGGGCTAGGGGTGTCATTATGCAAGACATCCGATAAGTCAACATATTCAGCTTCGACTCCCTAATAAATTGACATGTCAGCGAGATCACAACAACAAGCGATGGAAGGATTTTCTGGAGCAAACATACCGAATCTTGTAGCAAGGTCGCCATAAACAGGCAGCTGAGCTTCTCGCCGAAGCTAACGACGCGGTCTTTTGATCTTGAGTTGATTTCAAGGTTGAACCTCCTAGTGGCAATGATATATTCAATCAACTCCTGGCATTCTGACTTGAGCTTCGCAATGAGCCCGTCTCTTAACTGCGGGTCCTTGACAAAGGTTTTAGAAGCATTGACATGATCATTGCAGACATCTCGGATGAGCTCCGTAGCTTGCTCAATCAACTCCTGCTGCTTCTCCTCGGAGCTGATCGGCGTAGCAATGTCCTTCAGCTTTTTGAAAACAGCCAAGAGCCTAAATTTGGAATAACAATTAAGTGAGAACTTGTTCGAGTTGCAGGAGGTGACTCCTCGATGCACGGGATAACATAGGAATCTCTCTTACCGGCTGGTAGTGCCCTCGGCCTTCTTGCCCGTGCTGCGAGCAGAGCACACAACAGCAACTCGATGCCGTGAAAGATTTGCTCTGTAGCAATGCGCGACCCGTCAGTTCATGTGCCTTGAGTGACTCATCGTATATGGCTTTATGACGTGCCAACCTACCTGACAATATCACGAGCAATCTGCGATGACACATGTCAGCATGTTTCCTCGCAGCGTCTCAAGAACTCCAAACACAAAAAGAAAAGAAAAAAAAATAGCACTCACCTTGTCTGGGAATTTTCCTACACTCGTACCACCAAACTTCTGCACCACCCAGCCCAGGTCGGACGAATTGTCAAATGTCGCGCTGACCATGGTGATGACGCCCGTTGCTGGGACTCACACGAGTAAGGTAAAGCGATTTCGGAATCTGAAAACGAAATCCACTAAGAGGGGATTTCAAGGTCCACCGGGTGACGGTTGTTTTATGCTATGCCTTCGCCTATGCAAAATGAAATAAAAAGGATAAGAAATAAGAAAGTGAGTGGCCAATGTCAAGATAAGGCGTCTAAAGATATATTATGCTGAAGAGGAAAAAAAAAAAAAAAGAAGAAAGCCACAATTTAAATGGCATCCAATCGCAGATAAGGTAGGGGAGGAAAAAAGGATGGCTCAGTCAAGTCCAGTCATAGCCAGGATTCAGCAGCCGATTGAGGGATCCAGCATCGGCGTGGAGGGGCGTTTGGCCTCCGAATGCATCAAGGCCTCCGAATGGATAGAGGCCTGGTTGGTGGAGTCTATTGTGGAGTGGGCCGAGGAACGGCGAAGAAAAAAGATCCACTTGGCGTTGCGCAGCCCAGACGGGAACCGTGTCGAGGGAATTTCAATATCGAGCATATAATAGGGTAGGCATAGGCAACTGGCAGCCATTAGTCGTTTGGTTTATTAATGCCAACAGAGCGAGCGGCCATGACACTTATCCCATGCTTCTTTTCTTTTTGCAGCTGGGTTTCAGATACAGTAGAGAGACCGGCCAGCAGGAGCTGTGAAATCAATCTGCTTGTACAGTTCAACTGTTTTCTACTGTTTTCTTTCGTCTTACTTGTACATTACCAATAAACGTGGCGGCTTACGGGTAATATCCTGTAAGTGGCCATTGGCATACAGGCATATTGGCTAGCGTTAACAGGGGTGCAAACAACAAGCTGGAGAGTCATATATACTGTACGCCGGGCTTGTTTTTCGGTATCTATAAAAAGATTAAAATGCGACCTAGTAGACAGTTAGTATATGTAAAACCTACCTATGCATTATAACTAGTATTAAACCAATGAAACATATTACTGGGGTTTTTTTTTCCCAAGCTCTTGATATAATAACTTGCAAAGTATATATAGTATTAGAGAGTAGGATTTTACTTGTATACAAGATTACAAGATCTACCCTTGCCAAAACCAAAACCCCGTTGACCTGCCTGAGATGGTATTTTGGCTCTTACAGAGTACCCAACACACTTGGAGCAGACAGATCAGCAGTAGTATTGTCATCACGTTGCCTCTTAAGCCTCATCTTTAAGCGAGCGAACCTGCGTCTTCCAAACTGTAGTCGATAGCAACAAGCTTTCACGATTACCGCTATCGACTTTCAATGCCAGACTCCAATTGTAACTAACACCCGATTGATTTCATTAAGCGCACTCTAGTCATATCAAGACATAATCCTCATTCCCCAGACCCCTTCTCATAACACAGAGTGCTGAGCCACCCAACACAGCATAGGTACTCTTCTCAAGCCAGCTACAAAATATCATGACATCATTGAGAAAAATCGGCAACAGAGAACCCATACACCCCATTTCCGGAGAAACACGTGATTAATACATCGTACACCTTATCCAGTATTTGCCAACACCCATCTATCCCAACGCGCCCTTTGCCATAGCCCTCCCACATAAAAAGAATATAACCCGCGGGAGACGGGACAAACCCGCCCGCAAGGTCCTTGAAAAAATATATATAGCAAGAAACAGAGAACACCATTCCCACAGCCGGAATCATCCGTGCGGGGGCCTTTGAATTACAAGTTCCAGATGCCGTATCTTCATCCATTCATCCGATCATCCGATCATCATAGTGATTAATCCATCTCCTGTTGTAACGAGCTTTTGGCTGAAGTGATCCTGGCGGCAGCTAGGAAGCAGTTGATAGCTTTATTATCTCTTCGCCTCCCTCTGTCTTCGTTAAAGTCATGCGCCGCCGACAGCTAGACGTCCCTATAAACCAGCGCCTGTGGCCAGCTCCAGCCCTTGGTTTTCTGTTCCTGCAAAGGTGAACTTATCCATGGGAAAATCTTCCTCAGGAGTCCGGATGCCAATGCCGCTATCATCATGGGAATCAGTAGCCATCGGGGCAGGGTTTGTACTGCTTGGTGGAGGAAATGGTGCTCGCCCGGGCTGGGTGTGCGATACGTGGGCTAGACTCGCATCGTCACTCCCACTGCTGTACCGGGAGGCCTGCCTGCTCGTGGGCTTGCTAGATGCCTGAGACTGAGGTTCCGCCGCTGGTGTGGGTGTCTTGGCACCCTGCTTCATGAATCCACCCTGCTCGGCCAAAAAGCAAGTCATTTCATCCACCCACGTCTTTGTAACCCACCAAGACCCAAAGCTCTTACCTTGGGCCAGTGTGAGATCTCTCATGACGGCGGTTCCGACCCTTTCAACGCACCACACAATATCTGCATGGGATGCGTAAGGGAATTTTCCCGGCAGGCTCTGGAGGAAATTGACCCATCTGTCTAGGACATTCTGGCCTGACGTGTCGCTACCGCTATCCCCATCCGGCTGTCGACCGCTGCGGGTGGCTACATCTCCATAAATCGTCAGACATTCCACTTCCCACGGAACACTCGCTGGGTCTAGCAAGTCTCTGATCTCCGTCACGAGCAGGTTCACTACGTCGTCCATCCCACGTGTCGGGACGCTCTCAGCAATCTTGCGAGCACGGATCATGGTAATCCAGTCGATATACATCTGATCACGATTGGCCGGGTTCGAGAGCATGTTGGCTGCGGCATGCGCAGTCAGATTGACTCGCAGCGCGCGGTCCAGCAGACCTGCGAAAATAGCTGCTGGTGACTCTTTAGCCGCAATAACATGCTGGGGCTGGCCCTGAAACGAATCTCGGATATGAGGCACCAGCCTCTCGGAAATGCTGCGAAGGGTATCAAGAACGGGCTTGGGGACAACTTGAAGCGTCAAACCAGAGACAATTCGCATCATTCGTTGATACAAGGCAATGTCGCACCCTTCGATCCACGGAGCTAGAGCAGGGTTCCCAAAGAGCTTTTGGACTGGCATAGTGAGCGTGCCCTGGAATGATGTGTATAGGTGGAAAAACGTCTTTTCTCTGCAGTATCGGATACACTCCACCAAGGACGTGCAGTGTGATCGGTATAATGCGGATAATGATTTGGCAGCGTCAGGGTCGGTTCCATGAGGTAGATAGGATTCGATCGGAGGCAACGCAATTGGTTCAGATTGTTCGAAAGCGGTTTCATCTAGAGGCGGGAATGCTAGCTCCAGGTGCGTCTTATTGGATGTAGAGTTGACGTTATCAAAGTTGCTAAGGTCAGGTTGGTTGTAAACGCTGTGAGATCTGCTCGATGACTTGGCAGGCGGCATTTGGATTTGAGGCTGGGTGGCTGTTTGAGGTGAAGGCAAAGCATCGCTGGCGACGCTGTTTCCAGGCTGTGCTGGGGCGCTGATAAAGGGTCAGCAATAGAACGCCTCGTCTTTTCCTTTTCCATGGCGAAACTCACCTGAAAGTTTGAGGAAGTCCTTTGGCTTCTGAGACCGCCCGCGGCGGCTGCGGCTGCGGCTCCTGCACTTCTGGCTGATCCTCAATGAGAGAGAAATTGACATAGTGATACTTTGATTCGCCTCGAACGCCGAGACGGCGTGTCTTGAGGCCAGGGAAAAGAACTCTTACTAGCTTTCCAAAGCTAGCTGGGTTCAATACCGTGATCCTTTCAGTAGCACATCGCGAGGCGTAGTTGGCATAGACCCGGCCGCGAGGGACGGAGCCTTTTCCCTTGGAGCAAACTGAATTGATCCTGGAGACGTAAGAAAGGTAAGAATTAGCAACGTGACAACAATCGTCAAATTAACAGATGGCGCATACCATAACATGGCAAATACCTGGCGGGTGCGTTCTGAATTAGGCCCCCGCTCATTTCCATGTAGCTCGCGTGCCACCTCTTGCAGATTGCGGTGGCGGTTTGCATTGAAAAGATGCCGCATTTCCAATTCATTGTTGGCGCTAGATCTCGTGCCTGCCTTGATGGTGCCAGCAGTTCCGTTCATGGAGTCGCCGTCCTCGTTTTCTTCGCGATCGAGCATCTGGCTGTCGCCTTCGGTGAAGCTCGCGCCCGCGTTGTATTGTTCGGCAGGCAGGGGATGCCTCGCTATTGAGTGGTGCTGCTGATACTGCATATGGTGGCTCATGGGGGCACCCATCGATCCGTCCATGGAGAAGTCGTGGTTCGATGATTGCATGTGGGTTGCCGCCTGCAGGATCATGTCTTCAGGGGACATTTGCGGTGTAGCGGCCATGTCTTTCGGGTGGTTATGGTGCTCGCTCGGAATCCACTGGTTGGTGTATAGAGCAGACGCCTCTGCGAAAGCCGTTTGGTCCAGATTGGGTTGGGTAGCGGCGCTGTGAATCGATGTTGTGGAGGCACGGGAGAGAGGGCGCTTCCGAGCCTTGGCCGCAGCGCGCGTCGCTGAATTGTCTGTGAAGAGAGACAGCTAGTTAGTTTGACGGGGTCATGGCATATCACGGATGCAAAAGCATTTGCCGCCGCTGGTCGAGGCCCACCTTGCTCCATCATGAGAGTTGTCGTTGTAGAGTTTGCAGGGTTGAAGTTTGACGACAAAAAGTCGCTAGACAACAAACATTGGCTGTGGTCGGAGACACGAACAGGCCGGATCCCGCCGCGACCAGACGCGAGCAAGAAAAAGAAAAGCAGAAATTGGACAAATGAGAAGGGCTGATGCGAGCGACTTGCACAGGGCCTGCACGAGCAATTCTCTCGATGCGCGCGCCTGGTGGTTGGTGCCGAGTCGTCTTTACCTGCAGCTGTTGTTGTGGTTTGATTTTCTGTTGCGAGGCCAACGAGAGGAGAAAAGAGACGGACAGACGCAGGTGACCCCAACTGGGCAAGAAAACCCAAACTAGGCAAAACTAAACAAAAGGCAAAATAACAAACTGTGCTGGTGTTAGGTAAGCAGGCTTGCGCACTAATTAGGTGGAATTCCAGCTCCCGGCGGGCGATTTGAGGAAGCGGGGCAGCAGCAATAACACAACAATAACAACAAGAGCATGTTATGTCATGCAAAGGTGGGAGGATCTGGACTGCCAACATGCTGTGCTGTTTCTAGTAGTATCCATGCAGTTGTTTGTTTCCCTCTTATTCAGGCAGGCGAAAACATAATGAAGAAGAGGGCTGCTGCTATATTCTCAGATCAGCATTGGACGACAGTTAAGCTTTCCCCATCTTCAGACGAGAGATGCCATCTTTGCGCCGAGTTGGCATATTAAACTCTAGAGTAGTAAGAAACGGTATGATAGCTTGGCCATTCTCTCTCTCTCTCTCTCTCTTTTTTTTTTTCTTTCTCTTTTTGCTTTATAAAGATCGATACCTATATAGCACCTTTTCTCTGAAGCTTTCTTCAACAGCTCTCGTAGCAGAGCATCTGTCGTGTGCGATGCATGCCTATGCAGCTTGCCTAGTCGCAGTCCTGTGTGCTTACATATAGGTTACGTACATGGTGGGATTGGAGGATTGAGTGCCTAGGGAATATCACATGCGCATGCAGCTGGCCCCGACAACTTCTGGTCGGATGCTCTCCCTCCCTGGCCCGGCGGCTCATCGAGACCTCGTCCAGAGAACCCCTTGCTGCTGACGTCTAGCATCTCTGCTAGTACCTTTCTAAGTAGGGTGCCGACTCAGGTAGTGCGGAGTAGTGTGTTCGTCCCGAGTACCTCGCACCGGCACTGAACAGCGGAAAGATGCTAGCATGTTCATCCGCTGCGCGGTATCGGTACTTGGTTCTGCACTATACACTCCCATCTGGGTACCTGCTAGGCACACTCGGCATGTGCTCCGCAGAGCTCCATCCTGCTGCGTTATCTTCGGTCTTCCATTGCCAGTCGGAAAGCCAGTCCAGCCCGTATTTCTCAGGTGTGCGTTTTCTCCTCCACCAGAATAGAGACCTGAAGGGGCACCGCAGTATTTCCGACCCTTCCAGAGCAGTGCTAGAGCTTCATGTAACTCGTCCAGGGCTAGTACCCCCCGCCAGCCGATGCCTGGTTGGCCGAGCAGGTAGCTTGCCGGCTCCCAAGACCTTGGCCCTAACACTTGCAAGGCGGCCCAGTTTCAGTTCGGCGCAGATCGACTCAGCACACGTCAGTCGCTCGCTCCATTCCCCAAGGCCATAGTGCAACCTGTTACTTCCACAAGCCCCAAGCCACTGACGCTGATCAAAGCTAAGTTCTTAAGCTGGGTTCGATTCACAAACCTCTTTATAACATCATCGCTCCCTTCTCTCCTCCATCTATCTTGGCTCCGTAAACTTCTTCCCTGAGTATTCTGCTCTGCTTGCCGCACCCCTCCAGCGCCACCATTACCAACCACTGCCTTTTTTCTTCTGCGGAGACCTTTGCTGTCGTCGCGAGCATCACCACGCCGACCGCTGCGCAAATTTGAGCATCTAGCTTTATCCCAAGACAAAATGGCGTCCGCCCAGGCAAAGGCCCAGGATTACCTGAGCGTCATTGACAAGGAGGTTTGTCTGCAGCGCCGCCATGGCTTGGCCGTCCCTTCAATTCGAGCTCTTCCGTGCTGACATACGAGGTGCATAGCTCTCCAAATACCCCGCCCTTAACAACCTCGAGAAGCAGATTGGTGTTCCCAAGGCCTATGCCGTCATCGGTGTTGCCGCTCTCTACTTCTTCCTGATCATCTTCAACATTGGTGGCCAGCTCCTCACAAACTTTGCCGGTTTTGTGGTTCCTGGCTACTACTCTCTGGGCGCCCTGTTCTCCCACTCCAAGGAGGACGACACCCAGTGGCTGACCGTGAGTTACAATTTGCCTTTCCCTGCGCGTTGCCGCAAGGCAGCACAAGACAAGAACCACAAAGACTAATTGAAATGATTTCTAGTACTGGGTTGTTTTCGCCTTCTTCACCGTCGCTGAGGGCTTCTTCAGCATTGTTTACTGGTTCCCCTTCTACTTTGTCTTCAAGTTCATTTTCCTGCTGTGGCTGGCTCTGCCTACCTTCCGGTAAGCGCCCCCTTTCTAGAAAGCTTCTTATGAGAAGGTACTAATTGCAAATCGCAGTGGCGCTGAGATCGTTTTCCGATCCTTCATTGTCCCTACCCTCGGCCGATACTTCCAGGGCCCCGGCACTTCTGCTGGTCTCCGCTCCAAGACTGACGCCTTTGACAAGACTCAGTAAATTATGCCGGCTTGAGCAGCTACTTTGGTCGCAAATTCAACCACTTTGTTCAAGTCCAGGACCAGATGCTGTAAACTAGATGATGCAAACTCAACAAGATTGAATCAATCAACTATTGACGATAAAACGGGGACATGGCGGGATTCTCGGCACATGCCAGATTTCCAGAGAGGGACTAGGGTATTTGGGGAATAAAGAGCATGGAAACCAGAATTTTGATAACGTATGTTTGTCTTAGAAGGTGTCATGACTTGGAGGCTGTAGGGCGCAATGAAATATTGGGTTGAAAGAACATGCACATGTGATAATGGAAGGCTCTTTTACTTGTTTACACTTATTTGCCTAGTATCCTTGCATCGAGCGATTGGGATCCCACGAAGCGCGCATGTGAATTGTAGAGCCTCGACAAGCGAATGCCGCTATTATTCGGCACACGATGGCCCTGATGTCATTTAGCTGCGCCAATTGCCTGAGATGGCGATTTTGCTGAGCATCCACTATGATTTCAAGAACAACCAGCATTTCGCATGCGCGCCGTCGATGGACATTTCTCTGCGGTGTTCTAAAAATGAGGGTCCGAGCTACCGCATTACGTGGCGGTGCAGGCTGGAGCTGCGCCTCTCCCTCCCTGAACCAGAAAGTGGCCCCTGCGCCTTGATAGCTGACACCCGCCCTGATAACTGGTATCTGGTACTCCGTATCATCGTGAAACACAGCGGCCCTGACGATCCGAGGACGTCAAACTGACAGCTGGGGGCCAGAATATTCTCTTCTTGCTTTCCAACTTTTTACCCCTTGTGCATTCGATCACAGAAGTTACCCCTAAGAGATTCACCATGATATCACATGGCTACGGGGCAACGACATATCAAAGCTAGGACATGCCGCACGATTAGACGATTAACTCGCAAACGGCCGACGGGACTCCAACTACGAACGAGACAGCGGACGCGCAAGCGCCTGTGATGCAACTGAGTCCACTGGGATCGCGACTTGCGGCCTCGCTCGCAGGGCTGCTTGTTGTTTTGATCTTGTATATACTCCTTTTCGCGCCCAGCGCAGCATTTGCGCTGGAGCTTGTGGCGCCCTCTGCCTCCGACCTGACAAGGCCAGCAGAGCTTCTACAGCTGGGTGCTGAGTCGCAATACGACTATGAGCCTGAATTCGCTCTATTCGATCGAGGAATTCTAGGGCGAGCGCCTGCGGTTGCGACGCCTCTGGTAAACAATGTGCCAATTCCGCTGAATCTTCAGCCAGGCGCATCTGCCTGTTTTGTGGTGGACAAGAACGTTATCTTGAGTGGCCATCCAAGCACGGGAACTTCGAGCTCCAAATTAGAACTGAAGAGGGATGCGGATTTACAAGGGCGTCGTGATGATGACGACAATTCACCAAGCAGCAGTCAAGGCAGTGGTGGCCCCCCAAGGGTGCTCTACCTGTCAGCAAATACCTGTCTTCAGCCACATAGTGCTTCAAATTCGACATCGGTACCCCCGCAGCTTCGCATCTATGTTTCTACTTCTAGCAAAGACGGATGTCCTGATGTGACCAAGCCCCCCGCTGGAGTTCAATCAAAGGCATTTGAGCAAGGCGCTATCATGTACAGCTTAAACGCAACAGATGATGTATATGTGACTATTGCGGCCCCAAACGTCACAAAGGATTTCCAGGGTCTTTACAATTTTGGGATTGCGGCATCGGTTGATGATTACTACTATCAATATAGCGATATAGACGGGCAGCTGCTGTGGATGGACAGCGATGCAACTTCGGCCCTGCTACAGACGGCGCCCTTGACGGGCAACGTGCAACAAATTTCATCCGTCATGGAGGCCGGCCCACAGTATGAAATGTACGTCCAGGGGAATAAAGCGCCGATTCTCAATGGGCTTATGCGCTCAGCTTGTGGGTTGAATAACGCTGCTCAAATCGCGTCAAAAAGACTGGATAATGGACAGTGGAACAACAATGAACTGGTTCGAAGTAAAATATACGACAAAGGCCCGGGTGGCTGGCCAAGACAACAGTTTTATTTTGAAGGACTCAACTCTAGTTCGTCTTACTCTGGAATCTTGGTGATACCAGGAAACAAAACAGCCAGCTCAACGACACAAAGGTCGGGTGTGGTTGGGGGCGGCGGCACTGTCTTTCCGCCCACTTCCTTTGACACTTCAGCAGGTATGCTCTTCCTTGCCCTGTCCTGACGGGAAAATGGAGATGATTGATATTCTAATTACGCGATAGGGACAAACTGCAATCTCATCACTGATCTGGACTTTTGCGACGACGTACAGTGGGCAGCCCCCGGCAATAACAAGTATAACAACACAGAACTGGGCAATCTCTACGATAATTATGCAAAAACGATGTATGGCTACTTCTTAAATGTCATGATGCAAATTCCATGCGAAGCACCGTCTACGCAACGGTATTCACTGGCGGCCAACTGTGGCAATTGTACGGTTGCATACAAACAATGGCTTTGTGCTGTGGCTATACCACGTTGCGAAGATTTCTCAACTGGGAGCAACTATACAATCCCTCGAAACGTGGCTCAAGCCTTCCCCAACGGTACCTTCCTCCCGGACGCGCTGAGGCAGCAGCTTATGCAGACACCGGCGTTCAACTCGTCTCGGACCACCTTTATAGATGAAGTGATTGCGCCGGGCCCCTACAAGGAGATCTTGCCTTGTGCCGATCTTTGTTATGGGGTTGTTCAGGGTTGCCCGGCGGCCATCGGCTTTGGATGCCCCCTGTCGGATCAACGTGGATTCAATTTGAGCTACGGTTTACGTGACCCTGACGGCAAAGCAGTAACCTGCAATTATCCAGGGGAGCCTAGGACTATTGTCAATTCAGCAGGAGCAATTGCGCCTAGTATGGTGTTCCTCATCAGTTTTGTTGGTCTCGGCTCAAGCCTGTTGCTATGATGACACGACTATCCAGGATAGAGATAGAGCTATATGTGTATAGAAGAGGTATAGAGAACGAGAGCGAGAGAGAAAAGGAAAGTCATGCTATATGCAAGGCGTTTATGGTTAGCGTTTATGGCTTTGTTTGAAGGGCTGGCTTTATTTTGATTTCTTTGAAAAGAAAGCGGAGCATGGCGTTTTGCGGGCTACTTATATTATGCTAGAGATGCGCTGATGACAAGGGTCGATGTTTGAGGGCCCCATTGCTCCTTTTTGATACATGGATGCTAGAAGATTGGCTAACGATTTGAATCATTTCCATGATTGGCATAGCATCGAAAGATAGAACGGAATGCAAGTATTTGTGTGTATGGATAGTATGAGTTGCTCGTGTGCGATTGATTGGTTCATTGACAATGCCTTTCCTTTCCCCCCTCTTCCCCCCCTTCCTTTAAAAGCTATTTGCCTCAATGTCTCAGTTGTTATACAGCAGTTCCATCGTCAAGTATATACGAGTTTTTTTTTTTAACTTGCGCGCGTTCGTTATAATGTGCTCTTATTGGACAAACCTTCCCTCCACTGCTGGCTTTGTTTGACCTCCATAGAAAGATTTTCCGTCCTATGTCTCTTTTTTCCCCTCCTTTGTCTTTTTGTATTCGTCCACGGTGTTTTCGAGCGCAGCAATCGTGGCTATAACATGAATATCTTCTGTCAGCACCATTTCCCCCCCAAGGACGTATGTAATTTCCACCAGAAGAAACCCCCCAGTCTCTTTCTTCATTTTACTTATTCGCCCTCTTCCCAGCGGCGTTGCCTCTAAAACAATAGGGGGCTGTTTGGCTCACCGTCGGTTTCTTCGCGATGCTCATCGGCTTCGAGCTTCAGCCATGTCCAGTATGCGACCTGGTATGTGAAGACGGCGAGGACGAGGACCTTGCCTATAGGGCGGGTGAAGGTTTTGTAGAACTGAGCCTGGGTTCCATTCAAAAGACTTGCAATTAGTAAAAGGAACAATGTGAGGTTCTGAAGAATTGAGGGCGAATTTTTCTTCTTCTTCTTACTGCTGAACCAGATTGCTTAGTGGCATAACTTCTCGCAACCATCCGAGAAGCTGGAGCTGCCCTATGCGGGACTTGAATCGCGGATGGGCATCTCTGGCGCAAGACCCTCAGCGCCGAAGACGGATTCATGATCGATTTCGCTCTCGTATAATTCGGATCGCTCTGGTGTTCTCAAGGGGCTGGACGTGTCCAATGCGTAGCCCTGCTGGTTCTGTCGCTCATTGGCGCTGGAGCGCATACAATCTCCAGAAACGCAGAAAGCATTTTTTTAGCATCGATCACGAGCTACACATTCTTTAGCATGATCTATCCGTCATGGTACACTACATCCGCACGCTGATCGGCATCGCTGTGGCGGTGCACAGCCGCCCCTACAGCGCAGCAGCTTCCAGCGCTCCATCGGCAGCCCAGCAGCCCATGTGGCGGCGCGCCCTTTTTTTCCCAGCACCCCGCGTTTCTCCAAAGGACACCTACTTTTTTTGGGCCCAGCGAGACGGGCAGCATTTGCGCTAGAAGCAACCATTCGAACGGGCTTTCAGCAGCAACTGTCGCATGTACCCGGTACCTTGCCGTCAGCGCCGCCTACCATGCCCACCAGACCCCTGCGCCCCGTAGCAGGTACCCGTATTGAGATTAGATAGGCCAACGGCAACCTTGCCCGCCGGCTATTTTCCCTTGACGACACATGTCCTGTCCAGAATCCCTGGAAGTTCACGTTATTTTGCCTTGATCAGTTCCTTTTTCTTCTCTTAGCATCGCTCCATATACCCTTTTTTTTCTTTCTTATTCACACACTCCTTGACTCATCTGCGCTTTTGCCAAAGAAAGACCAATCTGTCCTAAACTTGTTGGACAAGAAAATAAACGTTTCGCATACTTGACACGATACCCTGAAAAACATTCGCCGCCCTCCAACCCCCCTTCCAATTTAAGTCTTGTATAAGAAGGCGCATCATTCCCGGCCGAGCTTCGGGAACCAAATCTGTCCAGTTGGCCTATATCACACTTGTGCGACTTTAACCACCTTTCAACAACAACAAACCACATACACCAAACAATCACAATGGTAAGTCCCGAAAGACTTCGAAAAGGAGCTCTTCCATTAAGTCGCAAACGGCACTGTTTCTAACATGCGCCCCCCTCTGCGCCCAGGCCCAAACCCTCGAGCAGCGACGGCGCAACGCCAAGTTCGTCAAGGACCAGGAAGCTCGCAGAGGCAAGTCGGAGGAGCAGATCAAGAAGCGCACCAAGGAAGCTCCCAAGTCGCCCATTTCCATGTTCTGGCTCGGTATGTCCCTCGATTCGAAACTCTTGGCCCAGCTGGATTTGTTCTCGCGCTAATCAATTACTCGTTTCTTGTTGCAGTCATGCTTGGTTTCGTCATCTTCGGCGGACTTGTGTTCGAAGCCTTGTCGCGCTTCTTCGGCCTGTAATCCAACACTGCGCCTTTTGAACTTCGAGTTGACACAACAAAAAGAATCAAAAACGAAAGAAGACAAAAAAAAATATTGTTTGAAAATATGCCAGAAAAGAGCAAACGGGTTGGTAATTTTGACAGCAGAAAGAGAGAGGAGAGAGAGAGAGAGAGAGAGAGAGAGAGTTTGAGCGCAAGAGGCGAGGATCATTGGCAAACCCAAGGGGCCATCAGCGTCTTGCTAGCCGCAGGCGCTGCTGTAACATTGACTTTTCATCTGCGGATCCTGCCCTTCTTGCAACATTTTTCCTAGAGTACTTATATCATGGGGATCTACGGCGCATTGGCATTGTACATCTAGTATTTAGGCGCTTTGATGAGCGAGAGAAACAAGCAAAAGACAAATTCAATTCCATATGGTATCTCCTGTGAGCTCTGTCAAACGCCATGTTACCTTGATCCGTTTCAAGCCAACGCGATCAACTGATGCAAATATATCGAGCAAAACGAAACGACAAATATGGTACACAGTATGGTACAAGCGACTGATGGGCAGCCTTGGCCAGGGCATCATCGCTCAAAGCATGTGGCAACCCTACGCACCCAAACCACGGCGTTTGTGGCCGCTTTCCTTCAGTTGCATACCGGCCTCGTACTGGCGCTGGATGGCTGCCTCGGCCTTGACTGAGTCATTCTTACTAGCGGCGATGCTGCCTGGCTTCGCAATACTGGCGCCGGCCTTCTTGCCCCCTAGGAGTCTGAGAAACTTATCTTGGCGTGCGGATCCTCCTTCGAGGCCCTCGATATTGATCTCCTCCTTCTTTTCCTTCTTGCCGGCCGGTGCTTCGGCCGCGTCATCCTGCCTCTTTCTCTTGCCGTCAGTCGCCTCGGACTGCGACTTCGAATGCTTCTTCTTCTTCTTGGGTTTCTCGTCGGCATCGCTGGCCTCTTGAGTAGGTGCAGCTGCTTCCACCTTGGCTATCTCGACATCGCCACTCTTTCTCTTCTTCTTATCCTTCTTCTTCTCACTCTTGGTCTCCTGCTCCTTGGTCTCGTTGTCGTCTTCATCACTTGGAGGGCCGACATCGTGGCCGCCGTCGCCGATGAGGCTCACAAGGAGTTTGCTGTCGCCGCTCTCAGTTACTTTCTGTGGACAAGGTTAGTTCGCTCTTGAAGATAAATCGGAGGGATTGCTTCACCTCGAGAGCTTTAGTAATCTGCTTGTACATCTTGGTTGCCTCTTCAGCTTGCTTCAACAACTTCTGAGCCTCAGCCTCAAGAGTCTTCGACTTCTCCAAGTACTCATCACGATTCTTCTCTGCCAGCAGAATTTGTGCCTCTAGGGCAGGGTTCTTATCTGCCTTTTTAACCTTTTTGGTTTTGGCAGACTTTTCTTCTCCGTCTCCAGCTTCTTTCTCCAGAGACTCTGCCAACTTCTTTGCCTTGCGCTCAGCTTTGCGAGCCTCCTTCTTGAGTTTTCGTTCTAGAAAAAAAAGATATAAGGAAGAGTTCATAAAAAATTTTACATAAGAGGAGCGGTAGGATGGAGATGAAGCTCCAACATGTAGCTGGCTGTAGAATTAATGGCCTTACCTTGGTCGGCCTGCGCCTGCGCATCAGTAGCTGATGCACCCATGGTGACACTGGAGCTTGGGTAAAAAAAGGCAAGAATCGAACAGAGCTTTGATGTAAGACAGATAAATATTCAGTTGTGAGATCACGCGGAAGTCCTCGGAAGCTAAATTGAAGCTTTTGAGAAGTTGTAAAGTGACCAGTGCGACCTCGCAGCTGGAACAACAACTGCTGCAGTTGAAAAAAAATAATGGAGTTTCTGCCGGGCGGTGGGAAGCTCCCCACATTTAGTGCAAGGTACCTAGGCGGGAAGATTGCCGAGTGACGGAAGGAAGGTGGGGTGAGCAGGAACTGAAGAGCTGTGGCACCTGCCCGACGGATAGCGCTGCGGAAGGCTCCGAAAAGGTACTCTATCGGGAGATCACAGTACAAGTAAAACGGGTACCTCTTGGGTTCCTCCGTCGTTGGGACCTTGATAAGCTGCGATGGACAGGGACACAGTCTAGCATGCAGTGAGGTAATGGCCAACATTTACAAATTTCGGACAGCTCCAAAACGACGTGTTGAGCATAGTTGTCGCAGCTGTATGGAGCAGTGCGTGCCGAACTCATTTTTGAGCCGACGACACTTGGCGTTTGTCCGGGAAGACCTACAGAGCAGCAATGATAGTTTGCGTAAATCGGATAGAATAGCCATGGTACTTCTCTGCGCTTATTGGCTAACAAACAAGAAACAAGAAGGAGGAGGAAAACAAAAGCTGCCATTGCCAGAAGAATCTTCAGCAGATCTCCCGTCTTGCAAAGGTTGCTTAAGATGGCCTAGCTGACGATCTTCGGTATTTGTCCCCCCCACCAACGACTATTCTTTTCTAGAAGTCTCGTGGAGAAGCTCGGGCATTTTTTGGACAAGTTTCCTAGAGTCTTCTGAATACACTTGCAGCAGGGTAGAACCCTGTAGAAAGTAGAGGAAATCTCAACCACTTTCCATTTGTCTATTGGAATTGCAACTAGGTTAGCATTGGTCTTTTGTGGCGCATCTTATGCACATACTACTTGTATGCGATCCTGCATACAAGCACAACGCCGCCCTAGGCGAGGCTTAGATGATCGGCTTGCCCGCTTGGACAAATCTAGATCGAGAGCCACAAAAGGCCCCTGTCCATTATCGAAGCCGCTGGAAGCCGTATCAAGCGCGGAATTGTGTGTGACTTTAGGTCACTGGCATTAGGGCAAAGGCGTTGCTGCTGATTTGTCCGAGGTAGCATTAGCCTTACTTCAGCTTCAACTCAAGGCAGCCCTCCTGGTACCTCCTATAGTTGTCTGGCACATGACTCAACGAATTCTACCTTGTATTTGGCTACCTATATTGACGACCCTTGAAAATTTGAAAAATGAACTCCGTATCTCATCCATTAGTCCAGGACGCAAGATGTCCTGATCCCGAATACCGTTTCTGTAGCCGATATATGCGCCCACGCTTCAACGCAGAAGAGAGTGTATATATATATACATAGTGTCTTGACCATAAAAAATTGACACTTGCGAGTCTCAAGTAATAGTGTACAGAACAATCGAAGTAGAGAAAAAGGCTAAGATATCATAACGTGGGAAAAGCTTGGCCAATAAAGCACGCGTCATAAACATACGAATTATCCTCTGGATAAATATCGTTAGCGCCGCTGCTACTATAGCTCGCACTCTGGCGCATGTTAGAGTCAAAAGATGATGTATAATTCGGAGAGGTGAAGCCGTCACTTTGGTGTACGCCTCGACGGCTGGCTCTTCGGCTTTCGGCTTCGTGTCCTCGAGCCACGAAGAGACTCAAGTTCATGCTGCCCCATGGCAAGCCTGAGAGTTCTGTTTCTGTGTTGATATTGTCTGAGTCAGGAATACGGTAGCTGTTACCAGCATGTTCCTTGTCTCTGGCCTCGCGCTCCGCCCTTTCTTTCTGTTCTCTGGCCTTTGTGCCTATTTGTTGTGAGTGAGTAAGTCAGAAGAACCAGCACTGCGTGCTCGAGTTTAGCGGGGGAAACATACGGAACTTGCGCTGTGCGACACGGTTTTGTATCCGTCTCCTCTCCTCTGGGTCTGTTACATCGGACCACTCTGTGTCTTGTACACTAGTTTTGCTTCTTTTGGCTGGTGAAGAGCAATCGCTGTTCTTGCTGGATGAGAAGTCGGGACTATACAAGAGGCTTTCTGATCTTTGGACTGCCGGCATGGTAACAGAATGATTTTATTAATCCTGGGATATTTGTTGGGTTGTGGCGTATTAGAATGTTTGGGCTGCTCAGTCCCTCAGAGTATTTTGAGATTTTGAGTCAGCCGTTTCATATAAGCTGAGTGCACTTAAGTGAAGCTCCTCGCTTCTAGGAGTGCTGAGATTTAAACAAATGGCGCTCAATCCAGAACTCGCACAAGCTGATGATGGCGCACGTAATAATGAGAAACACCACTGAATAGAAGATGATATTTTGTGTTTGGGTATGCTGGTGAGAGCCGGTGAGAGCTGTTGAGTGGGCGTGGAAAAAGAATGGATGGTTCCAAGTCACAATATGCGTGGTGTCGGGACTTGCCCAGGGGTTATAGGGAATTGCAAGTCGCTGAATGGGGGGGCTGCCCGCATGGCACGGCGAGGCGGCTCTGTTCGTGCCGTGAAACTGAACTTGGCCTGTGATGGCATTGCCCCAGAGCTGGTCCCAGCACAGTCGCCGGTCCTCGAGCAGCGATAGCCGTGGATGGATCCATTCACGTCGAGTGATCTGCGGTACTCTATTCTCAAGGCTCCACTGGCGCGGATTCCAGGGTCCCGGCTGGTAGAGGCAAGCCATCAGCGTGCGCGGCGCCTGGGGAGGGTGGCATGGCGCACCGGAAGCTGGAGGGATGGGTCCATAGTCGCCGATGCGCAGGATGCGAGTGTCCTGTAGAGGGCGTACAAGTAAGATTGGCAGTGCGTGGTGACGTCGCCCTGGCTGCACGAGGTCGAATTCGCACGGCCGATGTCCGGCGGCGATAGCCTAGAAGGAATTCCATCCCAACACGGGTGAACAAACAGCGGTGTTGGAAACAGGGCTGCTCTGCTAGGCGCAAGCTAGTGCTCATACGAGCCCGTGGCAGCAAGCCAGACGTCGCATTGCACCTGTCCTGGACGGCAAGATGGCTGCAGCCACTCGTAAGGCAGACGGCAGTGAGAGCATTGCAGAGGAGGTCGGGAGGCTGATCCTCCTGGGGATTGTCGGCAGGGGATGCTATTAGTTGATACGACCTGGCAAGCAAGGCCCATCTCTGTTTATGGCCCGGCACATGGCACCGCTGCTCCAGGATTGGATGCTAGCAAGATACGCACCTCATTGCATGGATATGGATAGTAGGAGATATGCTTTTGGTGGCGCTGGAAAGCGAGCCTTGATTGCCACAAGAGCCGCCTCTAGTGACGAACAGCCGGACAAATCCTAGCCAAGTGCTATTCCAAGGGCCTGTCTGCGAAGTACTTGTTGATGGGAATCCTGGTGCACCATACTCGACGTACATACTGTATTGTATTTACGCGTAGCGCAGGAAGTTGTTTCACATCCTATTTATACGGAGCAGCGCTAGAGCTGGATATGGCTTAGACGGTTGCGAACAGGGTCAAGGATGAAGCCTTAGCCTGGCAAAAGAGCCAATCGCAATACGGAGCGCAAGCTTTCTTTTATGGGGCCGAATTCCTATGTTGATGTTTAATAGACAGCTTACCGAAAAGGACAGTAGTATAGGCCAAGAACGATTACAGGGAGAGAGGAAGGCTTGATGGGCATGGGCGTAGGGGTTTTTAGGATGATGCATGGAAACAGGCCAACGGCATTTCGACAATCTCCTCCTTGTTAGAAGGGTGAGAAAAGCATAGAGCAAGTGAAAAGAAACGAAGGAGAAAAAAGGTGACACAGCCACTAACATTCTTTCTGCCTCATTCTGCGCACATGCCCACTTTGCCTTAAACAATGCTAGAATGGACAGCTAAGGCAGCTAAGATTATTAGTTGGCCAACTTGGCGAATGAGCTGAAGACGGGCCTCTCGCCAAGGGCCACTTGGGTGCCAGAGACTGCCTATTGGGGTTATTTATAGGTGAATCAAAGCTCTAGAAAGCACGAGCGGCCTGCTGGTGGTGCAATTGATGGTGGTACCTTTCACTACAGTAATTCCCTTTAGGTAGATACTACAAGCAGTGATGGTTAGAGACGAAGCACCTAGGTAGGCACCGAGCACAACAGAGTGCCTGGGAACATACCAACTTAGGTACTAAGGTATAGAACCTAGTAGGCAAATAGTACCAGGTACCTTTCGAAAGCTCTTTTCTTTAATTGTGGTCATTGTTCCATCTCCAACCTTGCATCTCCACCATCACCGCCATCATCATCATCATCGTCGCCATCATCACCACCACCACCACCATTTCCATTGTCACTTTCGCACCCTGGCTCTTCCCCGAGCTGAGCCTCAGCAATCAACACACGCAAAGTCGGTATCCGTTTCGAGCCACCGGCTATCCTACCCCTTGTGCCAGGCTAATAGCTGGCACTGTACTGCAGGTATGACTCTTCACATCGGCCAAACGGTTTTTTTGGGGGCCGAAGCCAGGACTAGGAGCGCCAATGGCAGACAGCTTTACAAAAGGCCCACAAATATCCCTCCAACTCGATCAGCCCAGCTTATAGAATTCCAAACTACTCTGCCCAAACCGAGATATACGACGACGAGCTAAGCAGCCCATCCCTTCCACTTTGCGTCAGCGCGGCCCTTGCCCAATCTTGCGTCTCCGTGGCTGTCGCACGCATCTCAAGGCAACAAAAATACGTCCTTCTTTTCGCACGCTCTACTTGCACGCAATGCAAATACCAGGTAAGAGATGGACACGCATAGGATCAAGTTTGGCAACATGCAAGTGAAGTAGTATCGCATCCCACAGCCCTCTCTCTGAATTGATCAAGAAGCATGTCTGAAAAGGAAAATAAAAAAATTAAAAAGATAAAAAGGTATTCCGATCTTTTGCCTCACTGTACGCCCTATTCGCGACGGGAATGCCAAACCCACCAAATGTGTTGCATGCGATTCCACCAATAAAACAAGGAGCCATCCGTATTGGTCAGACCAGTTTTTCAGCTTCTCAGTCTAGAGTTGCAATAGGGTTACTTCGTCTCTAGCCGGGCAAGCGAAGACGTGATTGACACAAAACCGCGCCCTTCTGGTACACCACCGCCAGGCACCACAACGCTCATGCATACCTGCAGCTTTGTCTTGGGCCGTTGTATTAGGATCTCCTGCATATTTAAGGCTGGACTGGGCTTTCGGAGCAAGTCTAAGCCTCGCTAAGCTGTTTCCAACGGCCTAAATGGTCTTTTCCAGCCATAGTCGAGATGAAATGGTGACACTGGATGTCTGCATGCCAACTGAACCTTGGCGGTGTCTATCTGTACCTACTACTGCAGCATCACACTCGTGAAATTTGAACATATTTTTGGCCGTTACACCAGTAACAATACAGCGACTGTGACAACACAGCAACTGGCCTTGGTAGAGAGAACTATGACCTTGCTGCCTAAACGGTTTCCTTAGGAAAATACCAGTTAACCCTCCATTATCTCCGTATGTAGCATAATGCGCCATGCTTCTCATCCTGAGGTCGAACATCTGCAGAACACAGGATAAGAGTACTTACTTATTACAGCTCTATGTCCCGAATCATTACTAGCAGCGGCACATATTGCAAATACGATGCTACGATACGTCACATGCATTTTGCTTTCACCCCTGTGTGCCATGTGTTCCCATCCAGTAAGCTAAAGCGCGGATGGCATTCTGCATAGTCCGTAGGGCTGCCAAGAGCACCTCGGCTCGGAAGGCAATTAAATTAGGACATGGTTCTACCCATAGAAAGGGGGCTCGGCAATCTACACTAAGCCGTGACGAGTATCCAGGGCGAGAGACTGAGGCTCAATCTGAAAAGCTTTGCTTATTCTTAGTTCTCGCAGGATTTCTCTTCTTTAGCCTACATACTTAGCTCTGCATATCTTTGAGAGCTTTTGCCCCCACCCAAGAGACATGCCTGATAAGAACAAACAGAGAAGGTCGAAGTTATAGTAGATGCTTGGCACGGCCTCACATCTTGAATGGATGAACAGGTTCTCACGAAAAATTCCTCACGCCATGCCGTGTTCTCGTCAGAAAGAGATGACTCTAATATACCCTAGTTTTCAGCTGAAGGCATTGAGTGATCCTTCTCAAACTGCATTCTCTCTTCGGTTTTCTCTGTCTCGGCTCAACTTTCGACCGTCATAATATTGTTAATTTTAGTTATTTTGTTACCTTTATTCTCAGTCCTATCATTCTCAACTGAACGGAAACTCCTCTCATTGACTTCTGTGAAATTGTGTTGGTTCTAGTTGTGTTGTTTAGCAAGGACACGACATATTTCTTACCACTTTCAGTGTAAAGAGGTTGAGAATATATCTTTTAGGTAATAAATAAGCATAAGCATAGTTGATGACCTCTTTTTTTGTTACTAGGTTTATTGTTAACTATCTTTTTTAAGGCTATGAACATCAGTTTCCTATTGTGAACAATCGCCGATGAGTCGCTTTTGCTAAATAGAGATGAATAATGTTCATGCGAGCTATACGAAGTAATGAGCCATTATATGGTAATTTCGCTCAAATTGAGGCAAATAGTCCTAGTATGGTGAGTAATAGAGAATGTGTCAAGCAGAACGGAACTAAGGATCACTGCAATGATAAGCATCTTAATTTAGATGTGTATATCCATGATTATCATTATTAACATCAGCTCTGGTCAGTATCCCTCCTCTTCTCAACCCAGTTCTAGTATTATATCCCTCAAAGAAAACATTTGACTAATGCAAATGACATGCATAAACTACACGCCGTCAAACGCAACAATCTCTCAACAACACCCACCCAGGAATCACAGCTGAAAATCAAGGGCTCTCCATCTCAGCCAACTCAGCCAACGGCGGTGACATGGACGCCGGCCTCGCCACAACCACAGTTTCATGGACGTTTTGTCCCATCTCCTGTGGTTTTGGCGGCACCCAGAACCCTGTTACGCTGTTATGTGCTCCCATATACGGCTCGTGTGGGACTGAAGTAGATGCCATGCTTGTATGCGGATTTGTGCTGTAATTCGTATGAGTGGGATAGGTAGGGGAGCCGTAGCCACCAGAGGGCACGGGAACAGGCACGATCTGAGGACTTTTAGACTGGCGGCGGAAGTATAATATTAAGCCGAGAGCCAGAAGCAAAACAGCTGCGCCACCGATGGCTATTCCTGCTATTGCTCCATTGGACAGGACGACAGAATTGGAGTTGGAACTTGTACTTTCCGCCGAGGCCGTAGAGGAAGTTGTAGCCGTTGCTGAAGTGGGCGTTGCCAATGTTGGGGCTATCGTAGTTGTCACGACTGTAACATTGCTCGTTCCACCTGGTGAAAGATCCTTATATGCGTCACAGTCGGGCTGAGGCTGTGCAAGTGGGCACTCATCGGCGAAGCAAATAGAGTAGAGCTGGCCATTGACAGGAGGTGCGCATCGCACATTGTACCTCGCATTCATAAAAGTATCCAGCGTCTGCGCATCTTCGTCTGAGAAGCCAAAATATCTACTAGCCACGGTAAGCTCCTTGATGAAGTATCCGATATCCGTCTGATTCAGGTTCATAAACTTATGGACATAGGCAGCAGAAAGAGGACCGCCGCTGTCGGTCGTACGTGGGAATTTCGGCGCAAAGCTGCAGCCGTAGATGAAGCCAAAGGCGGTGAACCAGTGGGTGAATAGACGGCTGAGTTAAGAAATGTCAGTGGTAAACGAGAGAACGACAGCTGACAGAAGTGGTCCAAAGAGTAGATAAACGCACTATTGGTTCGTTGAATTATTTATATTGACGGAATTCGTTGAACCGTTCAAGAACGACAATAGTGGAGCAGTGGCTCCCCCGTCTAACCAGTTGATGCCCACCGGCTGATTATTCAGATTTGTTGTCGCTTCTATTCAGTATCATCGTCGTCAGCCCAGAAAGTACATGGTCACGCAGAGCATAAGATGCTCTGCTTAATGGGACACTCTTACTGGACCCATCAAACCAAGGCCGAAGATATACGTCTATCCCATTAAACTGCCCCTTGTTGAAAATGCCAGAGCTATCGTCTGGTGGGTTTGGAAGGCCAGCACTTCCAGCATAGGCAAGAGTGACGATGCTCTGGACGAGGAGCAACTGGGTGGTACTATTATTCTCGCCATACCGTTGGGTAGCGTAATAGTCGCAGATTGATTCGTTACCAGACCGCTGAGCGAGAGTTACGTGCCCTGCAGCGAAGAGAGAGGTGGCTGCGGCAACTTGTTTCCACATTTCGTACGCGCCCTCAGTATTCACAGACTGTCTCACGGGGGCCGCGCAGATCAGATCGGTGGGCAGAAACAGAGTGAACCCGAAATTGAGAGAGTCACAGACCTAAGCGTACAGAGAGAGTACCAAGAGCAGTATTATAAGGGTGGCTCCAGGCTTTGGGCCAGGTAGTCTAGTCCAGGCCTGGCCTGACTGTCACTGCTAGCTAGACGGACAGCGAGGCCAACTAGGATGCCAACGCCAAGGGCATGGACTGGCACAACGTGGCGGACGTGCATATTGTGGCACGCGAAGCCTTGGGCTATTTGCTCAGCGAGCGAGCCATGGCGTTAGCTGTCAGCCTAATGTTTGCTTCCTCCTATTAAATAGTGCTCTTCAGCCCTAGGAGGCGATGGTGAAATGGCACGGTTGAATGGCCAAGGCGGCCCGCCCCAGGAGGTCACCATTCCTGACCGAGATCAGCGTTGAGCTTGAATCCAACTCATGCCGCGATGGGCTGTTGACACCTACACCTATTTCTCGTCTTGATGCCTAGTTGCACCGGCACTTGGACTTGGATGTTGGCGTCCAGCAGCGTTGATTGGACAGCCTGCATTAAGCCATCATGCAGTCCAAATGCTTATACTGCTAGCTAGCACCAGGCATGACTTGTCTAGACGCCAGCCTCTTTTGCGGCTGAGGGCGCTTGTCTGCGGTCGAGGTGCGATATGCAAGGGGGGCTCAATGGCTCAGTTTCACTACTCTCAATACTTCGGTTAGTAGCGTGCATAGGCTGGACGCGGGCGAGCATTAGGCGAGTGCGACATACTTGGCCATCATTCAGCCAACGGTTTAGTCGGTGTGGAAAAAGAACTGAACGATGCGTATTTATTGGTGGTTCCATAATGATGGAAGACAAGACTCTCGCATCCATGTTGTGGACTGCAGTCGGCATTTGCCAAGCGATCCTATTTTATGCTTAAAATGCTTAGCTTGGCTGCTTACATGTAGTAACTGTAGACGGCTAAATGCACACACCTTGAGCTCTGCGTCGATTGCTTCGAGACACCGGCATCCATCAGCTGAGATAATTGTCATAATCTATGAGTTGCTGATAAGATCATATCCAGAGTATGGGCTGATCCAAATTTCTTCTTGTGCTTCTTTGCAAGCAGGGGCCCTCAGTTCTTCCGAACAAGGATCATCGCTTGTGAATGAGGTTGATTCTGGCGACTCGCTTTCTGAAAAAGATATACCTATACATAACTATATCAATATTGTTATAGAAATCTTTGTAAACGTTCACTTCTGTACAGTTTTCAGTAAAGTGCTAATGGCGGCTGTAATTGGGGAAAATGGGCTGAGAAATACTGACTTCTCAGATTGGATTAGAGCATACTACGGAGCATTGCGCTCACGGCCGATTTGATAATGTTTGCTGAGCTTGTGGCTGCTGCTGTGCCCCCTGATAATTGCTGTAGATATATTTCGAACATCATATTTTGGATCCAGATTCTTTTCTCTAATTGTAGGCGGTTAGGAAGAATGAATCCGTCGCAGTTCTCCGTCACGCTTTGGTGTATAGTGTCAGTGAATCATGAGATGAGGGCGCTTCGATTACCGGCACTGGAATAAGAACAGTTTGTTACATAATCTTCATAATATACAATGCGCCAGCCATCAAAGACCTTCCCGAGACCCTCCTTTTTACAAGCCGGCCAATGCTTCTGCCTCACGCTCGGCCCTTCGCTCCACCGACCGTCTCTTGAATCGAATCTCTGCCCTTCTTCTCTCACCACCATCAATCTTGCGACCTTGGCGGTGTTCCCACATGCCCTCCGTAGCCTTGACAATAGCGCCAGCCTGCTGCGGCAACGGTATCGCGTATGGCCCTGCTATTGACTTGAGTCCTCTGACTGTGTAGCCATTGGGTCGTGGCAGGACTTCTGAGTCTCCAATAACAGCCTCTTCATTCTGGGGCACGTTGACCACATATTTTGCATCGCTGATGACAGACGCTGGCGGGGTTGCGACTTTCAGCAGGGCCTGACCATCCTTGACATACTTGAAGTCACCGCCTGGTCCCAGCGCTCCCTTTCGATATCTCTGCATCCATTGCAACAGGTATTTGCGGTTACGAGGCGGTTCAATGCCAAGCTCTTTGAGTTGTGGGGAGGTAAGAGAGAAGAGAGACTCCCACGACGGGAACTTGGATGCGTGCTTGTTCAGGCCACGGCCAATGAGTGTAAGAAAGGTCTGGACATCGGGGACGAACGGCCTCGGCTGTGGGATCTTCGAGGCTGGTCTCGTCTTATGGAGCCATCTCGCCTGGCTTGCACCGAGGAAATTGGTGCTGCGAAGAAATCGCAAGGGTGATGTCGATGGTGATAGCCCAGACTTCATCGTGGCTGGTGGTGCGGAAACCTCAATAATAGTCGTCAGTAACGTCTTTCAGGGGGATGGATTAATAATCAGGTAAAAATAAGCATTACCAAATATTTTGGCCGCAATTAGATTGGGTGTGAACGGGATTGAAGCCCAGTGATCCTTCTCAAGCCCAGCTCGTTCGATTCTAGGACATGCGAACTTTCCTGCCTTTGGCCAGTTCGATTTTGAAGATCTTAGCTAAGCAAGGCTGCATGAAAAATAGTGGGGTGATGTTGAAACTCCTTTATCAGTGTCAGTTGATTGGCCCGGCTTAACTATCTAACTGATAACGCCTTGCAATCATTATTTAAAAGTAACCGGTCGCATCATCGCTTCTTCACGCTTCCAATCCATCATGGCGACGTGCGCGTCCGCCAGAAATGACGGCGGGCTATCTACAAACCATCCAAGATACCCGGAAATACACATACCCAACGCAACTCACCCGCCATGGCTCCCAGAAAGCCGGCACGCACGCCCTTGGCGGCAACGCCGACTACATTCGACATAGGACCCCATGGTGAGTTCGTTCATATCTTATGCTTCTTCAAACATTAGTGAATTTTAACATTTTGCCTTCAAGATGTTCTACCGAACGAATTCCTAGAGTTTTTCGAATCCTTGTCCTCTCGAATTTCTTCCGAGGACACGAAAGATAGTTCCAGTAACCTTGAGCCACCTCCATCGAAGCGTCGCAAAGTAGATCGTGAACCAAACGACGGCGTCTGTATCGCAAAAGCCAAAATATCGTTCTCGCGCCGATGTGAAGATACCCGTAGCCTAGACTCCAGCAGTGACCATCACGGTATCGAGCCCTGGCTCATTTTCATTCTCAAGAATGGTGGTTTATCGATTACTACTCGATCGGCCGGTCGTCTCGGATACTTTAAAGCCCATATAATGCTACAACGAGAAGAAATAGATGAAAATGTGGAGAATATACTCGATATTAGAAACTCCAATTTGAAGAAAGCCACCGCTGGTGCCATTTGGACGGCCGCTAACATTTCGATCAAGCAACATCAGGGATTGGCTTCTTTGACAATCTATTTTCATCTTATGTGGAATGAAACCCCAAATCCGTATGCGTACTTGAGGCGAAACAACGAGCGACAATACAGCGAGAAGCTGGTTCGCACTTTCTTCCCACCTCAAGAGAGCGCTCTTAGCGATATCTCGTGGTCACCAATGGATTTCTACAATGCAGCGCACGTCCCGTCAAAAGATGATACTGATTCACTCTCCATTGATGTTCCCGGCCTAAATGCCACTCTTTATCCTTACCAAAGGCGAACGCTACAATGGCTATTGCGTCGGGAAGGTGTGAAATGGACTGCCCAACACGAAACTGTCCAGCCTTTGTTAGAAGAAGAGCGAAAGCAAGATCTAGAGCTTTTTCGAGCTGTGCATGACGCCAACGGCGGCAAGGTATACCTGAGTGATGTGTTTCAAACTATTACCCGAGATCCTACACCGTACCATGAAGCCGGCAAACTTGTCAAAGGTGGCATTTTAGCGGAGGAAATGGGGTTAGGAAAGACTCTGGAAATGATTAGTCTTATTCTTCTGCATCGGCGCCAGGCAGAATCCTCCCCGGAGCCTCTACCAGGCCAAGAGCACCTTGTTCCTAGCGGCGCAACTTTTATTGTAACTCCAAAATCATTGCAGCTGCAGTGGATATCCGAATTATCCCGCCATTCCCCTGGACTACGCGTGAAACATTACACAGGATGTCGAGGCGTCGATAAGGATGGTGAAGCTCAGCTTGTAGCCGAACTGGCTGGATACGATGTGGTGGTGACAACATACAGCGTACTATCCGCCGAGCTTCACTTTGCAATCAGTCCCCCTGAACGGTCGCGGAGGCACGAGCGAGCATATAGCCGGATCCTTTCTCCGCTCGTCCAAATCATGTGGTGGAGAGTGTGTCTTGACGAAGCGCAGATGATTGAAAGTGGTGTCAGCCAGGCGGCTGCGCTGGCCAGAGTAATCCCCCGAGTCAATGCCTGGGGCGTCTCTAGAACTCCAGTCAAAGACGATGTCAAAGACCTGCTTGGATTACTCTCTTTCTTGAGATATGAACCCTACTACTCCACACCACAGATCTGGCAGGCACTTACTACCCACTATAAACCATTATTTCAACAGCTCTTCAAGTCAATATCCATTCGACATACGAAAGCGGCTGTAAGGGATGAGATAGCTCTGCCTCCACAGAGAAGATTTGTCATCAGCATGCCTTTTACCGCAGTAGAGGAGCAGCATTACCAGTCATTATACAAAGAAATGGCAGAAGCTTGCAAACTTAACACAGATGGTGATCCTCTTGTTGAGAAGTGGAACCAAGAAGAATACGAAGATGTTATGAGACTATGGCTTAATAGACTTCGACAAACTGCTCTTCATCCCGAGGTTGGTGTCTATGGACGCCGGATATTGGGAGGCAAAGAGCGTCCCATGAGAACAGTGGAAGAAGTATTAACTGCTATGTTGGAGCAAGGAGAGATTGCCATCAGACTTGATGAGCGAGCGTATCTTTCGAGCAAGTTGGTACTGGGTCAGCTATTTGAAAACAGCCCCCGAGTAAGGGAAGCTCGGGCGATCTGGGAAGAAGTGCAAACCGAGTCTGCCAAATTGGTGACTGATGCCCAAGTCGCACTTCGAGATGCGCTTCGGGAGAAAGGAGGCGCCAAAGATTTGGGCGCAACTTTGGAGAGGATGCATGATTTAACCGATTCGGAGATTGAATTGGAGGATGACGCAGAGGAAGACTTTGGAAACAAAGGAAAACTTGGTGAGCTGCAGAACAGGCTGAGAACCAGCCTAGAGCTGCATCACAAGGCCATTTTCTTCTGTGCCAATGCATATTTTCAAATTAGAGACAATCCGGAGCTGACGCCACCGGACTCGGAGGAATTCCAACATCTCAAAAAGCTTGAAGACGATGGTTATGAGAGTGCCAAGTTGGTTCGAAGGAAGATACTTGGGCAAGGTCAGCGCAAAGCCATGCGGCTCATGAACAAAATCGCGTCAACGGCCAAAGAGCAGTCTTTTGTTGAGATACCGGAGCTTGTTGTGACTAGCGAGCGCGGAATAGAGAGTGGGGGTATTGTTGACAACCTCGAGGTTCTCTATGAGGATCTCAACGAACAGGCAAATTTGATTGACGAATGGAGAGAGCAAATTATCCAGCTCCTTTTACGGCCGCTTGTTGATGAAGAAGACACTACAGAGACCACTGGAGAAGAGCTTATAGATGCTACGAAAATTCAAGACGATCTGATGGTTTATGTCCAAGTTCTTCGGGCTGTTGTCGCTGATCGCCAATTTGTCGTTTCGGGTCAAGCAAACGGACTGTTGAGGCATGAGATAGATACAGCGGTCAAGATGGCGAAAGAAGGCGAAGGGCCTGCTCCAGAGAAGCTTCTCGATCTAGCACAAAGAAGGACTGAGGCGAAGCCTAGAAGGGCCAATATGTCTATGCGCGCTGCCATCAGCGACCTCCGTAGCTTGCTATCTCGACTCACTCGAGATCCGGATCCTAGCAAGAGAGAACTTTTAGAGTCTACGATTGCGTCTAACCTGATGAAGACAACTCAGAAATTGCTTGGCGAGCAAAACAAGGCAGTGGTAGCTTTGGAAGCAGAGGTGGAAATCTTCAAAAGGACTATGAATGCTCGATTGGATTACTATCGACAGTTACAGGCCGTCTCGGATGACGTAGTGCCCCTCGAAACACCCAAGACCGAAGAGGCTATTGAAAAGGCAAGAAAAACCATTGATGACCTTCATAGAAAGCTGTTGGCCAATGAAGCCAAGCACCGATACTGTAAGTGTGATGATGCAGCTCTCATCGAGTTTAGACTTCCCATGTCCATGCTAATTACATGCTGTTAGTGTTGAGCTTGAAGGAGACCGGATCCAAGTCCAACGAACCTCGAATGTGCGTCATTTGCCAAATGCCATTCGCGACCGGCGTATTGACGGTGTGCGGCCATCAATTCTGCAAGGAGTGCATTATGATGTGGTTTAAGGCCCACCGCAACTGCCCTGTTTGTAAGAGGGCGCTCAAGGCGGACAATCTACACGACATCATTATCAAGCCTCAACAACTCCAGGTCCGTGGAGAGGAGTCGGGTGTGCCGAAAGCGAGCGCCAACGATGATAGCCTACAGCGCCGCCGAGACTCTTCAAAGCAAACTGTGCTCTATTCAGAGTTTGACAATAGAGAACTTGAGCGGATGAAGAATATTGAGCTGGATGGCCCTTCATTTACAACCAAGGTTGATACCCTGGTTCGGCATCTTATGTGGCTACGCGAGTCTGATCCAGGCGCAAAATCCATTGTATTTTCACAGTGAGCCTCCTATTATATTGCTTTTGCATGTCGCATCATCGAAATGTGCCTGAATTAACGTCGTGTCCAATTGTTTAGATACAAAGACTTTTTGAACATTCTACGCAACGCCTTTAATCGCTTCCGCATTGGATACGCATCAATCGATGACCCTGACGGAATTAAGAGGTTTAAAGAAGACCCAGCCGTAGAATGCTTTCTTCTCCACGCAAGAGCTCACTCCAGCGGTCTGAATCTCGTCAACGCAAGCCACGTCTTTCTATGCGAGCCCCTTCTCAACACTGCTCTCGAACTACAGGCAATTGCCCGAGTGGATCGAATTGGCCAGCAGCATGAGACAACGGTATGGCTCTACATTGTATCCGGAACGGTAGAGGAGTCGATTTATAACCTCTCGGTACGACGGCGCATGGAGCACATGGGCAGGAATCTCAAGGGCAAGTCCAAATCTAAAGAATCCACTCCAGAACTGCTAGACGCGAATATTGAGGAGGCCAATACGCTGGAGCTGGAGCAGGCTGCGTTGTCGAAGCTTATGAGCAAGGATAGATCTGCTGGAGAGATGGTGGACCGAAGCGATCTGTGGGAGTGTCTGTTTGGACATGCGAGTGGTAAAGATGGAAAAGGAAAATGAGGCCGATCTCAGCAGAGCCACCATGAGCTCACGCACACGAATAATGAATGGTTATGATAAGACACGCGAATATACATTAAAAATTGATGCATGTAGGTATATGAATAAAATATGAATTGTAATCAATGTCATTATCATTTTTTCTCTTTAATATTATACATGGTTTCGTTCTAAACACCTTCTTTTTCTTCTTTTTGGTATCTTCAAACCCATAGATCCGCTGTCAATTCCAGACCCATGATCTCGACAATCTCGTGGCCGGCATTGCCGACTCTTTGGAAAGAAAGATTCTGCTAAACGGGAAAGTTGCTACACATTACAAGTTCGCTACCATTCCCCCAAATGAGGAAGAAGAGTAGGTATGAAAATGGAAGAAAGAAGAAGAAGATGATGATGATGAAGAAAAAAGGCACAAGAGTGAAGGGAAGAATTAGCTTCTTCTTCTTCTCTCTTTCTCTCGGCGCCTCATTCCATTGACAATCATATTTACTCGACAACCTTCTTCTTGCTGGCGCTAGACTTTACGCGCTTGGCGACAGGGCGGTTGATGTGGTGGTCGGGGATCCAGCTCTCGTCGTAGGACTTGCCGGCGGACTCGGAGCCAGAGAGGGCATCGGCGGGATCGACGGGCTTCTGGACGGGCTTCTTGGGGGCGCGAGTCTTCTTGGCCTGGGGGAACAACGCCTCGATCCAGGTCTTGTAGACGAAGTAGAGGGTGCCTCCGAAGGCGGCAGTGAGGACAAGGTACAGGAAGATGCTGTTGTAAATATTTCTTCTGTTAGTCATCCGAAAGAAAGAAGAAGAAGAAAAAAGGAGGGGGTTCACGCTAGATTGAGAAAAGAGAAGAGAAAGTTGGCTCATACATTTGAGGATCGAGAAAGCTGGTGGGAGCCTCGACAATGGAGGTGCTGCCCTCGTAGGCAGGGACCTGGAAGACGGTGCCCTTGGCGTTGGTGAAGACGGCGAGGAGGCGCAGACGGACATCCTGGGGCATCATGTCGAGCACAAACGAGTACGGGAACGACTTGGTCTCGCCAGGCTCAATCTCCAGGCTGTACTGCACGACCGTCAAGTTGCGCACGATGCCCTGGTAGGCGGGGACGTCCTCGGCGAGGTCCTCGGGCGTCCACAGCGCGCCATTGGCGAAGAGGAACTGGATGGGGCCGTCTTCGTTGTTGGTGACCTCGACGAGGGCCGTCGTGGTGCGGCCATTGACCAGCTTGAGGCCGAGGATGTCGGAGTCGGGGAACGAGGTTCTGATGTCGGCATTGAGGGTGGCGGGCTCGATCACTTGCTCAGCAGGCTCCTGATTTGCTGCGCGTTAGTTTTGATTTATTTATTCCTTTTCGTCTCTCTGTACTGTGTTTCCCCCCCAAGATTCTCATTGTCTCGAGTTCCATGGAGAGGATTCGATTCAATTCAAAAACGCAAAATCAATTTCTCACCTCTTGAGCAACTGCGCCAAAGACCTGCAAGGCCAGAAAAGCGAGGAGAGACGACTTGAACAGCATGACGACGACGCGAACCAGACTCGGCTCGGCCCAATTGATAAACCAAAGAGACGGGGGGGAGGAGGAGGAGGAAGAGAAGAAAAAAAAAAGAAAGAGAGAGATGAATTGAGAGAAAAAGGAAAAACAGGAGGATGGATGGAATGGCGTTTGGAGAAGTTGGAGCTGATTTGTACGGCCCCAGTTTAGAACTAACAGAAATGTGGCCACAGCTCGTGGAGGGGCCCCACGCTTACATAACCTCGTGCCATTGTTGGGACCTGGAACCAAAAAGAAGGGCCTTGTCCGAATTGGGAATCTTTGTATAATTATGGAACATGGGAAGCTGGACAAGATATGATATCAAGAGATGCATACTAATTGATAGTGGAATGCTGTCTGGATAGGAGACAGATTTTTACCCAGGATACCTATTTGTAGTACAAGTGAAACACGCAGTCAAACCAACATTCAATATCAGACAATACGCATTCACGCATTCCTTCTACTCCACCGATTCATACATGAACACTCAATACACAGCATAATCATCAACTTCTGTCTCTGTTGGTATATATATAAATTCGCATTGAAGCGTCTCATACAGGCAGTCTCTCCTAGAATGAGAATCGTAATAGACCTCCCAACATATGCGCCCATCCATCTAATACTACTAGCCAAATACAGAGCCAACTAATAGTCCAGCAATTATCTACTACGGTCCCCCAAGATCCATCCCGCCCCATCCATCAAATACGTCCATGTCGGTGTCGTCGAGGCTGCCAAACAAATCGGCCTCTGCTGAGGCATCCAGCCCCCCACTGCTTCCCGGTCCTCCCAGACCCAGGTCAGACGAAATCCCCCCAAGGCTCATATCCAGGCTCCCAACACCATCCATTGACATCGTGCCATCGCCCTGAACACCAGCAGCGACAACAATGGAATCTTCTAGGTTTGTCGCATCCCCTGCCAAGTCTAATTGCATATCAGCCGCCTGCAGCATAGGTGGCGGCGGTAACACCATCTGTGCCTCAACTCTCCTGTGAAGGCGAACAACAATCTCTGCCAGCTCGGCGTCCTTCTTCTGCAGCTTCCTGTAATCCTCAGCCTCCATTTTCAAGACTTCTCGGAGGGTAAGCGGTCGCTGCAGTATCGGCAGCATGTTTCCCGCTTCATCTAAAAGACCGCTGGTAGGCGGGAGCTCATTGCTAACGTTTGGAGCACAAACCAGTGCCGTGGCCACATCGTAGACAAGGCTCCCGTTGCCGGCTAGAGTTTGCTGCCGGATTTCCTCCAGGATGACTCGTAGAAACCTCCTGGCGCCCACAATTTTGAGGGTCGCAATGACCTGTCGATGCGTATACGAGGTTGGCATAGCTGTTTCGTCAGTATGCACACACCACTGAACAAGCCCCTGGATAAGGTGCTTGGCGGCCCCAGAGAGACCGCTGCTAGAGCTAGTTGCCCACATCTCTAGCTCTTGATGCTCAGCAGCCCCTGTTCGCCTCGAAAAGGGTAAACTGTCCTTCAGAACCCTCAGTAGTGGCTCAATGTCCTGATTCTTTGGATCTTGTCGCTGGTAGGCTCGCAGCGAGTGCTCCAGGGGCTTCGCAACTATTCCCTTGACCGACGCAAGCATAGTAGTAGCTTCGCCCGAAATAGAGGTAGGCAACAGGATGAGCTGCAAGATTTTGATAATAGACTTCTGCTCCTTCTGTTCTACCCAGAGGTAATCAGACAAGAACCGAATCGCAGGTATGAGGGACGGTAGTAGAAACGTATCAATCAAATCTAAGGGCTGGTAAGCTTATGAAACAGCGAGGCGTCACAACTAATCAGAATCTTACATTCCACGCCCGACCTTAGGGCGTCGTCTGTCAGGAAGCCCTGGGTATATGCGATGACAATATTTTGAAAGAGAGACGCAATGAGGAGATAAAAGTCTGCAGGAGGGCAGGATGACATCAAGTCGTCTCCAAGCCCGCCCGCATCGCTGTCGAAAAGGCCGTGAATCCAGCCGCCGAGGTGTCCATTTTCTTGCTCGGAGAGCTCGTCCAGCTCACGGCTAATGTGAGCTCGGCCAATGATTTTGGCAACATTTGAATCTGGGGAAATGATGCCAATGTCTGCTGGAGATAGGCTATATCGGTAGGCAAAGGCCAGCACCAACAGCAGAATAGCCCCGAATTCTTCGTAAACAGGTTGATACTCTCCTTGGTCTTCCTCGTATCGCCAGCCGTCCAATAGCTGACATATAGGCTCCAAGATGGTCGGCAGCTTCTCAAACAAGAGCAGAACATCTAGGGACTGGGGTTTCTGTACCAATTGGCTGCAAAGGAGTTTCAGTGACATTGTCTCTTTGCTGTGACACAGTTGCCGCAGCAGCTAACATCTTCTTGTCAGCACGTGAAATTCACCAACCGTGACGTGAGACAGGATACGGGGTCAAACAAACCTCTACAAGGGCCTGACACACTGCTCCAACATTACCATCCATCTTATCCATGTCGCGAATGAGGGCTTGTATTTTGTCTGGGTCCGATAGGCAGCTCTGAACAAGCTTTTCCTTGGAATACTTTTCCTGGGAAGGTTCGTATGACATGGAGCTTTCTCCCAGGATCCGCTCTACATGCTCTCGTTCAATCAGTCCATGGAGAGCGCAAGCCGAGCAAAACTCCTCTCGGACACTCTCCGTGTATGGATTATTGTTACGTGATTCATCAAACATGAGTGACGCTGTAGGGAACACGCTTGTATCGACATGGGGAAGTGCCTGGGTAATACAAAACTCGGCAGAAGGCGTTGAAAAGCCAGGGGGGCATAGTTGGGCGAGTATCAAGGGCACCTTGTTTATCAAGAAGGACCGTAATAGCTGTGCGTCTCTGGGCCCCTCATTTCTGAAGACGGCATTTGCAAGCAGGTCAAAAGACGCCAAAATCAGATCAACAGCACTTTGTTGAACGTCTCCCTTCGGATAGAATGAGAAAAAAAATCGACGTTAATCAGGATAGAAAGGGGGAAAATACCTGATATCTATTATTTAAATATGAAAAGAAGGCATGGTCATCTATTAATGGTCGGCCAACAAGCTATAATACACAGATAGTTAGGATGCACGTAATATCGTAGATGGAAAGGGGGGGAGGTTGAGCATTTTCTAAACACACCGAGGCACTAAGGTATATGTACAATCCTGCACGAGTGTTGGATATTGGTATCTCCGGAATGACCAAGTTCTCTACGCCCACTGTAGAGTCTAGGATATCGTCCATGACAGCGTTGGCAGCTTGCTTGCTCTTGTCCACCGGGTCTAATGGAGCCAAAACCTCGGTTCTAAACAGTTCAAGCTTGTTGATAAATTGCTGGAACTGCGGTAGCTGTGGCGATTGCTGTATAACCTGTACAAACGATGCAAGGCTCTCCGAGAACATTTTTCGAGTCCCTAATCGACAAAGAGAAAACATGGTGATTAGCATGTGAGAAGGTCGCGAGAGAGCAAGGGTGTGTGATTCGCGGCCGTAGCATACCTTTGGCAGACGGTTGGCTAACGACCTTGACAAAGGCGGCATTGTCAACCAGCCGAAGCACTAGAGGGACAAGAGCACCCCAAGCAGTCTCCATTTCATGCCGAACCTGTGGATCTTGCAAGCCGCCGCTCAGCATGTCCGCAGTCATGGAATTAGACGCCGTGGTAAATAGCGCCATCCACTTGGAACTGATATGGATGAGCTCCAATGCCGTGCGAGAATCTCTGAAAGCAGTTCCCTCAACGAGGAGCTTGATGACATGATAAAACATCACCTCCTCAAGCCAGGACGAGCTCTTCCACCTGATGGAGGATACTTTATTGGCATCTTGTTTGGTCGCTCCCTCTCCATTGGCCTCGTCTCCGTCTTGCTGTGCTTGCTCCGGCACTAGCGCATGGAGCGAAGAATATCTATATAACGCCCGGAGAATGGACACTGCGTCGGTATACCGCAGCTTAGTGAGAACCGAGACGTATGGAGGGATTCGGGGGTCGGGGCTGAAGCACCTGGATTTCAGAGGGCGCATAAAAAAGTCGGCGATGATCTCGGGGGGCAGCCGATGCTTGGATTGGACTAGTCGCACATAGTCCTCAAAGGTGCTCGCGTCGAGGCGCTTGGTCAAGCATTTGGAGACGAACTTGGACCAGTATTTGATAGAGTCGCGAAGGGCCTCGCTGACCGTGAGGCGCCCCTCCATGGCTCGCCGCGCTCTTGGCGATAGTGTGAAAAATAGACAGTGGTCGAGTATGAGGATTCAAAAATAAAAGAGTTATTGGGTATAGATGCGTAGCTGAGCAGGAGAGAAAGATGTGGAGGAACGTGGTGTCGAGAGGTCGAGTCGATCGTCTGGAGGTTGTTGTTGCCGAGCCAAAAGCAAAAGGGCTGTCACGGGCTGTTTGATGCCATTGAAGTACGGTTTATAGTTTCGCGTACAGCAGCCATAGAGTTCGTTCACTGGGGCGCTCTGGTCTGTTGGCTGACGCCGCATAGAAAGTATGCCAAAGCGCTCGGCTTCTCCCCTCCACTCGGTTTGCGCGAGGCTGCGAGATTCAAAGTTCAAGCTTCGCGGTATCGCGAGCTAAAGTTGCAGTAGCAGCATCAGCCACAGGTACCTTGTACAAGCACGGAATGCTCCGTATTACGGGCGCACGTGGGCCCTGGCGGCTATTGTTCCGCGCCGTTTCAGGTGGGGCTCGACCACGATGAGACTCATTCATAGGACTTTGTGTATATAAGTATTTATATAGAAGTCTCGATGTGGTCATCCGGTCATCGAGATGGATAATGATTAATGATTAGTTAACAAATATCTAGTACGAAATGTTGACTCTCGTGGTAGAAGCAAGTACTCATTCTCTCATTCAATAAGAGGAGTTGAGTGCAGCTTCTCCAGCCCGCAGTCTTTCACTTTGCCAATTAATTCACAAAAAATCTCAAGATGAAAGTCAGTTTCAGTCAATTAAAATCTATTTTCCGTCATTCCAAACTATTGCTTTGTAGTATCAGCAAAAGAAGTGTCAGAACATCAAACAAATCTACCACCTAGGACACAAATGCTAATACCTAGGTACATATAGGCAGTCAACTTCTCAACTTGGATATCATCTTTTTGACAAAGAAAACTATAAACAAAGAGTGGATATCTAGCGATAAAAAGAGAAAGAGAAAAGAAAAAGAAAATTAAGAGAAAAAAAGCCAATACAGAGAGGGAGTCAATCCTGAATACTAGCCGCAGATAATAACTCGCACTCTGGCGCATCCACATTAACACAGCCATCGTCTTCAACTACTGCCACAAGAGCGTCATCCAGCTTTTCCACCCCCTACTTCTCGAAATTCGTTAGCATAGACTTCTTGCCCGCCGCAATCAGGTGGCAATAGTCAGTGCCCAGGAACCGGCCCTTGGCATAGTAGATGAGATAGCTGAAGAGCTTAATCGAGCCCATCTGGCCAGTGGCACGGCTTCTTCCAAGCGTAACAGCGGAAATCTCCGTGGTGCTGGGGCTATATGCGGGCATCGCGCCGCCCTTGAAGTAGATGGGGAGTGCCTTGACGAGATGAATCGTCTGCGCACTAGCAGTGCCGGCTTTGCTAGCCTCCAGGTTGCCCACGTCGCCGACGACAAAGATGTTGTCGAAGCCCTCTGCCAGGAGAGCCTTGGTCTGCTTGATGTATCCCTTGCTATCCAGGAGGTTCGCAGGCACAAAAGAAGTGTTGGGAACAACGCCAGTAGAGGGAATGTAAGCCTGCGTCGTGAGTGTCTTGGTGGTGCCGTCCGAGCTCGTCAGGGTCAACACCGTGTCATTGCCCGACTGCTGGACAGAAGAGACGGTGGTGTTGGGGACCAGCTTGACTTTGAGCTTCTCCAGCTCGTTTTTGGCTGCTTTGCGAACGCTATCAATGGTGGGTGGTGTGAGTGGTAGTCTGTCATTGTAAATGAGATAGACCTCCTTTTTCCCAGACTTGGAATATTCGAAGCCCAGCTCGCCCGCAGTCTCGGTGCCGGTTGCGCCACCGCCGACGACGACAATGGTTTTGGCACTCTCGATCTGCTGTCGTAGCTCGTGTACACGCTGCTTGGTCTCCTCGGTTGAGCCCATTGTTTTCCATGGCATATCCGGGCTTGAGCTGCCAGTGGCAACAATGAGGGTATGGTAGTTGATGGTGCGGCTGCTGCCCTCGCTAGGCGAGACGGTGACTGTGCTGCTGGCAGGATCCATGGCGCTGGCGACGCCGAGAACAAATTCAAACTGATCCTCGGGATACTCCTTGAAAAAGGGCCGGAGGTCGATCATGGCCTTGTCATCAGCCAGCTGCCCAGGCACGATGACTCGGGGCATGGCAATGGGCCAGTGGAAGTGAGTGTTGGGAGCAACGACAATCATCTTGTAATCCTTGTCCTTGAGAACAACATTGCGCATGGTCTGGCGGATAAGAGGCGCGGCGGCAACGCCAACGCCCAGTACAACGATGTTCTTCATTTTTATTTATTGTGGTTGCAGATTAGCCACGGATGGGATGTGTTGTGAGAATTGAGCTGTCCAAATGTGTACAAAATGCTGATGCGAATGAAGAGGGTGGGCAAGGGCTTTATATACATGGAGAGCTGTAAGTGGGTTGGAGCAAAAGGAGTGCCGCACTCGACATAAGGCTCCGGCAGAGCAATGGTGTATAGAATTGCTCCGCAACCCCTACGCCCGCGAGCCCATGGGCGACGGGGCAAGCTGTACGTAGGGCTATGGCGCCACTTACACACGTATCGCTGGTGGGCAATCCATGCAGCAGCAGCGAGGCTCATCAGCTGTTGGTCAGTAGCCGGAGTAATCGTAGAAGCATCGGGACAACCAAGACTAATCGGAGCCTCGCATCTTCTCGAAAGTGCGCTCCTCCGTCTGGCAGATGAGTCGAATCTGCCGTGAAGCAGTAAGGACCACTGCTCATCTCCATTACATACTACAGATTTGATAATAGTACAATCTCTATGAATGATTCTTCAAACGCGCGCGCTACATCTCCTGCTGACCGAGCGCTAGCAAGCAAAGGCCCGCACTATTGGCATGGATGGAATCTGATCTGCCAAAGGCACTAATAAAACAAACAGCTAATGGGGCACGGCATAGGCCTACATGGAGGCTCCAAAATGTCATCTACCGGCGTATCTAGCAGCGGCACAAGACCAAACCAGCTCGGGCCGAGAAATATCGGGCCTTGCCATTCCCACGCATTTCCAGTCAGTCAGTCACTGCTTCCCATCTCACTACATACTTGAAAAGAACAATCGAAAAATAAATAAATAAAACTGTATAAATCCATCGATACCATGATACTCCCTCTACATTCTTCAACCCTCAATCACTCCTCCTATTCGCCTGTCGCCAGATAGCGCTGCAAAATACATTGAATAGTGAATAGTTGCTGCGCGCGGAGATCAGATGCAGGGATCGCGGCCATCCACCAATCAGCGTCGTTAGCGCCCGCTTCCCGCTCTCGAGACGCCCGCGGAGTTTTGAGATTGAGGTTTCTCATTACAGACATGACGGTGTAGTATTGACTGTTGTAAAACCCAGATTTTGCTTGTTGGCTACAGAATTGACGCAGCTCGACGAACAATTCTGATTACTAGAAATATTACAAAGCATAGACGCTTGCGGAGTTGCGCTTGACATTTTTGGAGAATGGCATGTACATGTATTTGGCTCCGATGCGGCCCCACGCCCGAATACTTGAAAGTATAGCGCATAGGGCACGCAACTTCAGCTGCTCAAGACTGCAGAGATGGAATTTCAATTATAATCTGGGATATCGAGATGCTATCAACGATAACACAATCACTAATGCAGAGAGAGATTTTTTGCCGCTGACAAAGCGCTGTTCGTGACATGTTGGGTAGGCATCTTCAGAATCCATCACACCGGCGCTCATGCTCTCGATTTCACTCTCCCGCATACACTCCTTCTTGACACTCGTTTTACGCCCAGTTTTATTACTTAAATTGCATTCTTGAAGACTCAGAGTCCATAAGCCGTATGAAGCCATTATTGCGGCAAGTATCAGCCTATCTTATGCAGTCTTGCGTGTGTTACCAATCTTGGACAGCCCTTTTCATGATCAGTACCGGCCATTTGCTTTCAACAAGAACAATAATATCAATACAAGATTGAACATACGATGTTGGAAGGCTAAAATTCTATCACAGAGCATCCTCAATGGCAAACATCTCAGCATGTGCCATCGGATGAAAGAAACTTGTTATTCGTTTCCTTCAACACTTCGGAGGCATTGCCGGAGATACCACGCTCTAGAGACCAGTGTGTCTCATAAGCATTCTACATCAATACCTCGTCCTATTTCTGCTACAGTATAATGGGCATGACGTATATCATACCTTTGGACTAGGACTGCCGGCTCTGTGTGACGATCAATGGGCCATCTCATTAGACTCATACCGCCGCTCTCTCATGACACTCACACTCCCTTAGTAAAGTCCAAAAAACGTAGCAAAAAAAGGAAGGGGGGGAGAGAAAGACTACAGACAGTATAGGGTCGAAGCAATACCAGCCTTCGGTCTACATACTATACGTTCCGAGAATGCCTCGCACCTACCACCAGCCCCATCACGATCCCTCTACCGCGCAGTCCAACAGCAAATAAAACGCCTTCAATCCTTCGAACCAAGCCCGTCCTCAAAGCCATTTTTTCCAAGAACGTACTGTCTGACCACCCCCCTGAGGAACTAGAAGCCAAACTTTTTGGGGGGCCTAAAAAGAGCCGAAAAAGGTAAATCTTTGTTCTGGCGCGGGCCGCCACATACGGGCAATGGATCGAGCCGTCCGTAGCCCCCCGGCAATATGGCCCAGCTAAATAAGCCTTCATATCTCTCGAGGCACACAAAAAACGCCGAAAAGCAACCTAGACAGCCATTTTAGTTTAGTATTACTACTGCCGCCCTTTCTTTCTATTTCATCGTTCAAAATCGAGAGGACCTTTAGCGGACTTGTGTGTATGAGTAATATGGCACTCCCACCCCAATAGGGAAAAGGGAGAGTGTGAGTTTGACCGTTGTGGCTTCACGGTGAAGTCATCCTCCCCCCCATTTTTTCTTTATTTTTACTTTTTTCTTTCTTTTTGTTAACCCGTTTAGAGAAATAAATGGCAAAGACAAAAAGCAAAAGCTACTCCCGAGGCGCTTCTGACCTTGCGTAAGTTTACCTTGACAGCGGGAATCGTGTACAACGCCAGTCTCAGTCCCAGCACACCGCATCGTCTGGGAGTACAAGATGGCTCTTTTCGGGTCTCTCAAACGCACACCCCCTCCATCATCTTTCCCAAAATGAGCTTGTGACTGTGTATCCCTTGAGAGAGAGCCCAACGAGCTCCAGCAGGCATTCACATGTGAGATCTCTTTACGCGCCCGGTCGTGGGATGAGATCCTCCCATGGGCTCTTTATCACACCCCCTCCATCTTGCGAAGAGGGAATTGGTCGGTCAGTCTATTTGTCACGACGGGCATCGACGCCACTCTGGTTACAATTACAAAACACATTTTTGCTCTTTTTGTGTTCTTTTTTTATATTGAGCGCCGAATGAGGACGAAGAGAAATTAGTACAACCTAGTATCTCTTCCTTTCTCTTGGTGAATAGGGTGTACATCTCGTCATACGGCAGGTCCACGCATCTGATACACCAGTCCTGATCTAGGCTCCTGTCTCAACTCTCCAAAACTCCCTCTTGTCTTTCCGCTCAAGGAAAAAAACGACCAATCATTACGTCAAAGGCTGTGGGTGTGAAAAATATGTGTTATGTGAGGGATCAAAATATGATATATGATCAAAAAAGACCATCCGGATAGGTACTATATATGGCACCGTATACCTGGCTATGATTCCCGAATAGTCGGAGCTTGTCTCGCTCAGTTCGGGGACCAGACTACTAGTACTAGTATTACTGCCTCCGCTCCCTCCCTTGCGTAGAGGCAAAGAGGTAAGGCGGAAAAATTAGGGAGGGCAGACAGACAGACAGCTCTTTTCCTCCCTCTTTTCCCCCGGTGCGTGACGAAATACTACCGACATGCCGGAAACGGGAGGGAGGATGAGCTCGTGGAACACAATGCGAGGGCTGGACACTTTCCCCCACGCTATGACTGCCAGCGGAGAGGGAGGCATTCTGCTGTCTTCTCACATCAAAAGGATTAAGCAGTGAAGAAGTAGTTTCCAGGCATCTGATATCTGTGCTGTGAAAGCTGCCTTTCTGCTGCTTAGGCTTGACAGCATCATCCACGCAAGGCTTTCACCAGCCAACCATGCCATATTGTACGCATGCCAAGGGAACTACTACTACTACTACTGCTACTAATACTAATACTAATACTATCTCATAGCCTAATAGTATCGCAGTGTTGGTTCGTTTTCCTCTTGTCCTGCTTGTCTCTCCCCTTGCTTTAGCGTCTAGATAGCTTCCCCGGTTTGCACTGCAGTGTTTGCGCAGGTCCAAGCAAGAAAGAAAAGAGAAACCTTGCTAGTGCTACCTTTATTCGCGTTTGTTGGACCAGAATCCAGGTTCTTTTTTTTTTTCTTCTTTTTTTTTTTCTCACACCCACCCCCCCTCTGACCCGAAATACTGGTTTGATCGCCAGACGCGTTCCCATCTCTGCGGTGCTGCTGCAAGCTGTGTAAGTGTCGTGCCGTGTACTTGCTCGCGGGAGTGACCAGGAATACACCGCTGCTCGTCGTACCTCTACCGCCAAGATACCCGCATCTCTGCCTCATGCCTCTCTTCCTCTGCCTCTGCTCCCACTGTTATTCCCCCCCCCCCCCTCAGACCACCCCCGAAAAAAGGCCACGGTCCATGGCCATCTCGGACGGTATCCGACCTGTACCCATACCCGCTCGACAGGTACCTCCCACGCCGGTGTACCGCCCCGATCAGCCCAAGATTCAGGTGCTGCACATCGCTCGTATTAGCAGCAAACCGCTAGTACGAGATATATAGCTTATGCTCCCAAAACCACAGCCTGTGGGGACCCGGATGGAGCTGAGTCGTGCGCGGATCGATCACTTCTCAGGCGCTCTCTGCGTTTCTCGGGATCCTCACCAGCCAAGCAGCTGGACTCTCCCCACATCCATCCTCATGCAGCCGGCCATCTGGGTTGCAGGTACACGCTCAGGCCGTACAGCACTCCGGCTGCTGGTTTCAGGTACTGGTCTGCGCATCGAGTACTGGTGCCGGCGGTGCGCGCTCACGCAGCCCCGCGGGTACCAGACGTCGCCGTCGCTACCTGCCCGCGTCCAGCCGTCAGCCCCGTAGCCGCGAGGTATCTGGATGCTGGATCGCCGCTGGCTCGATACCGGCTGGATACGCCGCTCCATCGACTTGTACCTCAGGTACGTGTCCCTGATACCTGGGTTTGGCGCAGATCTAAAAAATCCTGTTCCCCACCCTAAAAATGGTCAAGGACCCCTGCTTAGCGTCCGTTTTTTTTTCTCTCTCTCTCTGCTGGCTGCTTTTGTCCATCCATAGCCTTGGTTAGATCCAGGCTAGTTGCTAGCGACACGCCCCCCTCTCGATGGATGAGGGTCGAGGGTTTGATTCCGCTCAGTTTAGATTCTTGGCGTCGACCAGGGGAAATTGCCCGGGTGCTGGGCTTTTGCTGGGCTTTTGCTGGGCTTTTGGGAGGTCGCAGTACAGCACGGCAGCATCAGCCAGCCGGCGTTGATGCTCCTCTTTTCGTCTGTTATAAAAGATTCGCGCTCCCTCCCGCGAGCTAAGGGCTTTGGTCTCTGGCAGAAACCCGATCTACCGAACACTCCATCTCTGCATCATTGCAAAATCGATGATTGCTTCTTCTCCGTCTTCTTCGCTTCTGCTGCCCATCGACCTGCAGACACACTTTTTCTCCCTTTTAATAATAATCACGTTCTTCTTCGACCGGCGACTTACACATACTTCACTCCCCCTCCATCTATAAAGAAAGCCCTTGAGCTTAATCCTCATCCGCCCTGCACATCCATTGGCTTATACGCCAAAGCCGCTCCAAACTTCCAAAACCAACAAGAGGCACAAACACACACAAACACTCACACTCACTCACTCACTCAAATCATTCACCAGCCATGTCAGACACCGCTGGTCCCGTTGTCCAGAGGGAGGTGGACTTCATCCCGATCGAGGATCTGGTCGCCATGACTCCCACAGACATCTCCAGAGTGGCCATGACGGGCAAATTCCCCCAGAGACGAGGCCCCTGGTCCCCCGACGAGAGCTTCCGGCTCGTAACGCTCATCAACAAGACGGGCGCCCAGAACTGGGTCACCGTCGCCTCCTTCATGGGCTCCCGCAACGCCAAGCAGTGCCGGGAGCGCTATCACCAGAACCTCGACCCGTCCCTGCGGCACGACCCCATCACCGAGGACGAGGCCGCCAAGATCATGGACCTCTACCACAAGTACGGCTCCGCCTGGGCTCGCATCGCCGAGCAGCTCCCCGGCCGGAGCGACAACGCCATCAAGAACTACGTCAACGGCCTCGTCAACAAGACCAGGCGTGCCGAGGGCCGGCTGGCGGGCCAGCATCCACGATCACGCACCGCCGCCAGAAGACGAAGCTCTGCTGCTGCTGCTGCTCCGACCGCTACTTCTGCTGCTCTTGCTGCCACTTCTCTCTCAACGCCGTCATCGGGCGCCTCAGCCGTGGAATCGCCCACCTTGTCCGATATGACCGAGTCGGATAGCGGAAACAACTATTCGCTCTCTTCCTCCTGGGGCCAGTTCCCAGCCAGTTCTACATCACAGACATCCCAAAGAGTCTCTTCCGAGTGGTACCGCCCTCTCAGCCAGTCCCCGGAACTCGCACAATCCCATATTCACCATGCGGCCCCCCATGGCCACCCGACTTTCAGAGTAACTCCTTTTGGCCAGACCCAGCCTCATCAGAACGGCTACGCCCAGCAGCAGGAGAGCCGGCGGCCCATGTCCCGCTCCTCAGAGCCCTCCTCGTCTCGACGCCTCAGCACAGATCTGGCCAGATTCTCTCTCTCTTCGCGCAGATCATCGCGTGATTCAAACATGTTTACTCCATCACCGACCCTCAGCGTCTCCGCAGCCACTTTGCCACAGGGCCGCAGAGCCGATCCCAGAATGGCCATCGGGAACTTGCTAGGTTAGAGCCTAATACTGTCTTTACGACGACTTTCATTTCGTTTTACTTCTTCTCCGCCATCTCTTTTCCTTATCTCCTTGTATTCTGTCATGTCTTTTTTACTACTATTTTTTTTTTTATTATCCATCACCTGGCCTCTCTACTCGAGACTGGCTCCACAAGCATTTTGTTTGTTTAGGCAAGCACGCGCTCTGCCCTTTAGCATAGCAATTGTTTTTTATTTGCTTTTACAGGAAATCATGTATATCACGAAGGAAAAACAAGGCGCTTATGGAATCGTTCATCACTCCCTGCCGTCCTCAAGAAATACGGAGGGCGATGAAGGAAAGGGAAAAAGTGCTTTTTGTAATTGGGATTTCAACTTTGGCTTCTTATAAATACCCTCAATAGCTTCTGAGTGAAGTCTATCCGTCCGTTTTTTTTTTTTTTTTTTGGTTTCCATTTACTATTACTGGCCCTGTCTTGTTTCGTCCTGTTTCGTTTGTTTTTGACTCGAGTTTATTAGCCTTCGATGGCTTTTTTTGTGCGTTGGAAAGGGGGGAGCAGCTCACGAGGACAAAACAAAAACTCCATAATGATCGTAGATCGCAAGGCAGAAGTCCCGGTTTCATTTGTACCAAATAGATTTAGATCGGCCAATAACAACGCAAGAACTTTTTATTTTATTTTTTTCTTTCCCACTCTTAACACTTTCTTCACTTTCTAAAACAATAAGATTCCTATTAGTATTAAAAAAAAAATTAAAAAAAAAAAAAAATTACATGGCTGCCTCAGCGCACCCGCCTCCTTAGTGTGTGGACCGGTATAGTGTGCGTTCCTTTGAAAACGCCGGCTTTTAGACTGCCAATTTCCGCTCTAGCTCAGCTGCACAGGACAGAGTTTGGCATAGAGCATCTTCTTCACAAACAGTTGACTGTACGTATTATATAATCACTTCATAAATAATGCAATCAAGTACTAGTTCTGTCCAGTTCCCGGCCTGTTTGTGATTGTTGCCGCTGCGCAAAACCCGAGTTCCCTTGTTGTCTCTCTGTGTCATCAGAACCCCATCAGTGGACGAGAACGAAGCAAGCAATCTGAGTAATACCTAACCCTTCCTCCCCTTTGCATCCTTGTCAGTCAGGACTCTACAGTACACCACTCGCAGAGCTGCGATCGAGAACCAGGTATCCCTTTCACGGCGATCTAAGCTTGAGAGTGCCATCGGAGCGAGTCAACGGCTTTGCGGGCCCTGGCTTGATGCAGCTACTTACCACCTGGTAACAAGCTGCAGATGCTTCTCCCACCCCCCCAGTCAGCCATGGGAAAGGAAGAGAAGAAGAAGAAAAAAAGTACCCTGTCACCTGCATTGCCCATTTTTTTTTCTTGTCCACATCTCCTTGAACCCCCCAGTTCGTCGGGGGGGTGGGAGTGAGAGAAGAAGAGGGGGGGGCCACACTTTCTGACCGTTGAGATGGCCCTAACAAGAACTCACCCAAATGCAGTCGTGGTAAGAAAAAGAACCATCACATAGTCTAGAGGGGAAAGGCTCCTCCCACCTACGCATGCCTAACTCGTCCGTCCATCCATACGCCGCCCCCTGTCCAGCGATGATATGCAACGGCTAGTGGGCATGTATTGCTACACCCTTCGCTCTCTCGCTCTTTCACGCCCTCACCCCCCCTTGCTCGGGTTTACGGCGGAAACTTGACGAGAAATTTGGCGAGTTTTTGGTGAGTAGCACAAAGCAGGCATGGAGATGTGCGTGATGTGTGTATGTGGCTAGTCAGTCGGTCGGTGGGAAAGGGTGAAGGGGGCACGCAGTGGTCTGGGAGGCTACCATTGCGAGGCTTTTCGGGTCCAGTCCAAGCCTAGTACAGTATCAGATGGGAAAAGCGAAACAAAAAAAAAAAAAAAAAAAAAAAAAAAAAAAAAATCTCAGTGCTTCTATTCGT